AAAGGGAAAAGTTGACAGCTATGGTTGGTGGTGTTCACCCGTCACTTTTTTTTAATGTGTGAGTTGCTAGGGGTGTAATTCTTTGGGTAAAGGACCACTTACAAAGGCCATCTCCAACTCCTTGAAAGATTCCACCAACAATGTTTCCAAAAAAAGTTTACACATCACTTGGGAGACAGGCAAACTAATGCCAGTGTACTGGAAGAAGCAAAGATCACCTGTGTCAAAGCAATGGTCCTTCAACAACAACTTCGTTGGACTGGTGGTGGTGTGTGAATGCCTAATGATCATCTTCCAAAGCAACTACTCTATTCCAAACTTAAAAATGGAAAGCGTAATGCTGGTGGTCAACAAAAAAGGTTTAAAGACTGTCTCAAGGTGTTGCAGAAGGCAAATCTAAAAAAATATAGTATAAACACCGACAACTGGGAACACACTGGCCTGTGAGCGCTCCAGTTGGAGAACAGCCTTGACCAAAGGTGTCATGGGCTTTGAAGACACTCGAACTCAGGACGCAAGGGAGAAACGTGCTAAGAGGAAGGCACGCTTGGCAAATCCACACCGTGATCAACTCCCACCCAGAAACCTATGTCCTCACTGTGGAGGGACGTGGGGATCCAGAATTGGCCTCCACGGTCACTTATGGACTCATCGTTAAAACCGTGTTTTAAACTACAACTCCCAGGAGTCAGGGCGGGGCCGGGAGAGCTGTGGCAGTTTTGCTATTCATTTAAATTAAGTTTTTTACTCCATTCCTCAGATGAAAATGTTTCCGGAATGACATGTGTACGATATATACAAGCAAGGCTGGCAGTCTCTGACCGCAGGATTACAATCGAAGAGATGCAAAACAAAGGGGGAAAAGAGAAAAACAAGCAAATTCAGGTACCAGTTCCTAGAGTTACATAGCAGTTTTTATAGTGGCCAACTAGAATGGAAACAATTCAAAGAACCTGGTATATGCTGGAGTAGACCACTTTGCTACACTTTTATGGAAGTGCAGATGATAAATGATTCAGTTAAATAAATATATCAATCAATCAATCAATAGCCAGAGCTGAAGACAGTCCACATTCCCATTTTCTTTAAAAAATAAAAAAATTAATAGACATGCAACCAGTGGAACAAAGCAGCCCCTTTTAGTCATCTTGGACTGGACATTTAGGGATGAACCCAGCTGGGATTGCAGAGTGGCTGAGATCCCGCATGGTAGGAGTGATGGTTCCCCATCTTTTTTGCACGCTGCTTTGCAGGCCTCCCTCACCTGCCAGGTGCCCGGGAGCAAAGTTTGCAGTGACCCCAGATGGTCACCAGGGATGCTGATGTCCTTCTGCCCAGCGGTCTAGTTGCTGTGAGAGGTGACTAGCCCGAACCACACCTCAGAAACTCCCAGAGGTAGCTATGGGAGAGCCGCCCCTCGGTTTTATAGGGGCCTACAAGGATAACTGGGGATGCAGGTGGCGCTGTGGGTTAAACCACAGAGCCTAGGACTTGCTGATCAGAACATCGGCGGTTTGAATCCCCGCGACGGGGTGAGCTCCCGTTGCTCGGCCCCTGCTCCTGCCAACCTAGCAGTTCGAAAGCACATCAAAGTGCAAGTAGATAAATAGGTACCGCTCCGGCGGGAAGGTAGACGCCGTTTCCGTGCGCTGCTCTGGTTCGCCAGAAGCGGCTTAGTCCTGCTGGCCACATGACCCGGAAGCTGTACGCCGGCTCCCTCGGCCAGTAAAGCGAGATGAGCACAGCAACCCCAGAGTCAGCCACGACTGGACCTAATGGTCAGGGGTCCCTTTACCTTTACCTTTACAGAGAGCCAGTGTGGTGTAGTGGTTAAGAGTGGTGGACTCATAATCTGGGGAACCGGGTTTGCTTTCCTGCTCCTCCACCTGCAGCTGCTGGGTGACCTTGGGCCACTCACACTTCTCTGAAGTCTCTCAGCCCCACTCACCTCACAGAGTGTTTGTTGTGGGGGAGGAAGGGAAAGGAGATTGTGAGCCGCTTTGAGACCTCTTTGGGTAGTGATATAGCGGGATATCAAATCCAAACTCTTCTTCTCTTCACCTTTATGTGCGGGAACCTCTGGCCCCAGGGGCTAGGGATGTGGCCCTTTAAACCTCTCTCTCTGGCCCCCCAAACTCTCCCCACGATGCACCTCTCACTGTCCCTGCTTTGTACCCTCCTTGGGTGTTTTTGCCTGGCCTGAATTGTGACCTTGAACTCTCATAATGCCTCTTGAACATAGATCATAGAGTTGGAATAGTTTGCCTGGATGGAGAATACAGGTGTGTGTGTGTGTGTGTGTGTGTGTGTGTGTAGGCTGCAGCACAGGTGTAAAATTTAAATGCCTTGCCTCGCCCACTCTGGCTTCTGGCCCCTCCCACTGCTGGCATATGGCCCCGGGAAGGTGGCCCAGAATGGAATGAGGCCTAAGGGTGAACACATTTCCCTGCCTGAAAGCAAAGTGATTGGGCCTTTGGTCTGGAATCCTGAAAGCTTTGCTGTCACGGTTGTGGCCTTTTCATGTCTACCTCCTATCTCTCGCTTTCTCCTGTGGCCTTGCCAATCACTGTCTTGTCTGTCAATTCATTCCTTACCCACCTTTGCAACAGACCAGCCAGTAAAAAGCACCTTCACCTGCCCAGGTAAGACAGCAGCAGCCAGGATGCAGTGATGAGGCAAATTCTGCAAAAAGACAGCAAGTGCATCTCTTCTAAAAAACCCTACGGTATTAATAGCCGCTCTGCCAAGGCAGAAAACACAGGTGCATCTGCCTTATACTGACTCAGATGATTTGTCCATCTAGCTCAATATTGTCTACACACCGACTGGCAGGAGGCTTCCCAGGGTTTCAGGTGGGGAATATTCCCAGTCCTACCTGGAGACTGGGGATTAAGCCCAGGGGCAGAGGCTCTAACCACTGAGCTATGACCCTTCCCCAAAGGTAAGGCAGTCCTGTAGCCATGTTTTTTTGGGGGGCCTCCTGCTTATTCTGCTGACTGGGGCCCACAAAATCCTACCCTGCTGGCATCAATAGGAATTAGGTGTAACTGAGATGAGCCTATGTTCTTCTCTGTTTACCCTCAGAGTCATTTTCTTTCCTTCCACCTGTCACTCAGATTTTAAACTGTAAGTTCCTGAGAGCAGGGAACTGTCTTCCTGTTGGTCTTCCATGAATATTATGCACATCAAGAGCTTTCGCTAGCATTCTCTTTCGTAATGTACAATTTATGTAAAATATATCAAAGAATAATTCCCACAAGTGAGTGGCCAAACAGAGAGAGGTTTAAGGCTCTTTAAGCTAAGTGTTCTGGTTTGCTCAGTTAAGCAGAGCAGGGATTTCAAATAGATGACCTATATATCTTTTGCAGTTTGCTGCAAGGAAATATAAATAACATGCAACACAGACACACAGTATGCATTAGTTTAAAGAAGGCTGGGTGGCCATCTGTCAGGGATTCTTTACCCATGATTCCTGCATTGCAGGGGTTGGACTAGATGACCCTTGGGTGTAGTAGTAGTAGTAGTAGTAGTAGTAATTTAATATTTGTCTCTCAGGCCACTCTGGGCTGCTTCCAACAAAGATTAAAAATACATTAAAATTGTTATGTACTGAAGTTCATACCCTGGTCCAGCAGGGGGATACTGTAGATAGTTTTCACTCAGGTCCACGTATGCAAATAAGGGATCGAAAGTGACATTCAGTGATTGGATAGTTACAGAAAATGGTTACTGTTGCGTTCTAGTGGAGCTCTATATAAGCAGGCTGGCTGAACCCTTCAGTTCAGTTCTGTTCTGGCCTGCGAATAAACAAGAGCTGTTTGAAGAATCGCTGTGTCGTCTGATATGTTCACCCACAACTTAACAAAAATGTCACACATTAAAAGCTTCCAACTCTGCAATTCTTTGATTCTAGGAGGGAGGGATCCCTCAGCCCCCCCCCCCCCAGGATCTTGTCATATTAGGGTAACTTGGCAACATTCTGGCTTGTGGATAAACAATCATAGAATCAGAACTGTAGAGTTGGAATGTACCTCCAAGGTCATCTAGGCCAGGCACCCCCCAACCTGTGGCCCTCCAGATGTTTTGGCCTACAACTCCCATGATCCCTAGTTAACAGGACCAGTGGTCAGGGATGATGGGAATTGTAGTCCCAAAACATCTGGAGGGCCGCAGGTTGGGGACGCCTGATCTAGTCCAACCCCCTGCAATGCAGGAATCACCATCCTACACATGGCAGGTGCTCCTATTCTGTTGGCAATCTAGCACCCAGAAAAGGTGTCAGGCTGGGGCCAATCAAATCAGGAATGAAAGGCCATCTCATGACCCCAGAATCAGGCCATCAACCGGATCAGGAGTGTTCGCAGGTATTCTTTGTTATGTACTGAAGTTCTCACCCTGGGCCAGCAGGGGGATACTGTAGATAGTTATGCAAATGAAGGATCGAAAGTGACGTTCAGTGATTGGATAGTTTTAGAAAGTTGCTACAGTAACGTTGTACTGGAGCTCTATATAAGCAGGCTGACTGAGCCCTTCAGCTCAGTTCTGTTCTGGCCTCTGAATAAACAAGAGCAGTTTGAAGAATCGCTGTGTCGTCTGATATGTTCACCCACAACGTAACGTTCTTTATTAAACATGCACGCATAGATACAGGCAGCTTTTAGCAAGGAGGAGTGAACTTTGGCTGGTATGCAAACATCCTTGGTTTATTTCTGGGAGCTTTCAGACTTCGGTTTGCTGGGCAGAACTGCATCCCAGAGACACAGAGTCCTGTTTTGCACCACGTGGTCATTCCATCACACAAGTCTGCCCAGGTAAGCGGCTTCTCTTTGGTTTGGGGATCAGGAAATTCTGTGCTGCTGACTTTGCAAGGAAACGAGACCTGAAGCTATGACTGATTTGGAGCAGAAAGGCAGAGGACGATGCCAGGCAGGAGTTCAGCTGTGTTGGCAGGAAGGTGGGGGTTCTTCCATGAAGAAAGAGAGAGAAAGGAAGACCTTTGCTCAAACTTGCGGAGAGGGCATCGCCCAGACAGGTTTCCCACCAGCCACTGGCCTAAAACCAGGGCCAACGGTGTTTGGGACAGCTGCTGGCTGGAGGTTGCTGAGTTGCGAGGAGCCTTGCAGAGCTTTCCCCGCCACACGGGGACCCACAAACAGTTTGCCGCAGGACCGGGCCTCCACCAGTGCCAGCTCAGGCTTGACCCCAAGGCAGGCCTCGCCAAGGAGACGAGCGCCATGACGAACCTCCTGCTGCGTCTCTTCTTCCTCCCAAGATGACAGGGGAGAGTCAGGCAGGAACTCCAGCCCAGGAAAAGCTCCTCCTCCCGACTTCCTTGCGGGAGAGTCCATGGCCATCAGGCGGTGTTGTGCTTTGGGGGTGGCCAGCTGGCTTGGGAACAGCGCTCTCTCTTCTGAGGGCACGGCAGGTTGACCTCCCCGGTTGAAAAAGTGACTACTGGCAGCAGCAAAGCAAGGCGGATTGGAGAGCGGGTACTGCTGGGGTAGCCCTGGACAGAGCTGCCGGCCAGGGTGGGGGGCAAAGCCTGGGTGAGGGAGGGGTGTGGGGAACGCAGCCAGAGGGCGGCATTTCTCTTGGGCTCGGAAGCAGCAGCAGGAGTTGAAGATGCAAGAAGGTGAGATGGACCCAAGACCTGGAGAGGAAGAAAGGAAGGAAGGAAGAAGAAGATTTTGGCTTTGATATCCTGCTTTATCATTGTTGGGATACTGCCGGGAAGGCGGGGGCATCAGGCAGGCCCCCATCCGGCTCCAGCCACTGGCCGGCAGCCAGTCTTTTTTGGAACAGCATCAAACAGCGACCCGAGCCTCAGATACGTTTAGAGACCCATGCACGCTCTGTCAGCAGAGTGTGTAAATCATCACACAGCAGATGAGTCGGACAAAGAAATGTGCAAGCACATTTACAGCATTTATTCAGCATAGTTCAGGAACAAAGGAAAACATGTCTGCATCCCTTCGTCTCTGGCAAAACAGCAGTATAGCAAAAGCAACATACAACGGAAGTTCCCAGCAGACTGTGCTGGATGTAAACAGGCATGTGATACACAACAGTCATGCCTGACCCTTTTAAGGTGGAATAGAACTATATCCTAACAATCACTACCCTGAGGAGTCTCAAAGTGGCTCACAACCTCCTTCCCCTTCCTCCCCCACAACAAACCCTCTGTGAGGTGAGTGGGGCTGAGAGGCTTCAGAGAAGTGTGACTGGCCCAAGGTCACCCAGCAGCTGCATGTAGAGGAATGGGGAAGCGAACCCGGTTCACCAGACTACGAGTGCACCGCTCTTAACCACTACACCACACTGGCTCCCATGGAAGGAAGGAAGGAAGGAAAGAAAAAGAAAACAAGAAAGGCACAGACCCCAGAACAGTTAAAAGCAAAAAATGGCAAGTGACTTGGATGGCTTTAAGTGAATTGTAGAATTGGAAGAGACCCAAAGTGTCAACTAAAGAGGATTAGATCAAGCATGAAGGGACAGGCTGTCATCGGCTGCTAGCCACAATGGCTCTGTACCACCTCCGCTGAATACGAGTTGCTGAATGCAAGTCACAGGTGGGCAGGATGCTGCTCACATCCAGCTTGCAGGCTTCCAAAGGCATCAGGCTGCCACGGTGAGGACAAGGTGTTGGACTACATGGGCCATTGGCCTGATCCAGCACTCGTCTTAAGTGAAAAGGCATCTCCAGGCTTTTTTTAAATGACTGTTTATTTGTAACATTATTCTAAGGGCTGCAAACTTTAACTGATCTATCAACTAAAGACTCATTCCCCCAGTTAATCTGGTGGGAGGTAGTGCTGTTTGATTAATACAAGCATGTGCTTTTCTGTATAGGGGCCGCAGCTCAGTGGCTGGGCACTGCTTTGCATGCATATTTAAATCAGCACTTTATTCAGAATCATGAGGACTAGAATCTTACTTCATTTTAAGGGGAACCACTGTATCTCAACAGCAGAGCTTTGATTTACATGCAGAAGGTCCTAGGTTCCATCCCCAACATCTCCAGGTAAGGCTGAGAATGTCCCCTGCCTGAAACCTGCAGAATTACTTTGGCTTTATTGTTATTTTTAAAAAACTTGTGTTTTGCTGTAATTCTTGTACACAGCCTGCCCCCCCACTCCTCGCCATGATTTTGAAAGAGTGAAAAACGATGCCAGCATCACTCAGTTTCCATGATGGAAAGGAGGTGGGACCAAAATGTGAGAAATTGTTGTTGCTGCTTGTTTGTTTGTTTTAAAGAGATGTTTTGACCACAGCAGGGATGCGGGTGGCGCTGTGGGTTAAACCACAGAGCCTAGGACTTGCCGATCAGAAGGTCAGCGGTTCCAATCTCCGTGACGGGGTGAGCTCCCGTTGCTCGGTCCCTGCTCCTGCCAACCTAGCAGTTCGAAAGCACGTCAAAGTGCAAGTAGATAAATAGGTACCACTCCGGCGGGAAGGTAAACGGCGTTTCCGTGCGCTGCTCTGGTTCGCCAGAAGCGGCTTAGTCCTGCTGGCCACATGACCCGGAAGCTGTACGCCAGCTCCCTCGGCCAATAAAGCGAGATGAGCGCCCCAACCCCAGAGTCGGCCACGACTGGACTTAACTGTCAGGGGCCCCTTTACCTTTGACCACAGCAGGAAACAGAACTTTGGAGGTGAAAGGGAAGGCGACTTAGCATGTCAGTGGCAAAGAGGGAAGTTAAAATTTCTTCCCAATCCTTCCATGCTGGACTTCCTATAATTTCAACTGGTACACTCTCCTGCCCATGGAAATGCGGCTGAAAGATCAAGCATAAACTGAGCCAGGAGAGGTTGGATCCAGAACCCACCGCTAGGGGGCGCAAGAAGACCACAAGTCCAGTCCAGGGCCACCGACTGGTCACTCACAGGTCTGTTTGTTTGTGGTCCTTTCCTCGCTGACCTACTGAAAGAGCCACATGAGGTCACCTTGGAACAACTGACCCGCCAGCTAACAATTTGCCAATCCAAGCCGGCTGTTCAGGCTCCAAAAATATAATTCACTCTGATTCACAGCAGCTGATCTGGCTGAAACGTTACGTTATCACAGCCATTTACAAATGCTTTCAGATTAAAAATTGGGTTTTTTTACACTACTCTTGTTGGGTTAAAAAAATAAAAAAAAATATCCATGACCAATTCTGCAATCTTTTCAGAAGGTTGTTTTTAACTACCTGTAGAATTGCATTGTTTCAGTCATGATTTGTTTGCTGCCTTGGGCTCGTTTGGAGGAAGGGCGGGATAGAGATGAATTACTCAATTAATCTAATCTAATTAATGCCCTGTCGTCCTAAATAAATGCTTTTTTAAAAACTGGACTTTCTTTTCCCTTTAAGAAAAACAAAACAATGCTTGATTGCTAAAAAAAACCCAACCAACCTCAAAGCAGTTTACAAAAACAATATAAAACAATAAAATTATCAATAAGAAAAACTATCAATGATTTAAGGTTTTCAAAAACTTAAAGGAACAATAAACTCAAAACAGATTATTTTGTTATTTAAAGTGGCGACTTTAGACTTTAGGATGTGCTGGAAAACAAAACAAAGGAAGTCCTTGCCTGGTACTAAAAACAATGACAAGGCTGGCACCAGGCAGGCCTCACTAGGGAGAGCATTCTGTAAATGGCGTGTGTATGTGAGTGGGCCACTACAGAGAAGGCCCTGTTCTCTCATCACCACCACCTTCTGGACTTCCTCAATCTCAGGGTCCAGGTGTCAAAGGGGACCCTTCCTTTGTAACACGTTGCACACTTACAAGGGCCGGCAGCCACCGCTCCCATCTTCTCCCTGGGGTCCTCTAGGTCAAGTGTCAGGTCATGGGCGCACCTGTGGAAGGCCAGGTGGTCAGGGCAGGTCCTTCGGCCAAACATCATATTCTGTAAGAGCTGGAAAGGAAAGAGGGGAGGGTTGCAGGACAGTGTTTAAAGGGATCGCCAAGTATTTTTAATTTTAAAATGGATACAGACCACCTCTTATTCAAAAAATGCATTTCAGGGTGGTGTAGAAAGAAATTAAAAATTTAAAAAACAACAACACATCACAACTCTGTCCAAGAATACAACATTGGAGGGATTTATAAATAAATAAATAAATAAATAAATAAATAAATAATCTTTAAATTGAGCCAGTGTGGTGGTTAGAGTGTCAGCAAGGTTCAAATCCCTTCTTGGCGTTGTAGCCCGCTAGTTGACATGGGCCAGTCACTGCCTCTCAGCCTAACCTGCCTCGCAAGGTTGTCGTGGGGATTAAGTGGGGGGAGGAGGAACCACATACACCACCTTGAGCTCCTCATGTAGGGAAGGTGGGATCTAAATGCAATAAATAAAGAAATAATATGAATTAAAATACCATCATCATCATCTGAAATTGATGGGGCAAATAGAAAGGTTTGCGCCTCTCGCGGAAAAGGACGCAGTAGGTGTTGCCTAGGTGCAGCTCTAGGTGTAGCCTTGGTAGTGTAAGTGGAGGGGGCAGTAGGCAGCCGGGGCACCACCACAGAGAAGGCCCCGCTCTCTTCTCATGTACCTACATGACAAACGTCTGCCAAAGGGCCTCCTGAGGGTGCTGAGGGCTCCTACCATGCAGCTTGTGTAGAGGAATAGTGTGGCTTTCAAGGCCCCTCCAGGCATCCTTACTTTGCACCTACAATGGAGGGGCCCTCGGGATTTAAGGTCCATAAACAGCAACACCCTAGAGGTCCCGGGCCCTAAGGAAGTCAGATGAGCCTCAACCAGAGCCAGGGCCTTTTCAGCACTGGCCCCAACTTGATGGAACGCTCTGTCTCATGAGACCAGGGCCCTGCAGGATCTGATTTCTTTCTGCAGGGCCTGTAAGACAGAGTTGTTCCGCCTGGCCTTTGGCTTGGAATCAACTTGATCCCCTTCCCCTCTTTCCTTTTTCCTTTTTTTTTCTGTGATGGAACTCCTACTTGGGGACTTCCCCGGCTTTTTTCTGGCCCACGTAGGACCAGTCTGGATAGTTGGCCTTGGTGAAAACTTGACGTTTTCATCCCCAAAAAGTTTTTGATTTGAGTTTCTACTGAAATGAGGCTGCATTTTAATGTTGTATTTTAATCTTCTTTTCAAGTTGTAATTTAATCAATTGTTTTTATACCTGGTGTTAGCCGCCCTGAGGCCTGTCTTGGCTGGGGAGGCCGGGGTATAAATAAAATTTATTATTATTATTATTATTATTATTATTATTATTTGTAGGGATGATCGCTGGGTCCGGGGTGCACTCCCCACCCGCAGGCAACCTCAGCCTGCCTGCATGTGTGACCTTGGGGTGTGGGGCACACTCCCCCTCACAGATAAGGCCACAGCTGTCTGAACATCGTTCCCTCTGTCTAACCTTTTGCGGTCTCAGAAGTTAGCGGTGTCCTGTCTGTAAGTTTTTCCTTAGAGTCCTTTTGTCTCCTTTCGTCATACACTGTGCAAGGGGAAAATGACGCTGTGGAACAGGCGCCAAAATAGCTTTGTACCACCCCACGATTTCGGGACTGGAAGGTGTGTAAAGGTCACAGCCCAAAATGTATCTGCCTGGGTTTGCATATTTGTGTCAATAAAAGGAGCCTCCACAGAGCTGGCCGGCAGCTTGCTTGCAGCTCACCTGTGCGCAGCTCACCTGCTTTATCAACTCCTGCCTCATGTCCCTCACTTCAATTATTATTAGTAGTATTAGTATTAGTATTATTTAACATGGAATGCATTTCCGTGGAGGATAAGGCTCTCAGTGTATTCCACACAGCTGCCAGAGCCCACCTCTGTCTGCGCACTGAGACTCCCGCCACCACGAGGCCGGTACATCCTGGCCGCCCCCATCCACATCGGCCGAGAAGGAGGCTGGACGCCCCACAGCGGGTAGTTGATGAAGATCAGCTTGCTGAAGTTGAACCTGTAGGTGAACCTCTTGCCTTTCGTCTTGTGGAGGATGTGCTTGTTGTAATAATACCTGTGAAGAAGGAGGAGAAAGGAGAACCGACGTAAGAAAGTAAGACGAGCCCGGCTGCTGGATCAGAACCTTCTTCTCACAGTGGCCAACCAGAAGCCGCAATGGGAGACCTCAGAAGAGGGTTAGATAATCGCCCAGGAACAAAGCAGACAAAGAAAAAGATGGGCAAATTGTCCTGGAAACTCACATGCTTCAAGAAAGCCCACCCAACGCTTCCTAACCAGCCAGTATAGGTGAGTGAGTAACCTGAGGTGAGCCAATGGCCACTGCCACCTGAGATTTGTTGTCATCAATGGGCAACAGCCACCATGCACTTTGCTGGAAATCAAGCATCATCATCATCATCAATAATCACTTGTTTGCCATGCAAATCAACTTACAACTAAAATATGAGGAATGGTTGCGGCAGCTGGGTCTGTTTAGCCTGGAGAAGAGAATCATAGAATCATAGAATCATAGAATCCTAGAGTTGGAAGACACCACAAGGGCCATCGAGTCCAACCCCCTGCCAAGCAGGAAACACCATCAGAGCACTCCTGACATATGGTTGTCAAGCCTCTGCTTAAAGACCTCCAAAGAAGGAGACTCCACCACACTCCTGGGCAGCAAATTCCACTGTCGAACAGCTCTTACTGTCAGGAAGTTCTTCCTAATGTTTAGGTGGAATCTTCTTTCTTGTAGTTTGGATCCATTGCTCCGTGTCCGCTTCTCTGGAGCAGCAGAAAACAACCTTTCTCCCTCCTCTATGTGACATCCTTTTCTATATTTGAACATGGCTATCATATCACCCCTTAACCTCCTCTTCTCCAGGCTAAACATGCCCAGCTCCCTTAGCCGTTCCTCATAAGGCATCATTTCCAGGCCTTTGACCATTTTGGTTGCCCTCCTCTGGACACGTTCCAGTTTGTCAGTGTCCTTCTTGAACTGTGGTGCCCAGAACTGGACACAGTACTCCAGGTGAGGTCTGACCAGAGCAGAATACAGTGGCACTATTACTTCCATTGATCTAGATGCGGTAGGGCTAGTGTTGCAGCCCAGAATTGCATTGGCTTTTTAGCTGTCGCGTACACTGTTGGCTCATGTCAAGTTTGTGGTCAACCAAGACTCTAGATCCTTTTCACATGTACTGCTCTCAAGCCAGGTGTCCCCATCTTGTATTTGTGCCTCTCATTTTTTTTGCCCAAGTGCAATACTTGACATTTCTCCCTGTTAAAATTCATCTTGTTTGTTTTGGCCCAGTTCTCTAATCTGTCAAGGTCGTTTTGAAGTGTGATCCTGTCCTCTGGAAGACTGACAGGTGACATGATAGCCATCTTAAAACACGTGACAGGGGGAAGATGGATCAAGCTTGTTCCTGCTGCTCCAGAGGGGAGGAGCCCAAGAAAGGAGATTCAAATAGCAAGAAACATCAGGAAGAACTTTCTGGTGGTGAGAGCCGTCCCACAATGGAACGGGCTCCCTCGGAAGCTGTTGGCAAGTTTTTAAGCAGAGGCTGAGTGGCCTCAGCCTTCTTTGGCTGCGATTCCTGCATTGCAGGGGGCTGGACTAGATGGCCTTTGAGGCCCCCCCACACCACCGTTCCATTATTCTATATCCATCCAATCAAATCCAAGATGGCAACACCCAAGAGGCTCACAGAAGAAACAGCTCCTCCTGCTCTAACCCACCCTAAGAACATGGTTGTCGGACACGGTGTAAATAAAGTGCCCTAATGAGAACAGGGGATGCGGGTGGCACTGTAGGTTAAACCACAGCCTAGGACTTACTGATCAGAAGGTTGGCGGTTCGAATCCCCGTGACGGGGTGAGCTCCCGTTGCTCAGTCCCTGCTCCTGCCAACCTAGCAGTTCGAAAGCACATCTAGGTGCAAGTAGATAAATAGGTACCACTCCGGCGGGAAGGTAAACGGCGTTTCCGTGCGCTGCTCTGGTTTGCCAGAAGTGGCTTAGTCCTGCTGGCCACATGACCTGGAAGCTGTACGCCGGCTCCCTCGGCCAGTAAATCGAGATGAGCGCCACAACCCCAGAGTCGTCTGCAACTGGACCTAATGGTCAGGGGTCCCTTTACCTTTACATGAGAACAGGATGCATTGCAAAGACCTGTGTTGGCTGCTCTCCTCACCTGAGGGCCCGGCTGAGCTTGTCGTAGTTCATCTGGGGCTTGCACTTCCTCCGGCCCCACAGCCGCGCCACCTCGTCGGGGTCCTTGATGACAAACTCCCCGTACTCCCCCTGCTGCCAGGCAATGACGTGCCGGAACTCCTCCTTCTGCAGAAGCTCCAGGATGAAGTGCCAGAGCTGGATCTGGCGGGAGCCCGGGCTGGATTCAGCCTTGTAGGCCCAGTCCGGGAAAGCCAGACCTGGACGCAAAGCAGAGGGAAAAACAACGAGGAAAGCTCTTGGACAGACTTGGGGCTGCCAGCCTCTCCCCCTCTTGCTCCACCCCAGAGCTGAGACACCCCCCTCCGGGATGCCGCACTGCGTGAGCCCCTTCCTCATCCCACCCAACCCTCACCTGAGATCCAGTAGGAGCTGGGGAGAGAAGGGACCCCCTCAGGGATGCAGCCACAGTGCATCTTACCGACCTGTCAAGGGGCAAAAAAATCATTAGGACAAGGATAAGCACCAAAACGCATTCCATTTATTAGTTTGGTAGCAAATATCTTCCTCACAAAATGAACTAGGACGATCAAAGGGCTAGAGTGGTTCCTCTATGAAGGAAGGCTGCTGCACAACATTAGGAAGAACGTTATGCTGGTAATTGTTGCTCAACAGTGGAATGGATTCCCTCAGAAGGTGGTGGATTTCCCTCCATTGAATGTTTTTAAACAGAGGTTGGATAGCCATCTATCTGCCAGGGATTCTTGAGCTGTGATTCCTACAGTGCAGCGGGTTGGACTAAATGGCCCTTCTGCTCCCTAAAAAAAGCTAAAAGGTAAAGGACCCCTGACAGTTAAGTCCAGTCATGGCCAACTCTGGGGTTGCGGCGCTCATCTCACTTTACAGGCCGAGGGAGCCGGCGTTTGTCCACAGACAGCTTTTCCGGGTCATGTTGCCAGTGTGACTAAGCCGCTTCTGGCAAAACCAAAGCAGCGCATGGAAACCTTCCCGCCGGAGCGGTACCTATTTAGCTACTTGCACTTTGACGTGCTTTCGAACTGCTAGGTGGGCAGGAGCAGGAGCCAAGCAACTGGAGCTCACCCCGTTACGGGCATTTGAACCGCCAACCTTCTGATCAGCAAGTCCTAGGCTCTGTGGTTCAACCCACAGCGCCACTCGCGTCCCTTTGTAATTGCCTTAGAGGTAGCTAAAAGGACAAATGGAAGTGGACAAATGATGTCACAGCGGAATTCCACCCACCCCGCTGTGTGTGTGAGAGAGAGTTTTTCACCAGTGTAAGGAAAGAGCTACCAAGTTTCAGCCCAAACTGCAGTAAAACTTCAGAGTTCAGTAGTTTATGGGAAACCATTTCGCCTGAACCGTTGGTGAAACCGAACAAGATTTCACCAACGGAGGGAGATGGCTGTTATTTGGCAAAAGCCAGCGTGAGACATGAAGTTTGTTGTTGGGATTTTAAGGAGCCTCATGCTGGATTGCAGAGGGGTCTCAGCCACCAAATCACTGCCTAGACTCAAGTTCGGAGGACCGTGAAAACACCAGAGATCAAGGATGTGTGGTGGAGGTACAGGTGTTGTTGGACTCAAGGACGGTGCAAGCCTTAGTCCCACAACATCCAGAGGGCAACACATCCATGACAATCAGCAAGAAGGGTGAAAAGACAAGTACTGTGTAAGTTTCCAAGGCTTTTCTTTGTGTACTTCCTCCCAGAAGCCCCTCTAGGGCAGGAAGATTAAAAAAGCGCTGCGTGTTCAAGCGACACATCACCCTGGATTGGGGCCCGCAGTGTAACTTGCAAGGAATTCTGTTCCTCATGACCCTGGCCTTACAATATCCCCACAACAGCCAAGCCACAAAGTCCAACAGCAACGGGCCATGATCCTCTGGGACGTGACGAGGAACCCTCCAGCGCACACCTCTTCGGAAGCATGGCAGCTTTGCCCCTGCCTAAAAATATTCCTGCTGTTAATGTACAAGAAGGATGGAGGGGAAGTTTGGCTTGGCTGCTGTTTACATGTGATCGTGTTGATTATTTATCTGGGTGTGAATCTTGTGAATCTTTGTGAGTCACTTACATCTTCCTAAAGCAAGACATGAAAGAAGCACAAACAAATCAACCACAGCTATCCTTAAAAAATTCACACTTCTCTGAATTTTGCAGCGCTGGCTGTTCTCCAACCCCCAAAAATCTGCACAAATATACGTATGTACAATGGAGAAGAAAGCATGAACAAAAACGTGTGTGTGCATGCAAAATCAGCATACCAAAATTGGGGGAATCACTTGCTAAAAGGTATATCTTTTTAAAAAAATGTGCACTAAAGCAACAAGGGAATTCTTATTGAGATACCTTTTTTTAAAAAACAACAACGCAGTTGTGATTAAATGCGGCAAACTGAATTTAAGATTATAAAGATGATAGTACAGTGGTACGTCGGGTTACATACGCTGCAGGTTACATACGCTTCAGGTTACAGACTCCGCTAACCCAGAAATAGTGCTTCAGGTTAAGAACTTTGCTTCAGGATGAGAACAGAAATCGTGCTCCGGCAGCGCGGCAGCAGGAGGAGGCCCCATTAGCTAAAGTGGTGCTTCAGGTTAAGAACAGTTTCAGGTTAAGAACGGACCTCCGGAATGAATTAAGGACTTAACCCGAGGTACCACTAATCTATGGGAAGATTTGCCCATCCCTCAGACTGACCCTGCAATGTAGGACAACAGTGGTGTGCTGGGGGTGGCATCCTTGCAAAAAGAAGGAGGAAACTCCAGATCTGGTTCAGGCGAGGCGCCAACGTGAGGAGGGACCGAGAGACCTCTGTGATCTTAGGAAGACATACGAGCCTGCCTTGCTGCTCCCCGTTGCCAAGGGGGTTCCTGAGCCCTGTCTGCCCAGCGGACTTTTCACAGACGGAGCAAGCTTGCTTTTCCCTGCTCCACAGGCTGGAACCCAAACCGATGGACTCAAGTCAGAAGAAAGGAGATTCAGACGAACCACCAGGAAGAACCTTCCCAGGGTTACGCGCCGTTCAGCAGTGGAACGCTCTCCCTCGGGAAGTCGTGGGCTCTCCTTCCACGGGGCTTGGTGGCCCCCTGTCTTGGATGCTTTAGCTGAGATCCCTGCATTGCACGGGGTTGGAATAGATGACCACCAGAGGTCCCTTGCAACTGATTCTGTGAGACGGAAGTGGCCTATGGGGGATACAGGTGTGGGAAGGGGCCGCATCCTGCACACTTGGTCCCCTTCTCACTTACCGTTTGCTTCCTCCGCCTCTGTGGTGTCCTGAGAGCTCTGGCCGGCCAGAAACCTCTGCATGTGAGGGTTTGGGGACAACCCACCTCCGTATATAAAGGAAAGGGAAAGGGGTTAATTTTTAAATCTTCTTACCCCTCTCCCTGCGAGGAGGAGGAGAAGGAGGAAGGGCCGTATTCAGTTGGAGCTCAAGGACAGAGATTTGCCTTCCTTCTGGGGGAATCACTTTTGGGAGTGCAGGCTTTGAGGGGGGGGCAATCAATTAACTTGGCTTTTAAAGACCTAACAAACGTGGCCAAGGGCCAAGGTCACAGTTAGGCCCTAAATGGATTTTCTTGTCTTATTTAAAAAAACAGAACAACCCTGGGATTCATCTGCAGTTGACAGGGAGGGGTGAGGAATTAAAATTCTGGCTTGCTCAAGGCAGAATCTGCTATTTTGCATCCTCTCTAGCAAAGAAAGCGGTTTGTGGAAGGGGGGGGGCAGACTGAGCCATGGTGTCAGTGCCGCAGGTGTCAACAACAGCAGCAGCAGCAGCAACACCCTAAACCAGGATTTGCTTTCAAGAACTGAAGGCCATCCTTAGGAAACGGTCCCCGCACTTTTAATTCTTCGCCGCCAGCAAACAGGACATTTCTGCACTTCCCACACACAGCGCAGAAGGAGCAGGCAGGGCTGGCAACGGTGGTGTAAGCTCCCGAACCACAGTTAACATTTTATTTATATACAGTGGTACTTTGGGTTAAGAACTTAATCTGTTCCAGAGGTCCGTTCTTAACCTGAAACTGTTCTTAACCTGAAGCACCACTTTAGCTAATGGGGCCTCCCGCTGCTGCTGCGCCGCCGGAGCACGATTTCTGTTCTCATCCTGAAGCAAAGTTCTTAACATGAGGTACTATTTCTGGGTTAGCGGAGTATGTAACCTGAAGTGTCCGTAACCTGAAGCGTATGTAACCCGAGGTACCACTGTATTTATTTATTTATTTATTTAATGATTTGTTTATTATTCCGCCATTCACCCAAAAATCACGGTGTGTGTGTGTGTGTTTCACAACAACAAAAATACAAAATGAGAACACAAAATGCATAACAACGAGAACAATAATAAAAACAAACCAAGAACCCACCTCCCATGTCTGACACACGTGTGTGTGTGTGTGTGAGAGAGAGAGAGAGAGAGAGAGAGAGAGAAAGAAAGAGAGAGAGAGAGGGATATCCATCTCTGCCATGTGCTACAGTCCTTGCAGAACTGCGTTTTTCAAAACGCGGAACGGGCAACGGTCAGAATATTTATATGCTTCTTTTGGAAGTCCCAAGTGGGAACGCTGCTTGTATGCTCTGCCTACATGGGTCAGAGGCAGTAAATGCTTCAGAATAGTACCGGTTGCTGGAAGCCACAGGAGGGGGAAAGGGCTGCTCCTGCACTCAGCTTTCCTGTTGCAATAATAAAATTTAAGGTCTTATATATATAATAAATGTTCATAAATGTACAAACCAAGCACGTACATAGATCAGCACAGGAAGACCATCCTGAAACCATTTTGACTCCCCAACGGACCAAATGTTTCTCTGCAAGGAGGGAGGAGGTGGAAAAAAACCTTCCTTGTTACAGGAATTTAGAAATCACCATTTCAAAGGAATGGCCAGACTACCAGAAAAGGCAATCAGATAAGGCATTATCAGTTAACCTGACAGACAGGAAAAAGAACAACATTCAAATTTCTGTTGTAGATCGCCTTTTCTGTGATGTAGGTGTGATGTTTGTGGCCGGGGTGGGGGTCTTGGGATACACCCCTTCTGTGATACAGGTGTGATGTATCTGGGGGTGGTCTTGGACTCCAGGGCGGGCAATTTAAAAAGTCTATACAAGGGCGGGCACACCTTGGTTCGGGGTCCTCCTCCTTCTCCTGCGTGTGAGGGGAGCACCCTGTTGCAACAGATCAATAAAGATCAGGCTTACTAGCTGCTTTGCTTCTGAATATTCTCTGCTTGGCCTCTGTTATTTTCTCCTATCAATACGGAACCCACGTAAGGACTCTATACGGGCTCTTGTGTCCCCCATAAGGGAAAAAGGGCATAGATTTTGTTTACAACACTGTTTGCGTGTTTCCCAAAAGTTGGCCACCATGAGAACACGATGCTGGACTAGATCAGCTCAAGCTCTTCTTATGTTCTTATTTCAGTATTTCCAGGGGTCCCCCTTATTTTTGGACTCGCCCACCCACCCTGAAGCCTTCCCACCCCCACGGGGAATTCTGATCTGGCTGATGAGAGGGTGGAGCGCCTTTTGCAAGAGTAAACTGCGCTCTCACTGCCCACTTTATCTCTGCCAAATCCAATCTCTTCCCCCCCCCCCAAGCCCTTTACAATCTTCTTAGCTTTTCCACCGGCGCCACCCCCCCCCCACAAACTGGGCTTGGCCATTTCAACTGCACACCGCCACCCCCCCAAAAAAACCCTTAGCATCCACTGGGCAAGGAGGTCAAGGGCCTGTTTGTTTAAAACCCCTAATGCTATTAGCACAAGCGGATTACAAGACATCGGAACAGTCCTCAGGCCCCCTCCCACTCCTGGCGAGGAGGAGATGGGGGGGCAGGAAGAGAGACAAGGCCCTCATCCTGCAGGGGGTGAACTTGGAAAGCGGACATTGGAACATGTTAGGGACTCCTCCAGAGGCATGGCAAAGCCCCTGGCTGGCAATCTGAACACACAAAGAAGTGTGTGTGTGTGTGTGTGTGTGTATGAGAGACAGCTGTAGTGGTTAGAGCAGGGGAAGTCCAGCTTGGACTACTGCAATGCGCTCTACGTGGGGCTACCTTTGAAGGTGACCCGGAAACTACAACTAATCCAGAATGCGGCAGCTAGACTGGGGACTGGGAGCGGCCGCCGAGACCACATAACACCGGTCCTGAAAGACCTACATTGGCTCCCAGTATGTTTCCGAGCACAATTCAAAGTGTTGGTGCTGACCTTGAAAGCCCTAAATGACCTCGGTCCAGTATACCTGAAGGAGCATCTCCACCCCCATCAAGTTCAATTCAAATTTATGTTTGTTTGCTTGGTTTTGGGTTTGTGTTTTTTTTGTCCCCATAAAAATACTTTAAGACTTTTCGTGTGCGTTCTCCTAGTAGGCATATTATATATGTGGTGTACACCCTCCAGCATTTCTCCAGTGAAAATAGGGAGGTCCCATTCCATAATGATAATTTTACTATTTATACCCGCCACATCTTACTGGGTTATCCCAGCTGCTTTGGGCGCCTCCAACATATAAAATAAAGCATCAAACATTACAAGAACTTCCCTATACAGGATTACCTTCAGACGGCTCAAGGGTCAGATAACTCCACACCATCTAAAATTTCTCCAATGAAAATAGAGACATCCTAAGGAAAAGTGGGGACGCGGCTGGCGCTGTGGGTTAAACCACAGAGCCTAGGGCTTGCCGATCAGAAGGTCGGCGGTTCGAATCCCCGTGATGGGGTGAGCTCCCGTTGCTCAGTCCCAGCTCCTGCCAACCTAGCAGTTCGAAAGCACGCCAAAGTGCAAGTAGATAAATAGGTACCGCTCCAGCGGGAAGGTAAACGGCGTTTCCACGCGCTGCTCTGGTTTGCCAGAAGTGGCTTAGTCATGCTGGCCACATGACCCGGAAGCTGTACGCCGGGTCCCTTGGCCAATAAAGCGAGATGAGCACCACAACCCCAGAGTCAGCCACGACTGGACCTAATGGTCAGGGATCTCTTTACCCTTTACCTTTACCTTTAAGGAAAAGTGGGTAACAACCTGGCACATCTGGGATGGGGAATGATCCTGCAAGGAAGCCACACAACAGCCCCAGGACTATCTCCCATCGCATGGGAAACAGAACGTGCAGATTTTGCTGCTCTGGAGTCCAAACCAAGCTCACAAGAACACGTTTGTTGCCGGGCAGAGATTAATAGCGTTGGGGTGGAGAAAAAGAGAGTCCCCTTGGCGCGATTTTCTGTATTTTTCTGTCTCTCCCCGCAACCCTGCAAACTCCTCTTATTCTCTCCAAAGAACCCTTCATTTCCCTTATTTGAGTCTCTGGGGAATGTGGTATTTAAAAGGCTCCTGGCAATAGGAAACCCTAAACGACTGGTTGTGTGTGTGAGAGAGGGGTGGGGGGGAGAGAGAAGGTTACACTGGAAGGTCAAAATGCACAGGGATCAAAATGGCCCATTTAGGGGCAAGATATCACTGTCCGCCATCCTAATAACCGTCCTAGTAGGGCAGTAATTGTTCCTTTTTGACACTCCCCCTCCATGATGGAATCCGCGGCGACCCGCCCCCCATCCCCCCTTCCTACGCCCCTGACCCCAAATCAAACTTGGGCCCAGTAAGATTTTCAGGGGGGGGCAGTTTAATTGCCCAGCAATGCTCCTGCGGCCCCAACCTGCCTCACAGAATAATCACACATCATGTAATGTTGTTTTCATTTGCATAATGAACTCAGATGTTCTTGGGCTTCCTCAGCACAGAATTTTGCGCTGCCTACTGGGGGCAGGGGCGCAATGTCTTTATGTTGTTCAGTGCAAAGCAGAAACCAGCCCAATAATTCTTCCTGCCCCTGAGTTCTGCAACCCAGAATGGCTGCGGCTGTTTCAGGAGCAAGACCAGACTGTCACTCATGGCAGAAACCAGGCACAAAGCAAGAGGCAACCAGAATCGGGTCCTCTTTGCACCGGTTCTTTGCAAAGGGGTGCAGACGGGTCATTTCAGACCTTGGACTTAATCATAGTCTTACGTGGAAGTTGAGATGGAGGAGAAATTTGGTTCAGTTCCCATTTACAGGCAAAGCAACACCAGTTCACACTTCCGAAAGATTCATTCTCCAGCAAAGTAATGTGCGCAGAAAATGCATATATTGGTTTTGGGGGGAAATAAATAAATGTATCTCTCTTAGTGAAAAGTGTTTGCAATATTCATGTACAGTGGTACCTCGCGTTAAGTACTTAATTTGTTCCGGAGGTCCGTTCTTAACCTGAAACTGTTCTTAACCTGAAGCACCACTTTAGCTAATGGGGCCTCCTGCTGCTGCTGTGCCGCCAGAGCACAATTTCTGTTCTCATCCTGAAGCAAAGTTCTTAACCTGAAGCACTATTGCTGGGTTAGCGGAATCTGTAACCTGAAGCGTATGTAACCCGAGGTACCACTGTATATATTAGGAGAACTTCAGCAGTGACTTTACATGAGTACTTAAAACACACACATTCCCAAACAGATGTGGAAATGTGGAGAGCAAAGACTGGAAACAGAGAGAAACCAGGAACCACCACCAATTTTCAAGTGGCCCATGGGGGAAAACATTAGGGGACCACTGCCCAGGTTGCACCCAACAAGCTTCTACTCAGAGTAGACCCATTTAAATCAACGACCGTAAAGTTAGCCATGTCTGTTAACTTCAGCGAGTTTACAAAGACCAGCAACTGGATGTACAATCTGCCCCGCCACGTGTGCCTGGCTCAGCCCAGCCCCAAATTGTTTCTGGGAAGGAAGAAGATCTCAAATTAATGTCTCTGTCAGAGGCAGTGAAGGCTGCTACTGGTTTTGAAAAAGACCACCGTGGAAAAACGAGGCTTGAAGGCTCCACTGCCTTCCTTCTGCTGGTATCTGAACAGACAGGGCTGCCTCCCTGAGTGAGTCCACCCAGAGGAGTGGCCGCGTCTGTTTTTGCTCTCTGCCACACTTTTTGAAAGGCAAGCACATAGCCACTTTTTGATCACGAGAAGAGATGCCCCTTTCCACACCACTGGTGTTTGCTCAGATCCCCATCTGCCCTAATATCCTGGCAAGATCCAGGATGAGAGGGATCTATCCTGGAAAAAGTACCAGTAAATAGTACAGCTGCTGCTGCTGCGGCAGCAAAATCAGGACCTGCATTCTGGAGGCACATAAAAGATGTCTTTGGGATGCCCAGATGAAGAACAAGGCAAAGGGGCCGTGGCTCAGAGGCTGAACACCTGCTTGGCATGCAGAATGTCGCAGGCTCAACTCTCGCCGGCAGCATCTTCAGGCAGGGCTGGGAAAAGACTCCTGGCCAAAATCCTGGGGAGCTGTAGGGGGCTAGTGGTGTGGCTATTAAGGCCAGCCCTTTATTCAGAGCCACGAAGACTGGAACCTTAAAGGGGCAGAGCCGTGGCTCAGCAGCAGGACAGCTGCTTTGCATGCAGAAGGCTCCAGATTCAGTTCCCAAAGGCAGGGCTGGGAGAGACCTCTGCCGGAAAACCCCGGGCAGCCACTGCTGCCAGTCAGTGCAAACTATACGGAGTTAGATGGACCAGTAGCTCAATAAGGCAGCTTCCTTTGTTATCTGAATTCTTTTGGCTTGGAGCTGACTTTCACAGGGCACGAAAGGACATGGGCACAAAGTGGGCTGCAAGAGGTGTGAAGACCCTCGTAGGTACACGCCGAAGGGAGGAAGTCCCTGTGGGGCTTGGTTCTAAGCCAACGGGCCATGGGTAGACCTGCCAAGCTCAGCCGCTGTTTGGTCTCTTACCTTTCTCCGCCACCTGCACCGTCCGCCGTCCTCCTCTCTTCCCCTCTTCCTCTCCATCTGTCAGGCGGGGACTGTGCTTTCCATCACACGCCGCTGTGTTGGGGTTACTTAAAATGAAAACCCAGTACTCTGAGTTCCCAGGAGAGCCGATGTGGTTATAAAGACAATCAGGTTAACTCTTGCCGGTGCCTGACGACCCTCCTCCCCGTCCTTTCTCAGAGGGGGAAAGAGAGTGAGACGGAGAAAACAGCCCTATAACGGACAAGTTGAAGGTCCGTGCTAATATCTTCGCTCACCCCTCAGGCATCAGCACCCCCAAGTCAGAAATAAGAGCCTTGGGGCCTTCTGTCTCTTCAGAAACAGGGGTGCAGGGAGCCCTACTTGTGGTTGGGGGCGTTTCAAGAGTGCCACATTCAGAGGGTAGGTGATGTATAGGAGGGGGCTGTCAGTGGCAGCAGGAGGTGGGCAGCCAAGAATCACAGGCTTGTAGGGTTGGAAGAGAGCATGAGATTCATCTAGTCCAGCCCCTCCAATGCAGAAGTATTTTGCGCATTGCGGGTCTCGAACCCACAACCCAGAGACTGAGTCTCAGTCTCTACCAGCTGAGCTAGAAACCAAGTGCTGCTCTTGTGCTCAAATCCGGCTTGCTTATTTCCCCACAAGCAAATGTTCAGCCACTTTGAGGACAGGATGCGGGACCAGATGGGGCAACAATTTGATCCACTAGGCTCTCTTTGTAGAGAGTTTTTAAGCGTTGTGTAGAAGAGGGAAAAGCCATGACAAACCGAGACAGCATCTTAAAAAGCAGAGACATCACCTTGCCAACAAAGGTCCATGTAGTTAAAGCCATGGTTTTCCCAGCAGTGATGTATGGAAGTGGGAGCTGGACCATAAAGAAGGCTGATCGCCGAAGAATGGATGCTTTTGAATTCTGGTGCTGGAGGAGACTCTTGAGAGTCCCATGGACTGCAAGAAGACCCAACCTCTCCATTCTGAAGGAAATCAGCCCTGAGTGCTCACTAGGAGGACAGATCCTGAAGCTGAGGCTCCAATACTTTGGCCACCTCATGAGAAGAGAAGACTCCCTGGAAAAGACCCTGATGTTGGGAAAGATGGAGGGCACAAGGAGAAGGGGATGGCAGAGGACGAGATGGTGGGACAGTGTTCTCGAAGCTACCAGCATGAGTTTGACCAAACTGCAGGAGGCAGTGGAAGACAGGAGGGCCTGGCGTGCTCTGGTCCAGGGGGTCACGAAGAGGCGGACACAACTAAACAACAACAACAATAAGAAGAAGAGGGAATTTCCACCAGTGCAAATTCTCTCTCCAGCGTCCAGTAATGTGCAGGACACAGTCCTTAACTGGAATAGAGGCACCTGCCGCTCCCCCTCCAGTCACCAGGGATGGACTTGTATACTTCTAGGAATGCTGGGAGTCCTGCTTACATTATACATCCCATAATGAGCATCTGGTTGGCCACGAAGAGAGCATGGGGCTGGACTGGTTGGGCCCCCGTTCCAGCTGCTGTGGGTGTCAGCTTAAGTATTAATATAAGAGTCCCTTTCCTGGTCAGCAGCTCTGAGGGGCTATGTTGGCATTTTTATTATCTATTTCATAAAATTTATACACCTCTGGATTATAAAGAAGTATCGTGATCAGAGTTTTAGGAAAAGTGCTCCCAAGACTTGGGAACTTTATATATAGCAATGGAGGAGGATTTAAGAAGAGAAAGCAAATTCCAGGTTTCCAAAAGGAGTTTGTTGAGAAGGGTCTCAGACAGATAAACATTGCCTGCAGTCCTGTGTAGGATAACCCAACTTTTGTAGGTGCAAAAGCCAAGTTACATGGAACCAGGCAGAGGGCCTTCTCGGTGGTGGCGCCCACCCTGTGGAACGCCCTCCCACCAGATGTCAAAGAGAACAACAACTAACAGACTTTTAGAAGACATCTGAAAGCAGCCCTGTTTAGGGAAGCTTTTAATGTTTAATAGACTACAGTGGTACCTTGGGTTAAGTACTTAATTCGTTCCGGAGGTCCGTACTTAACCTGAAACTTTTCTTAACCTGAAGCACCACTTTAGCTAATGGGGCCTCCTGCTGCCGCTGCGCCACTGGAGCACAATTTCTGTTCTCATCCTGAAGCAAAGTTCTTAACCCGAGGTACTATTTCTGGGTTAGCGGAGTCTGTAACCTGAAGTGTCTGTAACCTGAAGCTTATGTAACCTGAGGTACCACTGTATTGTAATATAATTTTAATATTCTGGTGGAAGCCGCCCAGAGTGGCTGGGGAAACCCAGCAATGGGCGGGGCATAAATAAATTATTATTATTATTATTATTATTATTATTATTAACTTGCAGACGTAATCTCAGAGCCTCTGTCTGTACTTTTTGAGCATCTTTGAGACTGTCCTCCATTGCAGGTGTTTAAACAGAAGTAGAATGGCCACCTGTCACGGATCCCTGAACTGTGATTCCTGAATTTCAGAGAATTGGACTATAATTGGACCCTTGTGGTCCTTTCCAACTCTACAGTTCTATGATCTGGGAAGATGGTGGACTCACCATCACTGGATGTCCTTAAACAGAGTTTGGGTGGCCACCTGTCAGGGATGTTTTAGCTGTGATTCCAGCATTGCAGGGGGCTGGACCAGATGGCCTTTGGGTGTCCCTCCCCATTCTACAATTCTACAAGAGAGAGAGAGAGAGAGAGAGAGAGAGAGATACACTAAAGCAGTCTCTCTCCTTCGCTCCCCGTTCCTCAGCCACTTGGCTCTGGAGAAGTTCCCATCCCCAGGGACTTTGCCACCTGTCTCAGCTCTTGGGATCGATATGTCATTTCTTGTTCCTTAATTTCCCCGCCGGTTGCCGAGCGAGATCCTGAATTAAAACAATAATAAGATAAGGGTTAGGGAGGGAAAGAGAGCAAACAAATGCGGATGGGAGGGTGGGGTGTTTTGCAACGGGAAAAGTTGTGTTGATGGACAACTATTAAGAAAACGGCCTGCTCTGTTTGACAGCTTTGAATACCCTCCTTGCAAAGGAGGCAGATGTGGTAGAGGAGGAGGAGGAGGAGGATAAAGGGAGCTGGCTCACCTCCAGTTGCTAGGCAGGGCTGAGACTCACACATCTGCAATCCTGGACAGCTGCTGCCAATCAGTGTAGGCACTGCTGAGCTAAAGGGACCCAGTGGTCGGACTCAGTATCAGTATAAGGTAGCTTCCTTCTTAATCCTCCACTGGGGTCCTGGGGTTGAGAAAGGGTGAGTCTGGAATAACCTTGTGAAGTGAAAGGGTAAGAAAAAGGGATTTATATCTAGATGCTAGGATAGACATGATCAGGAAAACAGGAAAACGGGAAAACACAATGGGAGATAAAGGAGGTGCTGTGGGATTGGTGGAAGTCAATGTTTGTTTGTTTGTTTTTAAAATAATTTTTACTGATTTAAACATACAAATTATAAAATGTATCACAAAACTTATCACTTATACAATCTTTTTAGACTTCCATCAGCACCTCTGATGATCCACTGTTTTAACCACTTCTTATGCATTTCTTAACTTTATACAGTGGTGCCTCGCAAGACGAAATTAATCCGTTCCGCGAGAGTCTTCGTCTAGCGGTTTTTTTGTCTTGCGAAGCAAGCCCATTGACGGATTAGCGCTATTAGCGCTATTAGTGGTTTAGCGGCTATTAAAGGCTTAAAGGCTTAGGGGATTAGCTGCTAAAAGGCTATTAAAGGCTATTAAAGGCTTAGCAGATTAGATAAAGGGGGGGAAAAGCGAAAAAAAATCTCAAGACTCGCAAGACATTTTCGTCTTGCGAAGCAAGCCCATAGGGGAATTCGTCCTGCGAAGCAACTTCAAAACGGAAAACCCTTTCGTCTAGCGGTTTTTCCGTCTTGCGAGGCATTCGTCTTGCGGGGCACCACTGTATTGCCTTTACATCTCTTAACAAATCATCCTCCCCCTTCTCCATTTTTGCAATACTTCCAATAATACTCCTCACAAAACTCCTTGCAAACCTACAAATGTTTGTTTTTCTTTTTAGTGTTTATATTATTAACTTGTAAGATATGGATTTGTTTTCTTTGTGTGCTGGTTTTTGTGTTTTGTGTATTGTTATTTTTCGTGTTGTTGTTGTTGTGTGGGAAATACTAATAAAATTTATTATTAAATTTTTTTTTAAAAAGAGAGAGAGAGAAAGGGTGAGGTCTTTTGAGGGAGGAGGTGTAAGAGGTGCTTTGAGTAGCTCAGGGTCGGATCAAAGCTCACACCCTCTGTGGCCAGCAGGATTTAACTGGCTTTTTCCTCCCCTGAATTTTCACAGAATCCTAGAATTGTAGACTTGGAGGGGACCCTGAGGGTCATCTAGCCCAGCCCCCCTGCATTGAAGGAATCCCAACTCAAGAATCCCTGGCAGGTGGTCACCCAACCTCTGCTTAACCCATCCCCGCTTGTAATTTCTTGCCCTTCGACTTGGGTCCCAGGCTCTGGAGCGGCAGAGAAGAAGCTTGCTCCACATTCCATGTGTGTGTGCTTAAGAACTCCACTTGCAGTGAGGGCCAACTGTGTTATGTGGCTTCTGTTTCAGTGTATCTGAAGAAGTGTGCATGCACACGAAAGCTCATACTGATAACAAACTTAGTTGGTGTATAAGGTGCTACTCACCTGCTTCTTGGGAGAAAAGCAATGACAAACCTAGACAGCATCTTAAAAAGCAGAGGCATCACCTTGCCAACAAAGGTCCGTATAGTTAAAGCTCTGGTTTTCCCAGTCGTGATGTATGGAAGTGAGAGCTGGACCATCAAGAAGGCTGATCGCCAAAGAATGGATGCTTTTGAATTCTGGTGCTGGAGGAGACTCTTGAGAGTCCCATGGACTGCAAGAAGATCAAACCTCTCCATTCTGAAGGAAATCAGCCCTGAGAGCTCACTAGAAGGACAGATCCTGAAGCTGAGGCTCCAAGACTTTGGCCACCTCATGAGAAGAGAAGCCTCCCTGGAAAAGACCCTGATGTTGGGAAAGATGGAGGGCACAAGGAGAAGGGGACGACAGAGGATGAGATGGTGGGACAGTGTTCTCGAAGCTACAAACATGAGGGAGGCAGTGGAAGACAGGAGGGCCTGGCGTGCTCTGGTCCAGGGGGTCACGAAGAGGCGGACACGACTAAACGACTAAACAACAACAACAAAGGTGCTACTGGAAGGAATTTTTTTTTAAATTTTGTTGTGTTATGTGACAGTTTGCTAAGCGGTGGAGCAAAGTCCGGTGGTATTAATTATCATCACCATCGTGCAGAGAGAATCCCAGTGCCAAATGCACCCCCACCTTGGTGCGAAGGTGTGGGTTGGCAGGTGGGGTGAACATCGCCAGCACCCCCTCGGCCTCCACAGATGTGCAGCCAGTGGTGTGGGGCAGGGAGCTGGGGGGGGGGGCACACGCATAGAAATGTGAGTGAAATGGGTTTATTACTGGGAGTCTGTCTGGCAGGATTGGTATCGACCGGCTCCTGTCACCTTCCATTGCCACTAATGGGACCTGAAGGGGGGTTCTGTAACCAGAGCGAGGGCTCCTCCTTGCCCCCACACTTCAGCTCTTCCTTCCAACCCTCCTTGGGGGGTTTCTTTTCCTTGCATCCCCCCCCCACATTCTCAGGGACTGGTGTTTTGTTTTTGTGGGGGGAGCAGAGAGGCCCTTTTCACCCAGCTGCTCCCTGAGAGCTCTGCCCTAAACCAGGTTTGCAGCCTTTGTCAAACGGGGCCTGAAATTGGAGAGGCTGAACGGATGTTATGTGGATCGGGCCCACTTTCGTTGCTCTGGTGCAGGGGTCAGCAACCTTTTTCAGCTGTGGGTCGGTCCACTGTCCCTCAGACCATGTGGGGGGCCGGACTATATTTTGGAGGGAAAAAATGAACGAATTCCTATGCCCCACACATAACCCAGAGATGCATTTTAAATAAAAGCACACATTCTACTCATGTAAAAACATGCTGATTCCCAGACCGTCTGCGGGCCAGATTTAGAAGGTGATTGGGCCAGATCCAGCCCCCGGGCCTTAGGTTGCCTACCCCTGCTCTGGTGTAAAAACAGAATGCGGGGGGAGGTCTGCTGGGGAAGATCTCAGAAGGCGGCTGTTAATTTTTGCAGTGTATGCTCTTTGGGGCAGGGAGCTATACCCCTACAAAAACACCACATGCCTTGCCAGTACTGTAGATCAGTAAGCGGCCTTGGTGGGTGTGCAGGAGAGAGACTTGCTCCCAAAATGCAAACTCCACCCCCCACATGAAATAATTCTTTAGTTTTGAGCAACAGTGGACTCATATATATGGCTTTAGGGCTAATAGCTTCCATGCATCTTGCGGGGTCTTCTCTGCCTGGGAGCCCTCACCCTGCTCAAACTTCTTTTGGAACTCCATGTCAAAAGTGTTTCTTTCTTTGTTATGTTTGTTAATTGCATTTAGATTCCACCTTTTTTATTATTATTCCAAGGAGCTCAAGGTGGCGCACATGGTTAGGCTGAGAAAGGCAGTGAGTGCCCCAAAGGCTGTCCAGTGATCTTCATGGCTGAGCGGTAGGATTTGAATCCTGGTCTCCCAGGTCTTAAAGGTAAAGGGACCCCTGACCATTAGGTCCAGTCGTGGCCGACTCTGGGGTTGCGGCGCTCATCTCGCTTTATTGGCCAAGGGACCCGGCGCACAGCTTCCGGGTCATGTGGCCAGCAGGACTAAGCCGCTTCTGGCAAACCAGAGCAGTGCACGGAAACGGCGTTTATCTTCCCGCTGGAGCAGTACCTATTTATCTACTTGCACTTTGACGTGCTTTCGAACTGCTAGGTTGGCAGGAGCAGGGACCGAGCAACAGGAGCTCACCCTGTCACGGGGATTCGAACCGCCGACCTTCTGATCAGCAAGTCCTAGGCGCTGTGGTTTAACCTACAGCGCCACCCGCATCCCAACTCCCAGGTCTTAGTCTGACACTATAACCACTACACCACACTGGTGTGTGCCGTTCTTGCAGATGGTGGAGGGAGGGTTGGCTAATAATAATAATAATAATAATTTATTTATATCCCACTCACCACAAGAATCCTGGAAGGTATAATTTGTTAGGAGCCAATTGCGGTGTCTTGGTTAGAGGGTCCGACCAAGACCTGGGAGACACGGGTTCAAATCCCGCTTTCAGCCACATGAAGCTTGCTGGGTGGCCTTGGGCCAGGGACTGCATCTCTTGGCCTATCCTACCTCACAGGGTTGTTGGGTGGATTAAATGGGGAGAAGGAGACCTGCGTGACCCACCTTGAACTCTTTGGAAAGAAAGGTGGGATAATAGGCTTGATAGGTGAAGAAATAGGAAAAGTAGACCAGAGATTATTCATGTATGCCACGACGGCTGCTAGAATTTTGGTAGCCCAAAAATGGAAGACACAGGAGTGGCAGACAAAAATGGTAGAATATGCGGAATTAGCAAAACTGACTTACAGGATTCGTAACCAAGAGGAAACAAAGTTCAGAAGAGAGTGGAGAAAATTTGTGGAATATATAAGTAATAATTGTAGAAGTTGAAAGACTGTAGCAGGAGTAAAATAAATCTTATGATGTGGATAGGATGTTATTAAGAAAAAGCGGAAAGAAAAGTGGAAAATGAAAACCTGTTGAAGGGAGGGAGGGAAGTCCGCGCTCGGCAGAGCGATGAAAAAATAAGATTATGGAACCTTACTGTATTTGTTTTGTTTGTTGGACTTATGTTAAAGAGAACTCAATAAAAATGCATTTTTTAAAAAAGGAAAGAAAGGTGGGATAGGTAAAGGTAAAGGTACCCCTGCCCGTACGGGCCAGTCGTGTCCGACTCTAGGGTTGTGCGCTCATCTCACTCTAGAGGCCGGGGGCCAGCGCTGTCCGGAGACACTTCCGGGTCACGTGGCCAGCGTGACGAAGCTGCTCCGGCGAACCGGCACCAGAGCAGCACACGGAACGCCGTTTACCTTCCCGCTATAAAGCGGTCCCTATTTATCTACTTGCACTTAGGGGTGCTTTCGAACTGCTAGGTGGGCAGGAGCTGGGACCGAACGACGGGCGCTCACCCCGCCGCGGGCCTTGCGATTGGCAAGTCCTAGGCACTGAGGTTTTACCCATAGCGCCACCCGCGTCCCTAGAAAGGTGGGATATGAATGCAATAAACAAATGAAGGGTGCTGGGAGTTGTAGCCCTGTGAGGGAGCAAACTACAGTTCCCATTATTATTTGCCGGGAGGGGGGTGCTCTTTAAATGCCAGGTGCCTAAGCAGCCCTGGTATCCCAAGTTGCAAGTCTTCCCCTTTCTTAAATAACTCGATCTTCCGGTCGTTCTTCCGACTGAGCAGGAACAACTGGCTTGCTATGTTTCTTTTTTTTTTTGCAGAAGAGAACTGTGTATATTATGAACCTGAAGCGCTTTTTGAAAAACCAATTAGGCATTAGGGGAACCTCAAAGGAGGTGCTTTTAATTACCCCGTGTGAGACTCGAGTTATATAAAAGGCTTTTATTTCCAACGGGGAGTTTGTGGTTCCTCCTCCCTGCCCTTTTTTAATCTGCAGAGTAAGAGACGGCTTCAGATCTTGCGCCAACCTGCTCAGGACATCTTTAGGCAATAGAAGCTTTCAGAGAAGTGCAGCGGGGGGAGAGAGAGCCCTGAAATTTGCCCTGAATTTTTTAAAATTCACATAGAAGCAGGTTTCATATGCAACGCTATAATAAAGAGTCAACCCATTTAAACTAATATACTGAAGTTAGGTCATGCCTGTTAATATCCATGGATTACTCCCCTAAATTTGGTTTTGAAAAACTTTAAAAAAGTATTAATTATAAGGAAAACCATGAAAGATAAAAAAATGACTACTTAAATAAATACAAAACAATTCATAGAGGATAAAGCAGAGATCATCAAGGATGGTTCCCAATAAATAAATATATGGTTGTATAGTCAACTGGAAGAACTGAACAGCCAGGTCAATATAATCTAACTTTTGGATCATTCCAAATTATCTGTTATTATTATTATTATATTATTATTATTATTATTATTATTATTATTATTATTATTATTGCATTTATATACCACCTTTCCTCCAAGTAGCTAAAAGTGGTGTATGTGTGGTTCTCCTCACAACAACAACAACCGTTTGAGGTTCCCTAGGTTGTGAGTGAGTGAGCTTCATGTCTGAGTGGCAATTTGAACCCTGGTATCCAAAGTCCAGTACTTTTAACCACTACCTACCACCAGACACTTCTTCGCAAATTCCAGACATGCACCCTTAAGGCGAATAAACTGGGCATACTTGACACACACCTGAACACTGAAATGCTTTTGATTTGTGTGTGTTTGGTAATGTTTTATTATTCGATTTTATACTGTATATAAAACAGAGAGAACAATTATAACTGTGCACAAAAATTAGAAGACGGAAAGCAAAACTGTAAAACAGGCACGTCGAATGAGTAGTTGCCCATGAGTTAAAACAACAAAACCCAAGTAAAGACTTATCAGTTCTCCCAGATCAGCAAATATACTTCCAGATTTGCTAGGCTTGCATTGAGGGTTCTCTTGAAAGCGACAGTTTGGCTGTATATGTCACAAAGGAATGCCAAATCACTTGCTTTTGATGTGTGTTGTGAGGTTAGAGACGCAGCCGGCTGGGAAGTGGGCAGGGTGGTGTGTGTGTGTGACAGCCGTTCTGTGGGATTACTTACAAGCCCCCCCCCTGATGCCCACCCTAAGTGCACCTGCAGCAGAACGGGGTGTTGGTGCTTCTACTGAGATGGCATCAGAAAAGACTTCCTGGGGAGATGCAATGGAAAACCCGAAGCACAAAGCCTAATTAAAGAGCCGGCTAAAGTAACAACCAATTAAAAGTGGGTTGTTGTTGTTGTTGTTTTAAAGCCGACAGCCCTACAAATCCCGTATCCTGCTACGCCCGTCCTCGCTGCCTAAACCCAGGACTGATGCCTCAGCAGCCTGCAACGTGGCCAGCAACAGATGGCGCATTTTGAGCACATTTTCCCTTCCAAAGAATCCTGGGAAATGTGGCTTCTCCTTCACAGAACTACAGTCCCCAGCACCCTTAGAAAACTACAGTTCCCACTTTCCATATGTGTGTGTGAGAGAGTAGTGGTGGTGCTTTTAATGGCTGTTGTGTTGTTGTTGTTTAGTCGTTTAGTCGTGTCCGCCTCTTCCGTTAACAGTGACCCCATGGACCAGAGCACGCCAGGCACTTCTGTCTTCCACTGCCTCCCGCAGTTTGGTCTGACTCATGCTGGTAGCTTCGAGAACACTGTCCCACCATCTCGTCCTCTGTCGTCCCCTTCTCCTTGGGCCCTCCAGCTTTCCCAACATCAGGGTCTTTCCCAGGGAGTCTTCTCTTCTCATGAGGTGGCCAAAGTCTTGGAGCCTCAGCTTCAGGATCTGTCCTTCCAGTGAGCACTCAGGGCTGATTTCCTTAAGAATGGAGAGGTTGGATCTCTGCCTGCACCTAAATGCAACTCTTAGGGTTATAGGAGCGTAAGAAGCAGCTGCGTACTGAATCAGACCACTGGGGCCATGTCGCTGAGTACTGTCTACTCTAACCGGCAGGTGGCTGTCAAAGGTTTCAGGCAGCCCTGCCTGGAACTGCCATCAGCACGGATTGAACCTGACACTCTCCGAAGGCAAGGCACGCGATTTCCCACTGAACTGGGTCATGAGCCAAAGCGGTGAATCTCTAGGCTGCCAAGTAACGCTCAGAAGATCAAGAGCTCTAGCACCTTTCTGGCCCAGAAGAAAGAAGAGGAAGAAGAAGCTGGGGAACCACCCTCTTGTGGGCCCCAGGGGTAGACAAGCCGGTTGCTTTGGCCGTAGGCTGCCCCTCCCTGAAGATTTGGGTCAGAGGGAATGACTCCCCAGGGTGAGCCAGGCGTGATTCAGCAGAGGCAGGAGACATTTGTGGAAGTGGGTGGGGGCAGAGACAGAACGGCTGGCCAGCTGCCACCTTTCTGGACCCAGGAGCCTAGTGGGTAGGGATGCGTGGCAGCCAGGAGGAGCCCCACCTCAGAGACGCTGAGCCGCCAGCCCGAAAACCCATTACAAGGCCCTCTGGAAATAAATGCAGCTGGCTGCGACTGGCGCTGAGACTTCTGCGTCTCCTGGCAGACGCAGTACTCCGGCTAGCCTTGGGAGCGAGGGCAGCCCAGTCCGCTGGCACAGGCAAGCAGGCACATCGGGGAGCAGCCCCCCACTGTTCCTCTGAGCCCCTCCCGCTGTTCCTTGGTGGTTCTCCCATGCCCTCTGCTGCTGGGGGGCAAGTGATGGAGTTTGGAGCCCGCGTGGTGTAGCAGTCAGACTGCTGACCAAGGACACAAGTGGTGAGCCTCAGCCCACCAGGGGGATCCAGCAAGGCCCTTTTCCCCAGGGGGAAAGCAGGATTTAAGTTCCTACACCCCTCTCTTCCATTTGTCAGCGGATGAGTATGGGTGAAATCCTGTTCAGTCCCGCACGGTTCCATGCAAATCCCTTCCTGATTCAGGAATCTCCTGCTAAACCCTTTCGTTCCAGCGGCGTCTGGAAAAGTGCTTTGAAATACCAACTTGGGGACGTCAAAGCCCCTCACTCCCGATGTCATTGTGACATCTTGTGAATGACAGGTTGGTCCACAACGGAGGGATTCTGTTCTTGGGTTCAGGAGGCAAAATGCAACTTTGTACCAACTTTGGGACGTCAAAGCCCCCGCACCCGATGTCGTCGTGACCTTTTGTGAATGACAGGTTGTTCCACAATCAAGGGATTCCGTTCTTGGGTTCAGGAGGCAAAATGCAATAGTTTTGGGGGGTTTTGGCTGTGGAGATGGGGTGGCAAGGAAGAGATTGTGCTGATAAGGCATTGGTCCACATTCCTGTATTAGAAGCCCATCAGTAGTCTCCTTCTGAAAAGCCAGGCTCTTGTTCTGGAGCAGACGGTCTGGTCTGGATGCTCTTGGGGGGTTTGCCTGCCCCCCCTCCCTGATTCCGCCACATGCCCCAGATGGAGGCAACGCTCTTTGAGCCTGTCCTCCTCCTTGCCCCACACTTTATTTTAAGGAGAAGGCATTTAGCCACCCAGGGGGGTGGGTGCTGGTGGTTAGGGAAGAAGAGAAAAAGTAATGCAGTGTCCAAATGAGAACCTAGATAAAGCAATTACCTGATCGATACGAGCGAAATTGAGTAATCTAACAGATCAATAGTGCCATCCTCCTCTCCTCCTTTCTCCTCTCCACACCCTCCGCTGCCAGATGAGAGGGTTGCTCTTGCAAAGGGCTGCTTCAAAGAACATGACAGCTCTAGGTTTTTTTTGGGGGGGGGAGATGGGGACTGAGGAGCAAGCACGCGGAGGGGGGGGAACGTCCGCAGCAGATTCACCATGGAAGCGCCACAAAGCTTTACCTGCCTGAACTTCAGTCCACAAACCTTTCCTCCTCCCCAGAACATCTGGTTAACACACCCTTTGTTCTCCAGTTCCACACACCACCAAGTATGCGGACTGTAAGCTCCTCAGGGCCGGAGACTTCTTGCTTATGGCTCTGGAACGGCAGCACTATGTCAGTAAGAGTCTGTGGGGAGATTCTGGGCACCTTCCAAGCCAAATCAGGCTGGATATTGCCTCCTGGCCGCACAAGTTTTTGACAACGTGCAAGAGGGCTTGTGAATGCCCCAACACTGGCCCACTTTGTTTTAAGGGGGTTTTGGTTCATTTTAAGCTTTGTGCGCTTTTACCAGTTTGTTTTCATGCTTTACAAATTTGAAAATTGCAAGCTGTGCGGTACCGACTTGCCCCTCCCTGATCTGTCTACGATTAAGGGTAACATAGGAATGATGTTTGATACACGCACAGCTGAGCTCAACCTTCTTCTAGGAGCACCTTGAACCCGGGTCAAAGCATTCCCAAGACAAAACCTGACAAAAATGACAATGTAGTGTGCTGGACTTGAATGCATCTCTACAGCCTCCCCTTCTCTTCCACCTTGTAAATTCAAGGTAGGACAGACTCAGAGCACCTTACTCCTCTTGTTGCATCCTGGGCCTTCAAAGCACAGTCCTTGCAGAACAAAGGAAGTTTCCCCCTACAGAGTCAGCCTCTTGCCAGGCCTTCCTCCTCCTCTCTCGTCTAGACCGGGCTTCCTCAACCCCGGCCCTCCAGATGCTTTTGGCCTACAACTCCCATGATCACTAGCGAGCAGGACCAGCGGACAGGGATGATGGGAACTGTAGTCTCCAAACATCTGGAGGGCCGAGGTTGGGGAAGCCTGGTCTGGACTGGCCAGCAGCAACACTCCAGGGTTTCAGGCAGGGGACAGATGCCAATGGTGATTGAAGCCGGAGCCTTCTGGATTCAAAGCAGGTGATCTACCACTAAGCTAAAAAACAAAAAACCCAAGATTCTAGTCCTCAAGCTTCTGAATTAAGGAACGATTCAAGAGGAAATTAACAAGCTGCCTTATGGGTCAGCGGCATCTATAGTGCCTAGCAGTGGTTCTGCGGGGTTTCAGACCCAGGCACCAGGCCTCCATACACTGAGCCATGGCTGCGGTGAGCAATGGGCAGAGCTGATGACAGACTAACTAAACCCTGGTGCACAGGCTGGTTCTCCCTGGAGCTCAGCTTCCATCTCTTTCTCCTCTTCCCTGGATCTCGCCTCTGTCCCTACCAGGCTGCAAGAAAGCAAGAGACTCAAAAGGACTCTGGAAGGCTTATTTAAAAGGTTTATTTAACTTTTTTAAATTTGAGGTAAAATACTTTTCATATCAACTTCCATAACAAAATACAGAGCTATCAGATACCCCTGGAAAAAATATGTATATTATACATATATTTCTATAACATTACATCATATATATAATATATATGCAAACTTTTTTTTTGAAGACTTTATAGAAAGTGGAACGTCTAAAAGGCACTGCACGAAAGCATGAGGACTACTTACATTTTTTTTCCTTAAAAAAAAAATTTTTTTTTTACACACAATTTTAATCCTGCTTTACACAGACAAAATAAAAATACCTCAAGCATTAGAGTTGCCGTTCGGATGTGTTTTACTCCCTGCTGACTCTCAAAGCATCATAAAGACAGGACCATGTCTCATGAAAAATGATTTAACAATAATAATAAATTTTAAAAAGTTGCCAGTAAATACTTTGTCACTTTAACACTAAAAAAAAAAAAAAAAAAAAAAAATCATCAAAGTTGTTTCGTTTCTTTTAAAATAAATCTAATCAAAAATATTCCAAACCAAAGACATAGCTCTCTTAAAAACCCATCAGGATCCGTAAGACGGGGGGAAAAATGAGAGAAAAGTTACATTTCTTTAAAAAGCGAAAACAGTTATGGAATTAAAAGGGCAACCAAGCAAATATAAACCTCCCTTGAAGGTTAGATAAAACCCCTTTCTACCTGTCTTCACGGGACAAGTGCAGACTTTATGCATCACCCATGACCTACCTGACTGCATGTGTGTATGTAGGTTTTTGTGTGCGTGGAGGGGAACCCAAAGTTAGGGACGGGGCGCCTTGCCCTAAAAATAGCAGTTCGGCAACAGCGCCCCACAGTGTCTGGGGGGCAGAGGTTGGGGTCCCCCCCTCCCCAGCATGGGTGGGTAACAGGAAATGGCTTCTCAGTTGGCCAAAGCGAGGGCGGTGGCAGCAGCAGCGGGCACCACCTTCGCCACATGCGGGAAGGAAGGGAACCCAGGTTGGATCTGGGCCTCAAAGTCCGGCTCCGTCCCAGGGCGAGGTCTCCTGGGGATTAGGCATCCCCTGACGCAGGAGTCCCGGGCGATGAGCCACGCACGCCGCCCCATGACCCAGGAGCGGCAAGACTCAACACGCCCGCTGCTCTCTTTCGGGGCGAGCCAGGAAATGGACCCGGACGTTAGGAGAGGCTGAGTCAGGCCCTTTGCCCGAGGTCAGTGTGTGTCGGTGTGTATGGGGTGGGGAGAAGTGGAGGTGCCCTCATTCACCCTCTCCACCCCCCGAGAGAGAACCACTCTCCTCCTCCTCCTGCCAGGCTTTGGGGCAGCCAGGTTGCAAGCTTCGCAGCTTCCTTGCTTCCTGACGTTCCCAAGGCCAGCAAAAATCTAAACGCTGTCCAAAAAAAAGGTATTATAATTCTCGTTAAAGAAAGGTCAACACACTCTCGATTAGTCGCAATACAGGAGTTCAGCCGCCCACCGGCTTGAGTATTTGGCACTACGGGAGAGACGCTTCAAAGCATGTGGCTGCTTTTTCCTGCAGGAAAAATGGGGAGCCCCTCCCCTCAGAAGCCAGGAAGGGGCCTTGCCTGCTGCGGCCCCTGCAAAGCCACAGCGATGGCTCCCTGAGCCAGCCGAAGGTGGAAGGCATCCGCCCTCCCAACACACACAGCAGATCACTTCGCTTTGCCCCCCCCCCCCCGTGCCCTTCCGGTACCCTGAGCCCTTTCGCCACCATCCCTGAACAGGGCACGTCCACTCTGCACTGCCATGGCTATCGGCGGGAGGGGGGCAGAGGAGAAAAAGGACAGCAAAGGTTAGGGTGTTTGTTTTTAAGACACGAATTCTCACTGAAGAAGTGCAAATGGGATTTCTCACGAGCAACCCCCCCATCAACCCCCCAGCCCCGCCTGACGTGGCGTCTGGCACTTGGGTACAATAGACTGAAGGTTTGCATGTACTCATCTGAAGAAGAAGAAGAGGAGGAGGAAGAAAAGGCCGTCATGTTTCAGTCCCTGAGTTTTGAGCCCATCTCCGCCAAACCCTGCCTGTCCGGGGGAAAGCGCTGCAGCCCCACCCCCGCAACATTCATAAGGCTGTTCGTGCGCAGGATGCTGGGCAACACCAAAGAGGGAGGGGCGGGCTTGCGTGAAGCCCAGCAAGAGCCACACAGCTCTTGAGGGGGGCACAGCCCACGACACTGGGGCGAGAGCCTCCCCGTTCCCAAGACTTCCATCCCCCAAACAGTATTTGACTTGGTCATCCTTGCCAGTCTCGAAGTAAAACTGGTAGCCAACAGCTTCCCTGATGCCCTCCAGCCCAAAGAGAAGAGGCAGCAGCTTGAGATCGCTCATGGGGGGGGGGGGACCGGACCGCACCAGGAATTCCCCGAACCTGATCCGTTGTAGGGGGGCAGACACTGGCAAGGGGACATTCAAAGAGGCAAAGCGAGAGTTTGCACAGGGGTGAGCTTTGCGTTGGGGCCACGACTGCCCACAAACCCCAACAAGCGTGCAAGCAAGCAAGGAAGGGGATCCTCGCCTTCGCAGTGGCAGGAAAAAGAAGGGGCACTGGGAGACGCTGCTCTTGCAGGGAACTCGTCATGAGCTCCCCATCTCTGCGGGGTCACCCTTGGGGAGTCTGCATGCACAAGCTTTCTCCCTTTCCTTGGGCCGCCTTGGGAGAAGGGGGAAGAGGAGCAGCCGCAGGGGTGCCCTGCCCACCACACGCCCCTGGGTTTTAGGACAGTGCCCACGGGCACCAGAAGACGGGCAACCCGACCAGCCGGCCCAACTCTGCTGCTAACTCTCCAGCACTGCCGCCATGCTGCAACCGCAAGGAGGACCCAGGCCCGTCTTCACACCCTGAGCTACGTGCCCCCTCTTCGCAGAAAACAACACCCCCTGCCCCCCCCCAGCATAAGCCGTTTCCCAGCGCTTGTCTCCAAAGCAGGCAGTTAAGGCAAGACGGAAAAGGCCGGGGGAGCTTTCCCCTCCCAGCGCTCCCCAAAAGGAGGGAGGAAGAAAAGGATGCCCCGGATAAGTCATTCTGTGGGAGCTCCCAGCTGCTTCTCAGCTCCGTTGCCCCCCAACGCCCCTCGCCCACAACCACCAAGGGAAATTACAGAGGGGGGGGTCTTGTTAAAGGCATTCAAGGTTTTCGTTTACAACCACATTCCTTGCACATCCCTGAAAAGGTTTTACAATTGCTCGTCATGGCTTCTTCGATAATTTTTCAAAAAAAGTTTTTTAAAAAACGTGACCATTCGGTGTGTCCCCCTCCCTCCCTCCCCAGCAAAGTCCTAAAAGTAACACTTATGGTTGCCAAGCCCTCATTCCAGCCGGCCCAGGCCCCAGGCCCTCCCCTGCCCCAGGGGGCAGCCGCCAGCTCGGCCAAGTCTCATTTCCCTCTCCTCTTCCTGCTATCCCCGCTTTTGAAAAAGGATCAAAGACAGTGCAATGTCCTGGTGGCTAAATAAAGCGTTTTCCTAGCTTGGTAACGAGACACATTTCCAGTTCTGAATGGCTAGGAAGTCCTCCGCCTGGTCCACCCGCCCCCCACCGCCCCCCCCTTCCAGAGAAAAGAACTATGTACATTCAGACAGATTCTTGCTTCTGTAAAAGACCGTAAGGGGAGAGGGGGGCAGAATTCAAGAGAAAAGTCTTTTCACGTCAGTGGAAGCCCACCAGGAGGCAGGGCAGTGGCCGTAGACGGGGCCACAGGGCTGCAGACAAGGCAGGCCTTGACCCAAACAGCCTCTTGCCTGCAATACACACACACACACACACACACACAACCCCTAGAGTTCATAAAACCATTCTAGCCTCCCCACTCCTCCTTTTCCCCTGGGTCCCCTTCCCTCCTGGCTAGGCAAATCTTGCTACAGTACAAAGCAGACACACACAAACACCGCCACGGCCATGGGGCTTCTACAGTCCTAAGTATCCACGGCAGCTTTGGGGGCCAGGAGGATGTGTGGGGTGTCCAGGGCTCCCCAGTAGGGCTTCCTGGCCCCCTGCTCCTCCTTCAGGCCCTCCGCCTGCCGGTCGTCGTTCCAGCGCCTCTTCAGGCGCAGTTTGGGGGGCATCACAGCGGCGGAGTCCTCCCTCTTCTCCGGGGCCCCCGCTGCCTCCCCCATCGTCTCTCGCGGGGGCTTCTCAACGGAGACGTCCTCTTGCTTGGGCTTCTTCTCGTTGGCCGGAAGGTCAGCCTGGGTGGGCGCTGGGGGCTGAGCTGCTGCCGCCGCTGCCGGCCAGGAGGGGGCCACTGGCCGCGCAAAGAGGGTCTTCTCCCGCTGCTCCTGGGAGCTCTTGCAGGTGGGCGACTGGGTGGCTGAGCGGCAGCCTCCCTCTCGCCCCGGGGACTCCCTGCCCTCGGGCTCCTGGCGGTCCGGCAGGGGCTCCACCTTGATCTGGGGGGAGGACGGCGGAGGGGCCCCGGGCCTGCCGCCGCTCTCCGGCCGCTCGCGGTTCTTGCGTCCGGCAGGCGGGGGCTGCAGCTTGATGGGGAACTGGGCCGGGTCCTCCGGAGGCAGCTGGCAGGGGAAGGGCGGGATGAGAAGGCCCGGGTAGCGGGGGAAAGTCCGCGGGCTGAGGTGGTAGTTGAAGACGGAGCAGGCCTGCGAGTGGAGGTAGTGCTTCATCTCCTCGGGGTTGAAGGAGAAGCAGCTGCCGCCCACCGCAAAGGGGCTCATGCCCGGCGAGGGGCTGTACGAGAAGAGGGTGGGGGTCAGCGACAGGGCCGGCGAGATGGGCACGTTCAAGACCCCTCCGCGCGTCGGCAGGGGGGAGACGGCGAAAGGGCTATGCGGGTCGGGGTACATCCCCGACCGTCCAAAGAGTGGCAGCACCAAGTCCGGCTTGCGCTTCTGGTGGCTGACCCCACCTGCGGAAGCGGCGGCAGCAGCGGAATTGCGGGAAGCCAGCAGGTCCACTCCGTGGCGCCAGTCCGGAGAGCCTCCCTCCAGCTCCGGAGCTGGAGAAGACTTCTCGCCGCGGCCGCCGTTGTTCAAGGTCTCCTGGGCGGACGAGGCAAGGGGCCGGCCGGAGAAGCGACTGGGCTGGGCGTCCTCGGTGGGCGAGTGGCCGTCCAGTGGGGAGAACTGGAAGTGGGACGAGGCCGACGGGACAGGAGGGGCGCTTTGGGGGACGACACCTGAGGAAGAAGGAGACGGAGGGGCGTGAGGAATGGAGGCCTGTCTGAGCGTTACGAGGGGCAGACGGGCTTCTGCAGGGGCTTGCCCACCAAGTGCCCTGGCCTCCAGGAGCAGCCCCAGGTCTCACAACCCCCCTCTCAAAGCTCCAGCCCACAGAAATAATCATCCTCATTATTATTTATTCAACTTCTTGCCTGCCCTTCACCATCAGGTTCCAGGGCAGGTGGCAACAGTTTAAGGTTCAATTATCCAAAACAGTTTAAAACAAATTAAGGGAATAGGGTGGGACCTGGAAACACACGGAGGTATCTCCAGGGTGAAAGGCCCAGGGTGAAAAGGTGAGGTTGCAGCGTATGGCAGACACTGGACCAGGAAGGTGCCAAACGCACTTCTGTGGAAAGGGGGTGCCACAACTAGGGGGCTGCCAAGGAGAACCCAGCCACACCCCACACCTGAACACAGCCAAGAGCCCCCACTCTGCCAACTGTAATGCCCAAGAGGGTGTGCAGGGAGCCTTTTGCATGTTGGTGCTGATTTTTAATGCCCTAAACTGCCTCAGCCCAGTAGACCTGAAGGAGCATCTCCACCCCAATTGTTCAGCCCACTGAGGTCCAGCTCCGAGGGCCTTCTGGCGCTTCCCTCCCTGTGAGAAGTGAGGTTACAGGGAACCAGGCAGAGGGACTTCTTGGTGGTGGCACCTGCCCTGGGGAACACCCTCCCATCAGATGTCAAGGAAATAAGTAACTATCTGGCTTTTAGAAGACATCTGAAGGCAGCTCTGTTTTGGGAAGTTTTTAATGTTTGATGTTTTATTCTGTTTAATATTCTGTTGAGAGCCACCCAGAGTGGCTGGGAAAACCCAGCCAGATTGGGGGGGGGTGTTAATAAATAAATCATCCTCATCATCATTGTGTTGGACTAGGGCGTGGGCGAGACCAGGGCTCAAATTCCCACTCAAGCCAGGAAAGCTCACCAGGTGTCCTTGAGAGCCAGTCTCTGCCTCTTGGCCTAACCTACCTCATAGGGTTGTTGTGGGGGTTAAATGAGAAGAGGGGAGAACTATATATGCCACCTTGTGAGATAAAAAAAGCAGCATCAGCAACAGCGGCAGCAACAACAACATAAAAATCATCTTTGGCCAGGAATGGCTGGTGTGGCCTCCCGTTTCCCTGCGTAGGGGAAGCCCTCAGGCACAAAGACCCCACACGCCACCTAGGCTGCCACTTCCCACAAGAAAGGAAGCGCCAATATCTGGGGCGAGGGCAAAGGAGGCAAGGGCCAAACAGGTTTGTTGCGTCAACCTCCCCACAGGGGAGAAGAAAGAAAACAAGCTGCAATCATACTGGGAGGCATTCCAGGACTCCAGCACCTTCCTTGCCTGCTCGGTGCCAGCCCCAGGCAGCCAGGAGGGAGGGAAGGGGAGAGAGAGAGAGAGAGAGGCGAGTGCAGGGCGGACCCGAGAGGAAGAAGAAAGGGAACTGGAACAAGCAACATCAGGCAGCAACTGCCCAGACTTGTTCCTGCAGGAGCCCTAATGTTGTTCCAAGACAGCAGCTTCTTTCCTCCGCGGTAACAGAAACACAGAATTGTAGGGTTTGAAAACCACCAAGGGAGGAGAGTCCTCCACCTTCTTCCAAGGGAGTCCGTTCTGCTGTCCAACAGCTATTTTGGAAAGTATGAGTTGGCGCTGGTTTGCCTTTCCGTGGGAAGTGGACCCACAATGGGTGGCCCCTTGCTCAACGCCCTTCTTCTTACCTGTTGGCCGGATGTTGATGAAGGGGTAGTTGGGCATCACCAGCTTGTTGAAGTTGAACTTGTAGGTGAACCTCTTCCCTTTCGTCTTGTGGAGGATCCGCTTGTTATAGTAGTATCTGCCAAATAAAGGAAGGAAGGATATAAGGGCGCCAGCCAGCCGTGAGGAATGCTACGTCCAGACAGCTCAGTGGGGGAAGCACTGGGGTTGCCTGCAGAAGTCCCTGGGTTCAATCCCTGGAAGCCTCCCACATTCCTTTATTTGGAAACACAAGGACTGGAATCTGAGTTGAGATTCTGTAAGAAAGGGGCCATAATTCAGTGGTGAGAACACCTGCTTTGGCTGCAGAAGGGTTCCATCCCTGGCATGGCCAGCTAGCGCTGGGAACGTCCCTGGCCTGAAACCCTGGAGAGCCGCTGGTGCCAGTCAGTGTCTACAATAACTGAGCTAGATGGACCAAGAGTCTCCCTTGGCATAAGACTGCAACACCTAGAACCTGCCTTTGTTTTTACAGGGAGGGTTGGAGCTCTTTAATGGAACATCTGCTTTGTACGCAGAAGATTCCGGGGCCCAGTCCCCACGGGGGTCTCCAGGCAGGGCAGAGGAACGTCCTCACAGACCACAACCAGGCAAGCTGCTAATTCTGCCCATCCGTGTTGTCAATACTGGGTAAGACAGAAGGCAGCTTCCGCTCTTCCTGAAAGAGGCGCCTGAAGGGAAGAACACAATGGGAGACGGGTTTCCTCCCGTCAACCTGCTGGGCCAGCCATGCTGCTTTGTCTCCCCGGTGCCATTTGGAGGCTCCTGGAGGCGGCGAGGGCAGGGCTCTGCCTCTCCTCCTCCCTGGGATCAATGGCTGGGCCTGCATCCTCCGACCTGTTACTTCCTTCCTCTCCCATTAGGTACAGGATGCCGCCCTGTTCGCTGATCTTGGCCTCCGCCACCGAGGAGTTGAGCAGAGGGCAGAGCAGCAGCCAAGCCCGTGGGCTCCCCTCTGCTCAGCCACCACCTCCTGGGGACAGAAGCCAGAGGGAAGAGACAACCTGTTCACCACTTGGCGTGCGCCCTCAAGTCTTGGCACTGGCTCAACAGCTCTGGCTGCCTTGTCAGGAGGAGGAGGGGGCGAGAGAGCCAGAAGAGGAGGGGGGCAAGGACAGGGAGCCTTGCAGAGGACCAAGAAGGGGCACCCCAGCAGCCCTAACAGAGGACTGCCTAGGATGCATCGTGGAAGCAGAGACCATGGCAGGAACCAGCCGGACTCCTGCACTAGATACAGCACCCCAGATCTGCAATGATCCTGTCCCAACCACCCCGCTCCTAGAGTCACAGAAACACAGAATTGTAGGGCTGGAAGGGGTCACCTAGCCTAACTGGAATGCAGGAATCGCAACTAAAGGATCCCTGGCAGGTGGCCAGCCAACCTCTGCTTAAAAACCTCCAGAGGAGGAGAGTCCACCACCTTCCGTTCCACAGCGGAACAGCTCTCACTTTCAGAAAGTTCCTCCTGATGTTTAGTCAGAATGTCCTCTCTTGTCATTTGAATCTATGAATTGGGTCCTATCTCCTGGGTCAGCAGAAAAGAAGCTGGTTCCATCTTTCATGTGACAGCCCTTCAGATATTTTGAGCATGGCTCTCGTGCCATCTCTTCTGCTGTCTGAACAAGCCTGTTACCCAGTTAGCCCTCTCAAGAACAGAGAGAGTCCAGAGGGGCTTCTCAGTCAAGGACTGCCCCCTCCCCAAACAGCCAAGATTGTAAGACCCTGAACCTTTCCGCCTAGAGAGACCCCTGAATGGTTGCTGCGAACGCTGATGGCTCTGTTCTCCTGCCTCTGAGTGACAGCTGCTGGAAACTTCAGGCCTTGTGAGCTTCCCATCAAGGCGCCTGACTGGCCACTGTGGGGGCAGATGCTGGACTAAATGACCCCCCAGTACCTGAGCCAACCGTCAGGCTCTTCCGATGTTCTTATGACTTCACTGCAGTTTCTGCATTGCAGGGGGTTCGACCAGATGACCTTTGGGATGCCTTCCAAATCTGCAAGCCTGAAACTTTGTGTGCCACCCTAAACTGCACGCCAACGTTCAAGCCTCGCTTCCACAATGAGGGAACTGAATCCCAGGAAGCCAGCTGTGGCTGATCTAGGGATCCATTTTGTACCCTCCGCCCTCTGGACTTTCAAGAGCAGACACAGAACGCGATTGGGAAACTTCCTGGAAGGCTGACAGCACAATTCTCAGAGGAAAACCTTCTGCCTTGGAAAGGACTCCTTATCGCTTGGAACACACGCCTAGGATTGCACCCGAAGCACTTCAGATTGCAGAACCCTGCAAAGCACAGAGAGCAAGTATCCCATGTTGCCCTAGTTAGGAGCCAGAGAAGAGCCCAGCCTTCTGCCCTTGCAGAAATCTCCACCAGGGCCCATTTCAAACCTGGCAGGGAGGACTTTGCTGACAAGACAAGGGCCAAGCTCCTCTTATTCAGGCCCTCAACTCCCACATTCCCTGGGCCCGCACCCTGCTACCCCTCACCTGAGGGCCCGGCTGAGCTTGTCGTAGTTCATCTGGGGCTTGCACTTCCTCCGGCCCCACAGCCGCGCCACCTCGTCGGGGTCCTTGATGACGAACTCCCCGTACTCCCCCTGCTGCCAGGCAATGACGTGCCGGAACTCCTCCTTCTGCAGAAGCTCCAGGATGAAGTGCCAGAGCTGGATCTGGCGGGAGCCCGGGCTGGACTCCGTCTTGTAGGCCCAGTCCGGGAAGTGGTAGCCTGCAGAGAAGGCCAAAAACAGAGGGAGCTTCAGGGGCAGAAGAGGAATGAGGGTCCCACCTGCCGAAGAGCCACTTTCTCTCCACGGAGAGAGCCTCTGCGGTGGTCACCTGGCTATTAAAACTATTGCAGCTTCTTTCTTTATTATTATTATTATTGTTATTATTATGAGGTGCAAGATCCCAGGAGGAAGCATTGTGCAGTCCCTGGCCCTCACACCGTTTTGGCTTCTTTGACACGAGGGATCAGGGACTTGTGAGGTCCTCTAGACCCTGCAGGGCTCCACCTCCTAGCAACCAATGGCCAATGGCGAGGAGGACGGTGGCAGTTGGGAGTCCAGTTCCCCCGTCCTGCTTCACATCATCAATAGTTCCAAGCGGCCTCAAGACTCGTGGACTAATATGGTCACCACTATGCAGCCAGAGCGCCTCTGCAGTGTCTTTCCATGCCCCCCCACAACCACCTTATCACTTTACTGTCCTGTCTGGAGAGCCCCCTAAGTCTAGCTGCAAGGCCAACAGCCTGATCATAGAATCATAGAGTTGGAAGAGACCACAAGGGCCATCGAGTCCAACCCCCTGCCAAGCAGGAAACACCATCAGAGCACATATGGTTGTCAAGCCTCTGCTTAATGACCTCCAAAGAAGGAGACTCCACCACACTCCTTGGCAGCAAATTCCACTGTCGAACAGCTCTTACTGATCAGTCCTGAAGCAATGGCATCTGCCAAGATAACATCTCAAGGAAGGAGAAAACAGGACAGTTTCTTCACAGACAAAGAAGGCGGCAAGCTTCTGAGAAGAGGTCCGGCCTCTGAATTCACAGAGCCCAAGGGTTTGATGGGTGGGATTCTTACCTCCTCCGCCCTCTGGCTTCTCCACAATGGGGCAGCCTGCCTTCATTTTTCTGCTCCTGCTGGATGTTCCAAGGGTAGAGGGGGAGGAGAGAGAGAGAGACCATGATTACTTTCTAGGACTTATTAGCTGCTGAACTTTCTCAGCCCAGGAGAACCACCATGCAGAATTCCATGGCTTTGTCACAAGCAGCCATCACAAGAGGGTTCCCTCATCGCCAACTCCTAACCACAAATAATCCTCACTGTTGCCAAATTCTACTTTTTGATTTTGCCCTTTACCCCCAAGAAAATGGCAAGCTAGCGACCAGCAAAGTTTTAGAGCCAAAAAAAGGGGGGGGGGAATTCTCCTGAGTTGGGAGGGAGCTCAGTTAGGGTGCCAGCCTCCCACCCTGGACCAGCAACTATGGGGCAGGCCAGGGGTGTGTGTGGAACAACCCCAAGTCCCACAGGAAAAAGGAGAAATATCCACGTCTGATTCAGATTATTCCATATTGATGAAACCCCCATCAAGCTCAGTCCACAGATGGGTGGCCTTCCGTGTCTCTGTGGGCTCCCTGCCCTGGAAGCAATACTCAGGCCAGTCTCTGAACGGCTTTCCCCAAGCAAGCTGTTTCCCAAAAATCCATCACTTGGGTGCACCCACAGCAGGCAGGGGGGCTGCTCAATCCCCGCTCCCAGAACAGCCCCCCAAGTGCAGCGACTGCCAAAGGGGCAAGTCAGGACAGAGGAGGCTCCTGAGCAGGGAGGGAAGTTTGCTGTGCAAGTTTGTGCCTGCCAAAGTTTCACCAGCGCGGGGTCGGGAGTGGGGGCTCCAGTTGGAAGTAGGGCAAAGCCACAGGGGGAAGTAGGGAGGGCATCACAGGAACCAGAACTCGTGTTAGGAAAAGCCTTGCCGACCCCACTGGAAAGGCTGTAAACGCAGAGGCCGAACCCTTATCAACAGACACGCACGTCTGCCCGGTTGCAGGGAAGCTGCTCTATCTGGCAGCCTTCGCAGGATGGCTGGTGGGGGCCCACGAGCCTCTCCAGCCGGTCCTCCCCCAGAGACCTTTTCTTCCTGGCTTCCTCTCCCTCCACCACACCCGTGTTTGAACAGTGAAGTCACCGAGAGACTATTTTAAGCCAAGAGAACATCCCTCCCTACAGCCCAACAACTGGGATTTGAGAGGGGAAGATTTCTCCTTCCTTCTTCTGACTGAGCGGGCAAAAAACGATAAGGGGGGAGTCATAAAGGGATTACCTGCTCCCTGCGCTCTAACAATGCTCCAAAGCCTTCCCGCAGAGCGCCTGGCACTCCCTACAAGGGGGGTGGGATGGGCCCCACTCCCTGCGGAGGAACACCTTTCACCTCCCAGCACTGGAAGGAAAAAGACAGCCTTGGCTCCGAAGATTTCCAGGGCAGAGGAAGGCAGGCAGCTGCCTCCAGATCCCAGTTCCACCTAAAGGCAACCCTCTCTCCCAATACGCAGCCCAGAGTTAAGATTCACGCCCGGGTTCAAATTCCAAGGCGGCGGCTTCGGCTGGGTGCTGTCTTGTTACTTGACTGCCAGGGCGGCTGCGAGAATAAAGCACCTTCTTTTCCTCCTCCTCCTCCTCCTCCTCCACCCTGTGGCTGGATTTCCAGTGTCAGAAACTGGCATTCGGAAGCAGGCTGCTCCTGAACTTGGAAGCTTTAGATCTCCTCCTCCTCCTTGAACTTGTCTAAGCTCCTCCCCAAACCCATTCCCTACATTTTGGGGAAAGGGATTTCCTCACTGTAACTGTGATGTTTGGGGTCAATCAAGAACAACAACAGCAGCAACCGTAGTTCTCTCTCCAACCCCTCACTATAGGGCATCCCTCTTGCACCTTCACTTTTTGTTCCTCAGGCACAAGTTTACACACCTAAACTATATATTGAGACCCGGCGCAGTGTAAACGAGGCAGCCCCTGCTTCAGATCTCGCCTCGGCCACGAGCAAACTAGGTGGCCTACCAGGAAAGCGACTCGCACACAAACAGCTACCCACCTCCCCATCTGCAATTTTTTTTGGGGGGGTGGGAAGCAAGAATGCAGATTTACCTAGCAGGGCCACTGTAAGGATTGCAAGCAGGTATTACGCAAAGCCCTCTGATCACTTGGCGGTGCCACAGGAGGGTGAAGTAATACCAAACGCCCCATTCATGTGTGTTATAAATATGTGTGTGCGTGTAATGTGAAAGGGAACATTCCCCCCCTTCACACCCTGTCCCCCCCTCTGAATGACGCCTCCCTCTGCCATCTCAAAAGTCTTACTTTAAATCACATGCTGATTTTCCACGTTGAGCAAAGAGGAATATCAATATTATATCTGCTGAGCGTTCCTCCCTCTGTAGCACCTGACCCCCTTCCCCTCCAGCCCCCTTGGGGATCCCTCCTCCCCGTAGCCCTGCCAGGTAGGCCTGGCTGAAAGGCCCAGAGAGACTGTGGAAACCCCTGAATGACACCTCCCTCTGGGATCTCAAAAGTCTTACAGTGGTACCTCGGGTTAAGTATTCAATTCATTCTGGAGGTCTGTTCTTAACCTGAAACTGTTCTTAACCTGAAGCACCACTTTAGCTAATGGGGGCCTCCCACTGCTGCTGTGCCGCCAGAGCACGATTTCTGTTCTCATCCTGAAGCAAAGTTCTGAACCTGAAGCACTATTTCTGGGTTAGCGGAGTCTGTAACCCGAAGCGTCTGTAACCCGAGGTACCACTGTATTTTAACTTACATGCTGGTTTTCCACCTTGAGCAATGAGGAATATCCATATTCTATCTGCTGAGCCCCCGCCCCCCTCCCCGCCAGCCCCCCGGGGACCCCTCCTCCCCGCAGCCCGGCCAGGCAGGCCCGGCTGAAAGGCCCCGAGAGACGGCGGCCTCGACCCCTTCGCCGCCGAGAGAGGCGAGGCCGGAGACCCCGGAAGCCCCTCTCGCCCGGGGGGAGCCCGGACCCCCTCCCCTCCCCCACCCACCCCTCCCCTCCCCCAATCCCAGGCCGCCCCCCCCCCCCGCCTCTCACCTGAGCCGCCTCCGCCTCGGGGCTCCGTCCTCTTCCTCCTCCCTCCGCGCCCCGCTTTCCTCTCCCTTCTTCCCTTCCTTCTTTCTCTCTCTCTTCTCTCTCTCTCTCTCGCTTCCCCCCCTCCGAAGTCCCTCGCCCACCCCCAGCCTCCACACACCGGAAACGGAAACGCCTCGTCGGCCGCCCACTGGGCCCTGACTCAACCCGCGCGTCACTTCCGGCGGAGGGAGCGAGGGAGGATGGCCGGGAGGACGTCACTTCCTCAGGGAAGCCGAGCGGGAGAAGGGGGAAGTTTGCGTCACTTCCGGAGGAGGGACCGGAAGGAGAGACAGAGAGAGAGATTGTGTCCCCTTAAAGAGATACTGATGGGAACAGAACTGTCATTATTTTTAGAATAATTATCTCTATTATCATGGCTGTTAATAAGCTAAGATTTAGGGTGTTATTATTATTATTATTATTATTATTATTGCTGCTGCTTTCATCTTGCTGTTGTTATGAATGGTCCTGTGATGATGCTGATTCCTCCTTTGCTAATCTCTATTATGTCATTATTTAATATTGTTGCTCTTCCTGCCCTCCTGAATTTCCCCTGTGTCAAGGTGAGAGTGCAGCAATTCTGCTGCTCCTAAAGGGGAAAGTCCCAGAGCTGACCACCCTAAGAGCAGCATCCCCTTGCCTCTGCCTCTCCTCTTGAGGGTCCAGACTGGGGAGTGGAGGGAGTTTGGTCCAGGTTTTGTCTTTTGGCTCAGCGCTGATCCCGTTCTGGTCATCAAGATGTGCTTGTATCTTGGCTTTGCCTTCTAGCTGAATTACGTCTGATGTCTGGTCGCCGCTGTCTTTAAGGACACAGTTGCCGGTGTAAATATAAATTATATTTATGCAAAAAAGTGAAGAGCCCTGCTGGATCAGGCCAAAGGAGGCCCGCCTAGCTCCCAACTACACCCCCCTCCCGCAGGAGGCTGTGATGCCCACCAATAAGGTTGGCTTCGAAAGGGAATCGGACAAATTCCTGGAGGAGGAGAGGGCTACCGAGGGCTAGTAGCCTCCATCGTGAAGAGGCAGCCCTGCTTCTGAATCCCAGTTTCTGGGAACCACCGGGAGGGAGACGCTCTTGTGTTCGAATCCAGCTTGCTGGTTTCCCATAATGGGCCCCCCGGGGCTGCGATACGTTTTGACCCCCGAGGCGAACCACAAAATGGTGCCCCATCAGGAAAGGGGAGGGGTGAGTGAATATCTGTTTGGGATAGCTCAGAGTCAAGTGCTAAACAGGGCTGCCTTCAGATGTCTTCTAAAAGTCTGGTAGTTGTTTTTCTCTTTGACATCTGGTGGGAGGGCGTTCCACAGGGCGGGTGCCACCACCAAGAAGGCTCTCTGCCTGGTTCCCTGTAACTTGGCTTCTCGCAGGGAGGGAACCGCCAGAAGGCCCTCGGATCTGGACCTCAATGTCTGGGCAGAACGATGGGGGGGGGAGACGCTCCTTCAGGGATACTGGACCGAGGCCGTTTAGGGCTTTCAAGGTCAGCACCAACACTTTGAATTGTGCTCGGAAACGTACTGGGAGCCAATGTAGATTTCTCAGGACCGGCGTTACATGGTCACGGCGGCCACTCCCAGTCACCAGTCTAGCTGCCACATTCTGGATTAGTTGTAGTTTCCGGGTCACCTTCAAAGGTAGCCCCACATAGAGCACATTGCAGTAGTCCAAGCGGGAGATAACTAGAGTATGCACCACTCTGGCAAGACAGTCCAAGGAGTGTGCCGGAGCTTTTACCACCGTGGCAGTGGGCGATGCGCCCCTTGGAGGCCAGACCTGCTGCCCCGTGGATCCTGCCGCGCGAGGCGGTCACTTCACCTTGCCTCATGAGTGGGTCACCCCTTCCCAGGGCTGTTGAATGACTATAGAAAGCTACTGGGAGCGGTCATTGTGAGGTTTGGGGCAGGGTGTTGTCAGTATGCTGCTGACACCCTGTTCTGTTTCTCTGTGACGTCTGAATCATTCAGGAGAGGCTGTGACTGTTTTAAACAGGTGCCTGAGTGCTCTGGCACGCTGGACAAAGGCCAGCAAACTTGACCCTGAATCCTGGTGTTATAGGAATTCTAAGGCTCATATTATATAAATCATAGGTTCATAAATTTACAAGGCGAACACATACATAAGTATATAAACGACGTGTCTGAAATAGTACAGGAAAGCAATCCTGAAACCATTTTGACCCTCCCAAATTGACCTCAAATGTTTCTCTGCAAGGAGGGAGGAAATGGGAAAAACCTCCCCATTGTCTCTTTGCTCACAGATCCTGTCTTGAGGGCGTATCTGTGTGTGAATAGGGTGAGCCTGTGACCTGGATTCAGGAACTGAGTATTTACCATCACAAAAGAATGGTCAGGATGCCCTGGTAAAAGCAACCAGTGACCATTATCAGGTATCCTGGCATACAGGTTTTCTGCTGTAGACCACCCCTTCAGTGACGTATGTGTGATGTTTTGGGGGGTGGTCTTGAGCAACAGGGGAGGCAATTTTCAAATGTCTGTGTAAGAGCTTGCACACCATAGTTCTAGGTTCCTCTCCTCCTGCGTGGGATGAGCAGGGAACTCTGTTGCAAGACATCAGTAAAGATCAGGCTTGCTAGCTGCTTTGCTTCTCAATATTCTCTGCTTGGCCTCGTGTTATTTTCTCCTACCGATAGAAAACCTACATAAGGACCCTATACGGGCTCTTGGATACCCCATAAGGGATAAAGGAGCAGGTTTTTTTCTTATAATACTGGTAGGATGGAGACTTTGTGGTTGAGAAGTTCCCAGGTCCTGGAGTGAAGGAGGTCAACAGTTCTGGACAGGGTTGCTGTTCCCCTAAATAATAATAATAATAATAATAATAATAATAATAATAATTTATTTCTATCCTGCCCTCCCCAGCCGAAGCCGGGCTCAGAGCGGCCAACAATAAAAGTAACACAGCATTCTAAAATCAATTCATTTTAAAATCAATTCAAATCAAATTAATGGCAACCATTGGGCTGAAGTTCTGTGAGGATTGCCAAGGGAGGGGGTCAGACTGTGCCTTGGCCAAAGGCCTGGTGGAACAGCTCCGTCTTGTGGGAAAGATGTCAAGTCCCGCAGGGCCCTAGTCTCTTGTGACAGAGCGTTCCACCAGATCGGAGCCACGGCTGAAAAGGCCCTAGTTCTGGTTGAGGCCAGCCTAACCTCCCTGTGGCCCAGGACCTCCAAGATGTTTTTGTTTGAAGACCGCAAGGTCCTTTGTGGGACATCCCAGGAGAGGCGGTCCCGTAGGTACAAGGGTCCTAGGCCGTATAGGGCTTTAAAGTTTAAAACCAGCCCCTTAAACCTGATCCTATACTCCACCGGGAGCCAGTGCAGCTGGTATAGCACCGGGTGAATGTGATCCCGCAGTGAGGACACATTCTGCACCCGCTGGAGTTTCTGGGTCAGCTTCAAGGGCAGCCCCGCGTAGAGCGAGTTACAATAATCCAGTCTGGAGGTGACCGTCGCGTGGATCACTGTGGCTAGGTCAGGGCGAGAGAGATAAGGAGCCAACTGCTTGATGCGGCGGAGATGGAAAAAGGGGATGAAGGGACAGTTGGGTAGTTTAAAGGGGTGCTCCTAGATTCACCTCTGTCCCTGAAGGCTCAACTGACTTCTGTGGGGAGGGGGAGCACCCTATTGCCAGTGGGAACCCCCTCCCAGATGAGGCAGGGATGGCCAACAATCTGGAAGGGCTCTAAAAGAGGATGAAACAAATGCATGGAGGAGGAGAGGGCTTTGCCCAAGGGCTGCACGTATTCTCAGCTGCACACACACAAACACACACTTCCCGCAGTGGTGTCCAAACTCTTTTCAAAGAGGGCCAGATTTGATGAAGCGAAGGGCCGTGAGGGCCGACCAAAATTGTTTACCTTTTTTGAAGTTTGTTGAGCTTTCTTATGATTTTACCCCAAAGTACTTGAGCTTAAAAAGGGACGCAGGTGGCGCTGTGGGTTAAACCACTGAGCCTAGGACTTGCCGATTGGAAGGTCGGCGCTTCGAATCCCCGCGACGGGGTGAGCTCCCGTTGCTCGGTCCCTGCTCCTGCCAACCTAGCAGTTCGAAAGCATGTCAAAGTGCAAGTAGATAAATAGGTACCGCTCCAGTGGGAAGGTAAACGGCATTTCCATGCGTTTCTCTGGTTCGCCAGAAGCGGCTTAGTCCTGCTGGCCACATGACCCGGAAGCTGTACGCCGGCTCCCTCGGCCAGTAAAGCGAGATGAGCGCCGCAACCCCAGAGTTGGCCACAACTGGATCTAATGGTCAGGGGTCCCTTTACCTTTACCTTTAGTTGAGCTTAAGTTGTTGAGATGTTTTTTTTTAGGATTTTACTCCAGGAAATAAACTGCCACAGGGGCCAGATTCAACCAACCGGCGGGGCGATTGAGAGTAAGTTCTCTTGAGGCCAGTGGGAGTTGCTTCCGAGTAAAAGCATCCCTGGGATGGAGCAATTAGGGTTGGATGGCAATTTGTGCTTGAGGCAGCAGCGCCTCACTGTGGCGAAGAGAGGAAACGGCAGGCTGTGATGTCCAGGAACCTTTATAATCAAGAGAAACTTTTCCGTCTGCCTTGAAAACATCCAGTGCTACTTTTCTAGAAAAAGAGGTGCCAGAACTCACCATAAACTTCCCCCTTGGTCTCTTATAATGGCAATGGCGCCCACCTGAGAGGCGCTGGAGCTGAGTTCTGGCGAATTCTGGCTGGGGGCGGGAAAGCCCTGAAAACACCCTACCTTGACTTTTGGATATTTTGGTATGATATCTTGATGAGGACCATAAAATAGATGTGAGTGAACATATTGTGACAAGTCCTTCTTACTTGAGGAACCAGCTTTTTTGAATATTTTTTATTAAGAATTTCAACATAACAGACTTCCCTCAGCTCCTCTCTCTGGTTTTTCAGCGCATATTATTCTCTGCATGTTATAAAATTGTAAGGATCCTTAATTTATCTATATTACCAATAAAAAGTTTGTGTATGTTTATTCAAACCCTGCCAAGGAGTCCAGTTCATTTTGTTGTTTCTTAAAATACTTTGTAAAAGGTTCCCATTCTTCTTTAAAATCACAGTTATCCTTATCATGTAGTTTGTGTGTCAATTCCGCCAATTCCGCATAGTCCACCAGTTTTTCTTGCCACAGTCCTTTAGTCGGGATTTCCTCGTTCTTCCATCCTTGTGCTATTAAGACTCTTGCTGCCGTTGTCGCATACATGAAAATGCTTTTCAGTTTCTTTGGCAGGTCTTTTCCTATAATCCCTAACAAGAATGCTTCAGGCTTTTTTACAAATGTTAATTGGAACATTTTCTTCAACTTATTGTATATCCTTTCCCAGATTTTTTAAATTTTACTACAGTCCATAGCTGTCAACTTTCAGATTTGAAAATAAGGGTTCAGCAGCCTCACCTGTCCTGAGGATAGTCGATGGGATAGCTAACAATCTGGGAAATCAGCGGGAAGCAGCGGGAAACGCCGCTGGAATAAGGAAATTTCCTGCAAAAAAAGGGAAGGTTGACAGCTATGCTACAGTCCCAGCACATATGGCACTGTGTGGTGGGTTCAAGCCGCAGTTTCTGTGGCCCACGATTGACCAGGTGGTGACCTCACAACTGGCCACAGATTCTGGCACTCTCGCTTCCCCGGAGATCCACAAAGATTCCAGGATGATTTCCTCAGCTCTGCTCCTCCGTTGCGCGATGAAGTGCTGGTTCTCCTGCAACCACCGCTGCCGCAGGTAAAGCCCAGGAGAAGCATCAGGAATGGTCCTCAAGCCGAGGTGTTGCTGTGGTTCGTTCTCGGGGTTCATTCTGGTTCCCAGTTCTTGCGTGCTTTTGCACACTTTTGCTTCAGGTCCAGTGTACCTGAAGGAGCGTCTCCACCCCCGTTGTTCTGCCCGGACACTGAGGTCCAGCTCCGAGGGCCTTCTGGCGGTTCCCTCACTGCGAGAAGCCAAGTTACAGGGAACCAGGCAGAGGGCCTTCTCGGTGGTGGCGCCCGCCCTGTAGAACGCCCTCCCTTCAAATGTGAAGGAAATAAGCAGCTATCCTATCTTTAAAAGACACCTGAAGGCGGCCCTGTTTAGGGAAGCTTTTAATGTTTAATAGACTATTGTATTTTAATATTGCATTGGAAGCCACCCAGAGTGGCTGGGGAAACCCAGCCAGGTGGGCGGGGTATAAATAATAAATTATTATTATTATTATTATTATTATTATTACACCAGTGCAAACCTCTGGCTTTGGGGGTGGGGGATCAGTGTGGCCCTCCAGACCTCTCCCTGAGCTACACGCCTCGCCAGCCCTGCTTTGCACCCTGTCTGGGAATGCGCCTTTTGCTTGCCTAGATGGAAAAGAGGTTTTTGTGTGTGTAGAAACCCGCCTAATGCACAAAGGTAAAAGTGAATGCCCACTTCCACCCCTGGCCCAGCCCACCACCAGCATGTGGCCCTCAGAAGGGAGTCCAGAAAGTAATGCAGCCCCCAGGCTGGATGAAGCTTCCTGCAATGCATTATTGTGTCTCAAAACTGTAAAGTCGGAAGAGACCTCCAGCGGTCATCTAGTCCAACCCGCAGCAATGCAGGAAGCACAGGAGTCCCGACCTCTGCTTAAAAGCCCCCATAAGTCCATCCTAACACAGTTTTAATCCTGTTGGGAGTTTGCTTTTTAACAATTGCATTTCATACATTTTCAGCTTGTTGTATTTTGTCTGTTGTGTAAGGTGCCTTGAGTCCCTGTCTGGGGAAAAGGCAGGAGATGAATAAATATAATAATAATAATAATAATAATAATAATAATAATAATAATAATAAACTCTGCAAGGGAGGCCCCTGCTTCTGAGCCTGCCTTGGCAACCCCCCCCATGACCCAACAGTGGGTCGGCTAGTTGACTGGGATCCTTTCTGAAGGGCCTATCTGATCCGCCTCCTTTTCCTCTTCCAGATCCCGCTACGAGGAAGACCACAGGTGAGGAGGTGGGCATCTCTGGGACCCTTAACTCGGGACCCTTTGGCTCTGTTGGGCCAAGGATGGGGGGGGAAGGTGAGAGAGACTGTGCGGTTGGGGCTGGAGTGGGAACCCTCTGAAAAGCTCTTGGCCACTTTCCCCGGGATTCAGTGGCTTTCTCGGAGGGGGGGGGGGCACACGTCAAGGCAATAAATAAACGAACGAATGAAATAAAATTACGGTGCGAATATTCGCTGCCATGAAGACTCCCGCTCTTCCTCCCAGGCTCTCGGAAATCAGGGAGGAGGGAAAGCGAGAGAAGGGGAAGCAGGAAGGTGGGCCAAAGGAGACGGCTGTCGGAGAAGGTGAGGAGCGGGTCTGGGGTGGGTGGGGGCTCCAAAGCCCCCCAAGGGTTTGCTCTCCGGAGAACTGCCCGCCTTGGATGGGGGCACCTGGGCAAGGCTTCCTGTGGGAGTCAGGCTGGGCGCTGGCACAGACCCCAGGAGAGAGGAGCCTGGGGGACGAGGTGGCTGAAGGGGAAAGGCCTTGGCAGACAGGTGGGTGGGATGGAGGCTCACCTGCAAACACAGGTGGTGCTTTACTTCCTTGGATCTCCGTTGGGGGTGATAGCCCAGGAGAACCTCCTTCTCCCTTACTGCTGTAATAAACGGAAATCTGCCCTTATTCCCATATGGGGGACACAAGAGCCCTTATAGAGTCCTTTGCAGGTTCTCCATCGGTCGCAGAAAAGAACAGAGGCCAAGCAGAGAATATTGAGAAGCAAAGCAGCTCGTAAGCCTGATCTTTATTGATCTGTTGCAACAGGGTGCTCCCTGCCCCCACAGGAGGAGGGAGGGACCCAGAACCAAGGTGTGCCCACCCTTATATAGATATTTTAAATTGCCCGCCTTGGAGTCCAAGACCACTCCCCGACACATCATACCTACATCACAGAAAGGGCGGTCTACAACAGAAATCTGAGTGCGTTGTTTACCTCCTGTCTGGCAGGTGACCTGTTAATGCTCACTTGATTGGATACCCTGGGGAGCCTGGCCAGTCTTTTGTAATGATATCTACTTAGTTCCTGGGCCAGGTCACAGGCTCACCCTATTCATACACAGACAGACATACCCTTAAGACAGGATTTGTGAAGGAAAAGACAATGGGGAGGCTTTTCCATTTTCCTTTGACCTTGCAGAGAAAACATTTGGTCAGTTTGGGAGTCAAAATGGTTTCAGGGCGGTATTCCTGTGCTGCTCCAGACATGTGGTCCCCATATCTATGTACGTGTTTGCTTGGTACATTTATGGACATTTATTATATATATAAAAGACCTTAATTTTTTTATTTCACTGCATACCCCCCCAGCACTTCTCCGATGAAAATAGGGACGTCCTCGGGAAAAGCGAGACATTCCAGGATCAAATGAGAAACTGGGGCAGCTTCTGTAAATCCGGGGCTGTCCCTAGAAAATAGGGAGACTTGGAGGGTCTGTTGTTTTCTTTTCCAGGCTGTCCCCCTCGACGGGTGCCCAGAGCTGAGCCCCAGCCAGACGGGGCAGTTGAGGATGGTAAGCCCAGAGAGAGGGTGGGTGGGGGGACAGAGGGGGGTCGGGGGCAGCCGGCCACCCTTCGCTTCCTGGCCTGCCGGGTTTCTCTTTTAGGTGACGATCCGGAAAGCCCTGCCAAGGCCCCCCAGCCCCTGGGGACCCTCCCCTCCAAGGAAGCACCCGGCGAAGCCCACCCACCCTCTTCCCAACCTGCTCCAAGTTTCCCCATTCCCCACCATGAGATTCTGGGCTTCATTCAAGAGCTGGGGGCAGCACAGGAGCGTCAGTCCTGCCACCGCCGGGAGCGTAAGTAGGGGAGGGTGGGGCACTTCCCCTCCGTCCCCCCACAAGATCCCTGTGCCTTCCTCCTCCTCCTCCTCCTCCTCCTCCGGGAGAAGGGTCTGCTCCAGCTTCCTGAGCATCTCTGCTTCCGTTTCAATAATAATAATAATAATAATAATAATAATAATAATAATAATTTATTTGTACCCCACCCATCTGGCTCCCAACAGAATATTAAAAACATAAAAAACCATAAACATTAAAGGCAGATGTCTTCTAAAAGTAGGGTAGTTGCTTATTTCCTTGACATCTGCTGGGAGGGCGTTCCACAGGGCGGGAGCCACCACCAAGAAGGCCCTCTGCCTGGTTCCCTGTAACCTCACTTCTCACAATGAGGGAACTGCCAGAAGGCCCTTGAATCTGGACCTCAGTGTCCAGGCAGAACGATGGGGGTGGAGACGCTCCTTCAGGTCTACTGGGCTGAGGCCATTTAGGGCTTTAAAGGTCAGCACCAACACTTTGAATTGTGCTCGGAAATGTACTGGGAGCCAATGTAGGTCTTTCAAGACCGGTGTTCTGTGGTCTCGGCGGCCGCCCCCAGTCCCCAGTCTAGCTGCCGCATTCTGGATTAGTTGTAGTTTCTGGGTCACCTTCAAAGGTAGCCCCACATAGAGCGCATTGCAGTAACCCAAGCGAGAGATAACTAGAGCATGCAAGATGCTAGTCCTTAAGGAAGCTGCAAAGATCTGGGGTGTGTGGGGGTTTTTTTGGCGGTGGGGGGGGGGAGACAACAGCTGTCGAAACCTCAGGAGCCACAGAGGGGCAATGGATGAATGTTTTGGGGGGCTTTGGTGCCCTGCCTTGCCCCTCCCAGGGTCAAGTGAGACTAGAGCAACTCACACAGAGGCTGGGTGGCCAATTGTCAGGGACTGTTTTGCTGTGATCCTTGCATTGCAGAGGGTGGGTTTACATGACCCGCTGGGGTCCCTTCCAATTCTATAAAAATAGCAAAAGGGGTTTTTTTTGGCTTAGGGCCCTCGTATTTACAGGACCTCCTTTCCTGGTCTGCCCCGCAGAGGACCTTAAGGTCCATGAATAATCATAGTTTAGAGGTCCCGAGTCCTAAGGAAGTCAGACTATCCTCCACCAGGGCCAGGGCCTTCTCAGTGGTGGCTCCAACCTGGTGGAAAGCTCTGTCCCAGGAGACCAGGGCCCTGCAGGATTTAAGCTCCTTCCGCAGGGCCTGTAAGACAGAGCTGTTCCGCCTGGCCTTTAATTTGAATCCAGCCTGATCTTTCATTTCCCTTCCCTTCCCTCCCCCTCCCCTTTTATGAAGATCACCCGCTCTGAGACCCCACATCTAATTCTCCCCTGGCCTCCTCGCTGGCCCAAGTAGGACCAATTCAGCCAGCTAGCCCTGGGGATTATCTAATTGATTTTTGTTTTTTGAATTTTATTGTTATTCATCGTTTTCATGCTGTATTTTATGCTGCTTTTATACAGTAATTGTTTTAAATATGTTGTTAGCTGCCCTGAGCCCAGTTTTTGAACCGGGAAGGGCGAGGTATAAATAAAAATTTATTAGTATTATTTATTAATTTTAAAAATCCATCTTGCTTTTTGCAAAATGACCCAACCCTCTCCCCGCCCCCCCCTGCTGCCAATGTCCCTCCTGTTCTGTTTGCAGCAAGCGGGGTGCTGGATCTGCCCCTCCCTGAACGCTGCTCCTCTCCCCGCAGGGAAAAAGGACCTCCGCAGCTGCCACGACTGCCTGAAGTCCGTCAAGACCTTGAAGGAGAACCTGCAGGAGGTCCAGGGGCGGCTCTGGAAGGTGGAAGCCAAGCTGGGCATCCGCGTGCCCCCCCACGAGCTGGAGCTGGAGGAGGACGAGAAGGAGCCCCCCAAGGAAGGAGGAGGGGAGGGCGAGGAGAGCCCCCTGGCCTGGGCTCCCCTTCCGGTGCCCCCCCAGCCTGGAGGTGGGGCAGAGGGCAGCTGGTGAAGATGCCAAGCCAGAGACGGAAGCAGGAGGACCCAGCCCACCGTTCCAGCGGCCGGGGTGGGGGGGGCTTCCTGAAAACAACAAAAGAAAGGCCTTTATTTTTTTCATTTAATAAATATATACCTTGAATAAACTTCCCACGGTCAGTTTGCAGACAACCCCCCAAAAAGGTGAAATGCCATGTGAGCAATCAATCAATACACTGGTTGGGTAGCTGCTTCTCAGGCGGCGATACCTGCATTGCGCGGGGTCAGACTAGATGGTCCTTGGGGGTCCCTTCTGACAATCCTGCGGCTCTAAGCGGCCTTAACCTTGTTCTAGCCCCAGAGCCACACCGGGTGACCCTCCAGGGGCCATGTGCCAGAACGGCGGGAGGGAATCTCTGCGGCTGGAAGGGCACCCAGCCTTTGATTCTCATATCTGAAGATTTTTCTTTTTTTGAATATGCTTTTTATTAAGTTTCATTTTAGATACACCAACAAACAAATATATCAAATATTTTTACATCTATCTTACTTTATGCTCCATAGAGCCATTGACTTCCCTCCTTCCCTTCCGCAGGTTTTCTTATTCCAATCTTTAATTCACAGTTTCATTAGTAAAAGACTAAACCATGACATAAGATTTATTTCAGTCCTGCTAACGTCTTCAGATTTCTACAGTTCCCACTTACACAGACCATAAATTTGCTCCATTCTTTTTGGTACCTGAAGATTTTCCAGTCTTTATCACTTAATCTACATTTCTTAATTTCTCTATAACTTTTAATTTCCCTTAACTAACAATTCTCTTCATAATCCTCTCTGCAATATTTAGCATAGTCCTACCAGCGTGATCTGTTTATTACCATTGCTTCTCAAATAGTTCAGCTATTTACTCCAGTCCTCTGAGATTCTGTGGTCCCGCAGGTTTCGGATCCTTCCTGTCATTTTATCTAATTTTGCACAGTCCATTAATTTCATCTGCCTTTCCTCCCCCCTCTTCTTTTCGGGTTCATTATTGACATTTGATTGCATTTGATTGTCCAATTAATAAATCTTATTAGAAAGAAATAAAGAAAGAAAGAAAGAAAGAAAGCTCACGAAACGCCACCCATAAAAGAAACCTCCACCTGCGCCTCCCAGATGCAAAGCGCATCTCTCTCCTTCCACTTCCCTCTGCAAACAGCTGTTTTCCTCCCTCCCGGATTACTACAAGTCCCAGAATGCACCGCGCCGGCCCCGCCCCCTTTGCGCGTGCGCAGTCTTCCCGGCGAGGCTGCGAGGCAGAAGGTGAGTTGGGCGAGGGAGCGCGTGTGCCTGGAGGGATTTTTGGGGGGCACCTTCTTCTTCTTCTTCCCTGCAAAACGGGGGGGGGCATCAGAGGGGGCCCTGAGGCCCGGGTCCGGGGTGCAAATGGGCAGCAGGGGTGGGGTGGGGGGTCGGGAGGGGGGCTGCCCTCCTGGGGAGTTCGCTTTCAAGGTTCTAGTCCTCAAGGAGGAGCAGGGAAATTCAGGGAGGAGGAGGAGGAGGAGAGGGGCTGTCGGAGGCTGCAAGCCCCTGGGGCTGTGCTCTGCTCCCCACCGTGCAGGGCCAGATTTAGGCATCATCATAATCATAATAATTCATAATAATTTTATTTATACCCTGCCCTCCCCGGGCAGAGCCGGTCTCAGGGCAGCTAACACCAGTAAAAGTACAGTAAAAACATAATAGGGGGGACCCCCCCCCCCCAATTTAAAGTACAGGTTAAAATGCAATTTAAAATGCAGCCCATAGTATAAGCTAAGCAAGCTATAGCTTAGGGGCTCACTCTCTTGGGCCCCCCCCAAAATTAAAGGATAAAATAGTAATCTGGATACACATTTCCAAAATACAGGGTAAAAAAACAAATAAAATCAAACCTACATCCAGCAACAGTGTTTTGTAGGCTCACATGATGTAAGTCATGGGCCCCACCTGCTCCCTAAAATATCACCGGTTTGCTCATTTCTATATATAGGGTGCTGATATTTGGCATGGACTTTGCATGGACTTTTCAACAATTACTTTGATAAAATACCTATTTTGTGATGTGCAAATGGTCTTAGATACATACCTATTAGGTCAAAAAACAAGTACATTAATAATTTTTAAAAGGCATTTATAAAATCTTTTGAGTGCTGGTGTATTTTCCCCCTGAAATCCTCATCATTTTATTGAGCCCTGTGTAAAATTTCAAAGAGATCTGGTTATTGGTTATGGAGAAAAATAAAATAAAATGTACACAAGGGTATCTTGTGCCGAGGGTCTTGTGTCGAGAGGGGCACACAATGCAGATTTAACGAAACTTCGAAGTGCTATAAAATTAAAACCGTTTGAGATAGAGGGAAAAAATTTAAGGGGGTTTCTTTCAACCACAAGGGAAGGGTGCAGGACAAGTTTCATCAAAATCTGAGATGATTTTGGGGTGACGAAACCCTTGTTTTTTTGCATTGATTTGATGTGGAATGACCCCTTTGTCGCTGCACCCCATTATATTTTAAACTTAGAGAGGCCTATGAACACACATCTTATTTCAATGAACTGACTTTTGTGCAACTTCCGAAAGCTTTTACAGAGTTACAATTAAATATAATAAACTCTGCTTATAGAGATGGGAGACACAGAGGCAGACCAACAAATGAACGCGTTTGCATTAGGGGATGTCCTGAGGACCTTATGCATTATATCTTTTGCTGCCTCTTATATAATGAAGCAAGAGAACGATTTTTAGCACCTATAATGACAAGCTCCCCTGGCCACAACCCCTCTGACTTGATTTTATATCTCCTCGCAGACACAGATGAGTATGTGACCTGGTGTGTAGCACTCTTTGCAACTGCCGCTAGGAAAACTAGAGCAAATTATATAGCCACCAACTGTAAAGGAGATGAATTTATTTGACCCTGTCTACATCAAGCTATATTCTATCTTTATCACCAAACTCTGAATATAATTGCACATTGATTAATTAACATTATTTCTTAATACATTAGTGGCCATGTGATAATTTTAGCTTATAAATTTTATTGTTTAATGTCTTAACTTGTATATGAAGGTACTTTTACAGCTCTGTTTAGAGCAGGCAATGTCTTGATAATATAATTTTTTTTGGTATTAATCCAGTATATTTTCTTTTAATTGCTGAATGATTCTGTGTACATTGTGGCAGCCTTTGGCTATGTGCAATAAAACGGACAGATGCAATACGAGATAAACCTAAAAAATTGGTGAAAGAAGAATGGGAATGTTTAAATAATTATTTAGTGGACAAGGGCTCAACCAGAAAGACCTGGCTATGTTTAGAATGATACCGCATAGAGAAATGCTCCCTGATACCAAGATGAGGGATTCCTTTGGAATGCAGATAGAGAGAATTAATAAGAATAATGATCTGTTGTGAACTTGACGGAAGTGCACAATAGATGAGCTTTCCTGTTTTGGCTCATAGAATCATAGAATCCTAGAGTTGGAAGAGACCACAAGGGCCATCGAGTCCAACCCCCTGCCAAGCAGGAAACACCATCAGAGCACTCCTGACATATGGTTGTCAAGCCTCTGCTTAAAGACCTCCAAAGAAGGAGACTCCACCACACTCCTTGGCAGCAAATTCCACTGTCAAACAGCTCTTACTGTCAGGAAGTTCTTCCTAATGTTGAGGTGGAATCTTCTTTCTTGTAGTTTGGATCCATTGCTCCGTGTCCGCTTCTCTGGAGCAGCAGAAAACAACCTTTCTCCCTCCTCTATGTGACATCCTTTTATATATTTGAACATGGCTATCATATCACCCCTTAACCTCCTCTTCTCCAGGCTAAACATGCCCAGCTCCCTTAGCCGTTCCTCATAAGGCATCGTTTCCAGGCCTTTGACCATTTTGGTTGCCCTCCTCTGGACACGTTCCAGTTTGTCAGTGTCCTTCTTGAACTGTGGTGCCCAGAACTGGACACAGTACTCCAGGTGAGGTCTGACCAGAGCAGAATACAGTGGCACTATTACTTCCCTTGATCTAGATGCTATACTCCTATTGATGCGGCCCAGAATTGCATTGGCTTTTTTAGCTGCCGCTAAAAAAGCCATCTTCCCTTTTTCTTTTCTTCCCCCCTTCTTTTTTCCTTTTTCCTTTTCTTTTCCTTTCCCATAGTGGCTTATGTTTTATGCCATGTACTTTGATATTTTTTGTAGTTTTTTAGTTTTTCCCCATTACTATTATTAAGGAATTTTCTTTTGTAATTTTGGTTGTCTCTATTTATATGTACTTGTTTAACACAAAATAAAAGTATTTAAAAAACCCACAACGGACTGACTGACCTCCCTGAGCCTCCCTTTCCTCGCAGGGACCATGAGGCTCTCCGTCCTCCTTGCCGCAGCGGAGAAATTCAAGCCGCACCCCGGCTACCGCTATGGCATGAACCGGCCCGGCTCGGTCGCTGACAAGGCCAAGAACCCTCCGTGGGTCTGGCGGAAGAAGATCCCCGTGGAGCCCATCAAAGACGAGGACTGGAAGTTCTTCAAGGGCGACACGGTGAGGTCTCAACCTGCTCTCAGCTACCCGCTTTGTCTGTGCCCACTCGCTTCCGCAATGCCCGCCTCCCAAGGCTTGACCGCTACCATGGGAACTCTGTGGGGCAGCCCTTGGAGGTCAGGATCCAGAACGGTCCCTTGCTTGCCCCCAAACGGGGCAGCCAACCCAACCGGGAGTCTTCCCTTCCTGCCGACCCCCATCCCCACGTGCCATGCCTTTCTCTCGTCCTTTTAGGTCCAGATTCTGAAGGGGAAGGACTTGGGCAAGCAAGGGATGGTCTCCCAGGTGATCCGAGAGCGGAACTGGGTTGTTCTGGAGGGCCTGAATGTGGTAAGTGATGATGATGATGGTGGTGCCCTTGGGCTCCCCCCCTCCAGGAGAGAAGTGGGGTGTTCTGGGGGCTTTGGCACACTGAGACCCTTATGTGCTCTTTGGCTCAGCCTTCTCGGTGGTGGCCCCTGCCCTGTGGAACGCCCTCCCACCAGATGTCGAAGAGAACAACAACTACCAGACTTTTAGAAGACATCTGAAGGCAGCCCTGTTTAGAGAAGCTTTAAATGTTTGATGCATTACAGTATTTTAATATTTTGTTGGAAGCTGCCCAGAGTGGCTGGGGAAGCCTAGCCAGATGGGTGGGGTATAAATTATAAATTATTATTCCTTCCCTCCCCTTTCCGGTAGCACTACCGATACACGGGCAAGTCCGGCGCCTACGGTGGGATGTACATGGCCAGTGAGGGTCCACTGCTGATCAACTGGGTGTCCCTGGTCGACCCCACTGACAGGTAAGGGGGCAGGGCAAAAGAATTTGCCCCTTGATCACCATTCCTGAATTCGTTGCTTGTGATCCCTGCGTGGCCAAGGGTTGGACTTCAGGGGCCAGCAAACTTTTCCAGCAGGGGTTTGGTCCACTGTCGCTCAGACCTTGTGGGGGGCCGGGCTATATTTTGGGGGAAAAAATAAATGAAGGAATTCCTATGCCCCACAAATAACCCAGAGATGCATTTTAAATAAAAGGACACATTCTGCTCATGTAAAAACATGCTGATTCCTGGACCGTCTGCAGGTCGGATTTAGAAAGCAATTGGGCCAGATCCGGCCCCTGGGCCTTAGTTTGCCTACCCATAAACTAGGTGGCTCTTTGGGTCCCTCCAAACTCGATGATTCTGTGATCCCATGATCTGCGGGGGGTGAACGGCGTCCCCCTGAAAGCACCGTGGATTCGTTTCCAGAGGTTAGGCTCCCCTTCGTTTATTTAAGAGCTTTTCTAAACTGCTGAATGTTCTAAAAGCCTCTAAACAGCAGGCTCGTTCACTGGAGGAAGAGGAAAACCCTTTCTAGCCTTCCATCGTAATTTGTTGTATATTATTATTATTAAACTGGCTTTCACCCCAAGGTCTCAGGACCGTTTCCAGAGATTAAAACTCAATCTTAAAAACAGTTAGCTCACAGAAATAAGTTGGGGCATAAAAATATATTTCTCAAGTGTCCAAAGATAAGAGGTCTGTCTCCGGAAGCTGTAGAATGAAAGTCTCAGGATTTTTAAAAATGAACATTTAATATTATTTGTAAACCAGCCGGTGAGATTAAGGATGATTAAGAGGTATTTAAATCCTGCTAGGTAAATGAAATATCGAATGTTCTCCTTTTTTGTTACGACAACAAACACCTGGGGACTTATTTCCCCTGTGAGCCATATACTCAGAGACTGAAGACTTTGGTGTTTTTAAGCGAGGCCAGGTGGGCAGGGTATTAATAATAAAACTATTATTATTATTAGTGTTTTTCTTCTGGAAAAAGGGTGCCAGTACTGCGTAACCTTGAGCACCCCCAGAAAAAAGCACTGATATTTTTATTGTTGTTGTTTAACAGTTTGACGATTGATCCGCAGGCTAAGTTTAGTTATTTATATTTTGTAAACACTATACGCCACTCAGTTGTAAAAAAATTACAGCATGCAGAAAATTTAAACCCACACCAACTTCTGAAGCATCTGGGTGGCTTAAGCAAGAATGTTTTTAGCAGATGCTGAAATTCAGCTTGAGCTTGCTTTCAAACACGCCCCCCCAAATCCCACTTCCCCATCCCCGCTGGACTCTCCCTGGGCCCCCCCTCTCCCTTCTCGTCTGCCCCTTGCCCCCCAGGCTGCCCACCGAGGTGGAATGGCGCTACACGGAGGAAGGAGAGAGGGTCCGCGTCTCCCTCCGGACCGGCAGGATCATCCCGAAGCCCTTGGAGCAGAGAGACGATGGCATCATCCCAGAACAATGGACAGGTGAGTGGCTCTTGCATTTGGGAGTGGAGCTGGCATGGAGTGGATTTCTGTGGGGAAAAGGGAATCTGTTCACCTGTTGCCTCAGGCGGACCCTGCCTTGGTTCTGAGCTGTCCTCTGTCATGTGGACTAGGAACTTGGTTCTGGGTTTACAGAACCTGCACCATAGCATTAAAAAACACACCCAGTCTCCTAATTTCCTGCACCCCGTTTTCTCTTCTCCTCCTTTCCCCCCTGCCTTGCTGCTGAAGACTGCCCCAAGGACACGTCTGTTGAGGACGCCCTGGAGAAGACCTACGTCCCTTCCTTGAAGACGTTCCAGGAGGAGATCATGGAGCTCATGGGTATTGTGGAGACACGCCGCTTCAGGAAGTCCTACTGGTATTGAGGCCTTTCGTCCCGTGGATCTGTGCCCCGCTGCCTGGACCCCAAAAGACTCTCAGCTTTGGGGGGAGATTGAGGAGGAGGCTGAGATGGGGGCTGTTGCCTCCTGATAAAGGGCCCCCTAAACCGGAATCTGAGTGTGCCTTTGTGTCTGTGGAGGTGGCCGTTCTCCTCTGGCAAACCTGACTATACCATCTATCTGTATCGTTACTCCCATGAGGCGGTTTATAAGCTGTAGAAGCAAACGTCACACGTCTACGGAACAATCTGATCCAAGGTGGAAAAGGTCATAATAAAAGATAGGGCTTTCGGATAAACAAATTGTATCAAACGAAGGTAATAGTCAAGAATAAAATAGTACAGTCGTACCTCGGGTTACAGATGCTTCAGGTTGCGTTTTTTTGAGTTACGGACCGCCGGAAGTACCGGAATGTGTTACTTCCGGGTTTTGGCAGTCATGCATGCGCAGAAGTGCCGAATTGCAACCCGCGAGCCGCTGCAGGTTGCGGATGCTGCGGGTTGCGAACATGCACCCCGCGTGGATCATGTTCGCAACGCGAGCATCCACTGCACACGGTAATAATAGAACAGCGACACAACAGTACACGGTGAAACTCATTCTGAAAATAGCAGGTAATCAGAAATCTCTCTCAACAGTTATGTTAATAAATTAAAAAACATTCAACAAATGAATAAAAACAGCAGCAAAGTTACAGTACATAAAATGCCCCAGTGCATGGAAAAAACACAGAAAACGATGGAAATGAGCAGCCCAGACACTTGTGAAATTTATGAGTAACTGGAATTTCCGGAAGTCCTTCCTTCCCAGCTGCTTTCTGCCGCTCTTAAAGTCCTGGGAGAGTCTGTTCCTCAGCTGGACTTGGTGGTGGGTGAGGGTCTTTTGCCCTCTGCATTTCCTTACTGAGGAGGGGGCCAAGGAGGAAGGTGTCAGGCTGTTCACATCTCCATGCCTCTTCTGGGAGCCTGTTTGCCTCCATGGCGCAGATGGAAAGGGGAAAACCTCTCCAGATCTCTTCCACCCTCTCTGACCCATACCTGGCCAGGAGCCCCCTTTGTGGCTGAATCCAGGTGTCCAGAGTGCCCACGCCCTGCTTTTTCCCTCGTGGGTATTCCTGTTCGCTGGCTTCCTGCGGTGTGGGGCAGGGTGTGTGGGTCCAGACATCCCCAAGCCGTCCCCTTCAGTCTTCCGCTGCCACGTCCAAGAGAGCAGAGCCCAGAGGGGTCTTGGCCGCCACCAGTACCAGGTTGCGGGGGGAGAAGGCGGGGTCAAAGAGCGGGAGCAGCTGGCAGTGAAACCCTGTTTGGGGAGGAGAGCCCAGTGAGGGTCCTGGCTGTGCTTGGGGCAACATTCGGGGGGTGGCAGGTGTGGGGAAGGCTGCTTGGAGCAGGGCCCTTCCTTCCTCAGTAGGGCAGGGAGTTCCCACTGGGCCTGCGGGGTTGAGGTCCACCTCTGGTGCTCGCTCGTGGAATCGCAGAGTTGGGAGGGACCTCCAAAGGCCATCTGGCCCACCCCCCTTCAGCGCAGGAATGGTGGCTGGGGAACCCCCCCCCCCCCGCTTACCTTCCTCCTGCAGGAAGATCATCCTGTCCAGAAGCAGCAGGGTCTCCACCAGGGGGGCCAGCAGGAGGGCCAGGCTGAAGAAGGCCACCACTTTCCCCTCCTGGGCCAGCAGTGCCTGCAGGGGGCCAGGCTCCAGCCTCGCGTCAGGGTCCAGCCCCACCCTCTCCAGGCCCAAGCGGGCGTACCTGGAGGAGAGAGAGCCGTGCTGAGCCTCCGCACTTGGGCTGAAGTGCAAAAGCTCTCGGGGAAATCCCACCCACCTCTGCCCCGTTTTGGGGGTTCCTTTTGGTTTCCACACCCATTAGAACTGTAGAACTGCAAACTTTGTAAAGTGGTACCTCGGGTTAAGAACTTAATTCGTTCTGGAGGTCTGTTCCTAACCTGAAACTGTTCTTAACCTGAAGCACCACTTTAGCTAATGGGGCCTCCTGCTGCCGCCGTGCCGCCGGAGCACAATTTCTGTTCTCATCCTGAAGCAAAGAGGAACTATTTCTGGGTTAGCGGAGTCTGTAACCTGAAGTGTATGTAACCTGAAGCGTATGTAACCTGAGGTACCACTGTATAGGATAAAAAACACAGTGGTACCTCGGGTTACATACGCTTCAGGTTACAGACTCTGCTAACCCAGAAATAGTACCTCGGGTTAAGAACTTTGCTTCAGGATGAGAACAGAAATCGCGCAACGGCAGCAGGAGACCCCAATAGCTAAAGTGGTGCTTCAGGTTAAGAACAGTTTCAGGTTAAGAACGGACCTCCAGAACCAATTAAGTACTTAACCCGAGGTACCACTGTACAAAACAGTTACAATTAATTGCACATTTCCCCCCAAATCTTGGAAGCTGCCCAGAGTGGCTGGGGAAACCCAGCCAGATGGGCGGGGTAGAAATAATAAATTATTATTACATCATATTATTTAAGGGGCCTCCCAAAGGTCATCCAGCATTTCTGGAATCATTTCTGGAAGCTAATAAGGTTCATGGCTGCTTACTGGCAGCGCCTTGGTTTCTGGGGCCAACCTTTGCTGTGACCCCACCCCATGTCCACACAGGGCTGTCCTCCATCCCCACCTCCAAAATCCTCGGGGACATTTGGAGCCACAGCTTGAACTGACTCGTGGAACCAGAGAGTTGTGTGGGACCCCCAAAGACCATCTATCCCAACCCTCTCCAGTGGAGCTGCCTGGCCTGGCGCTCGCCGCTCCCTGGGCTCACTCACTCGCCAAAGGTGAGCCGGTGGGCCTTGGCGATGGTCTGCACGCCCAGGCGCTTCTTGGCCGGGTCAGCAGCCCGGATCACCGTCTCCAAGGCCGCGCGGAAGCAGTGGGTCCTGAGGGCGGCGCTGTGGCCCTTGAGCCGCCAGGCGTAGTCCTCGAGGGCGTGGCAGGCCCCCTCGCGGGCCTTGTAGGAGAGCCGGTGGCCGGGCAGGCCGGAGACCCAGGCGCTCAGGGGGTAGCCGGGCGCTGTGGGGCAGGGCGGGGGCCCTGGCCCTGGAAGGACGGGGGCTTCTGCCGTGGTGAGCTTCATGTAGCAGCAGGCCACGGAGGTGATGCCCGCCACGTGGGGGCAGCGGGCGAAGTGGCGCAGGAGGGCCACGCTCAGGTCACCGCAGGCGTGGAGTCCCGTCAGGAGCAGCTGGCGCCCCCTGGGGGTGTGGCAGGCGGGGGCGCTGCTGGCCCCACATCCCGGGGGGCCTGGGAGGTCCTCTCCCCCAGGATCCACGCCTGCTGTCCCAAAGCTGCCTCTGTCCACCGCAGGGCCACGCTCCTCCACTTCCGGGTGCTGCAGCAGTTGCCAGAATTCAGTCCACGGCGCCCCAGGATCCACCCAGCCAGCCACGTGCCGCGGCCCCTCAAGAGATATGCCGCTGGGGACCTGCGGGGAGGAGAAGAGGGAGAAGGTGTCACCCGGCAGGAGAACCAGGGAGGGGCTGGGTGAGGCCAGGACCCCTGCCTGGGGACTAGGATGGGTTTGGGCCAGCCTCCCCCTAACCTGCTGAGCTCCCAGAACAAAGGTATATGGCTCTGAACAAGGTGTGTTCCTATTTCAACCATTTTTTCATAAACCATGAGGACTAGTGTCCTACTTTAATTTGAAAAGAAGGGCTGTGGCTCAGTGGGACGGAGCCTGCTTTCCATGCCGGAGACCACAGGCTCCATCCCCATTGGCAGCATCTCCACACAGGGCTGGGATTGGCTCGTCTGTCCCTTGGCCAGCTCCTCAAGGTCCCTCTGGTGGACATAATAATAATAAATTTTATTTATACACCGCCCTCCCCGTCCAAAGCTGAGCTCAGGGCAGCTAACACCAGTAAAATTATAATGGAAACATAAAACCTGTAATTTAAAATACAGGTTAAAATACAGGTTAAAATGCAGCCTCATTTTAATAGTAGCCCATAGATCAAAACCATAAGGGGAGGGAAGACATAAGGGTCAGACTGAGTCCAAACCAAAGGCCAGGAGGAACAGCTCTGTCTTGCAGGCCCTGCGGAAAGATGTCAAGTCCCGCAGGGCCCTTGTCTCTTGGGACAGAGCGTTCCGCCAAGTCGGGGCCAGTGCTGAAAAGGCCCTGGCCCTGGTTGAGACCAGTCTAACCACCTTGCGACTTGGGACCTCCAAAATGTTTTCATTTGTGGTCCTTAAGGTCCTCCACGGGGCATACCAGGAGAGGCAGTCCTGTAGGTACGTGGGTCCTAGGCCAACATGCCTAGGAACAGCCTGCACCCTCTTCCTTGCTCCCCTGAAAATACTCCTCCTCGCTTCTGATGTCAGCTACAGGACTTCCCCCAGATATTTTCAGTTGGAAGGGACCCTAAGGGCCATCTAGTCCAACCCCCTGCAATGCAGGAACCGCAGATGAGCTTGCGTTCAAGATAGAGGCCTAGAAGGCTCAGCTCCTGGGATTCTGGCCGGGGGAGCCATGGAGGTTGAAGGAAAAGGAGAGGGCATTAAGTGGAGGGCGTGTGGCTCACAGAAGCTGGAAGGGACCCCCAAGAGTCATCTAGTCAACCCCCTGCCGTGTGGGAATCCACCAAGTGCCTGAGGAAGCTGCCTGCCATGGCTTGGACCAGAGGGACTGGCCCCCGCCTCCGCCCCCTCCTCAGGAAGCCAGGACCCTCTGCAACACACCACATCCCCTCCCCACCCCTGACGTTCCGCCTCCTCACCTGCCCTCCTCGCTTGGCCCCCTCTTTCCTCAGCGCCTGCACCAGCTCCTGGTCGAACTTGGCAGCCTGGGCGACCAGCCGGGGGTCTCCCTCGATGGCGGTGACGGAGAGGCCCAGGCCGAAGGCCAGGAAGCGAGAGAGGTGGCCCTGGGGGAAAGGGGGGAGAAGACACTGTAAATAAAGCAGGCTTTGCGAGACTCTGAAAAGGAAGAGGAACCTGAGGCCTCCTCCCTCCCTACTTACCTGGCCAGCGCCCACGTCAACCACCTGGCGGCACCCCGTGAGCTCACTCAGCCGTTTCACCATCTGCGGGGGAAACGGGAGTCAGGGAGGCCCTTGTGGAGCTGCCCCCCAGGACCCACTCAGGGAGCGAAGGTGGAGGGAGCCCCTGGTGGCTTCAGCGAGGGGCAGCGGCTGCTTCCCAGGAGAGGGAGAGGAGGAGGATGGGCAGCAGCAGGAGAGGAAACCAGGTGTGGCTGGAGGAAGAGGTGGAAGGGAGTGTGCGAAGAGGTGTAAGGGAGTGTGCTGGGCAGGGCCACGGGGGCATCAGAAGCACAGCAGTAGTTCCTGCAGTGACCAGCAGCAGCTCTGGCAACAGCCCCCCCCCCCCCGAAGCAGATGCCTTGCTTGGACCCTATGACAGGCTGTGGAGGTCTTATTCTGGGGATTGCCTGGTTGGCACTGACTCACAGCAGGGCCTTTTCAGTGGTGGCTTCCTGTTTGTGGAATACCCTCCCTTGGGAGTTGTGCCTGCCTCCCTCGTAATTGGCTTTCAGGAGTGCATTCAAGATGGATTGATAATATGGACAGATTAGCTACATCCGAACGAACTGCATGTCAACACAAATTAAGAATGGATAAATAGGAAGAAATCTGGAATGAATATTTAAGCGATAAAGCGGATAATGGTGGGAGGTGGGGAGAGGACAGAGAGGTGGGAAAATATTGTTAAAAAGGTTTATTCATAGGTATATCCGTGTATTCAAATCTGAACTGTCAAATTGTGTTATTGTTGTTATGGTTTTTGTTGTATGTGTCTTTTGCAGTTGTTGTTTGTATCGACAAAATGAATAAATAATATACTTTTTTAAAAGACCTTTGTCTGTACTCAGGCTTGGCATCTGATGTGTGTTCCTGGTGACCCCCAAATCCCCTTTTGGTAGAAAACAAATGCCCTGTTTTGAGAAAGCTTTCCGGTCGTGGTGCGTTTGCTACCCTGGGCTGGATGTGAAAGGAACAAGTGAGAACAGGGCTGGGCCTGGCAGTGGGGGTAGCAGTTCTTGCCTCCTTGGTGACACGCAGCTGGGCTCGCTGACTCGAGCCGCCCTCCCTCCCCAGCTCAGCCGTACCTGCCCCAGCCGACGGATCTCGTGCTGCTTCTTGGGCTTGACGTGTTTCCGGAAAAGCGGCGGGAGCCTGGAGCTCTGGCACTGGTTGTCCCGGAACTCTTCCGGCCTCCCGGCTTCCTTGGACTTGCCGGCCCAGCCGCTGGGCCTCCTGGGGAACGCCAAGGTGTGGGCAGAGGCTTTGAAGGCCAGCAGGGAGAGTGGCCAGACCGAGCTGTACCTGAGGGGGGCGAGGGAGGGAGACAAGCGGTGGCAGGTAACGTGGAGTCTCAAAACCACCCATGTTCTCATTCCTCTTTAATGGCAGGGGAGGGACAGAACATTAAATTCACAACACAGCCTCTGTGTTTTCAAGCAGTTACTCGGGAACCGTGAGAAAAGTGCTTCGATGGAAGCCCTGCATCCCTTTGGCCCTCCGTTCATGCAAGGCGGGTTCAAGTGCACCCATTTCCGAGGAAGCACCCTTGAGGCTGCCCAAGGAGACCCACAACACCCTCGACCCTACCTGGCTTCTTCCTCGCTGGCGTGTCTATTTTCCAGCAGGAGGGCGGCCAGCTGTGGGGGCTGGAGGTCAGCCAGGGCGGCCTGCCAGGATGGCGGGAGGCTGCCCCACAGATTGTCTGTGAAAAACTCCTAGCAGGGAAGAAAGAGGGTGGGGTGGGGTGGAAGAGGGTTACAGTTGCGTGCTTCTTGCCCCCCCTCCCCTGGGAAATGCAGTTTGTTAAGAGTGCTGGGAACTGTAGTTCAATGTGGGAAAACTATAGTTCCCAGGGTTCTTTAAATGTATGGTGTGCCTGCAGCCTTGCAAAGAGTTGGGAGATGGGGAACATCCCAACCCCTCCCAGATTCTTCCGGGGAAAGCCCAGGACCCTCACCCTGCTCATCATATGGATCCCAGTGAGGAGGCCAGGGTGCCACCCTTCCCCAGATCCCTTTCTGCCCCACAGCGGTGGAGATGGGGGCTGACTCACAATGATGTAGGCATCCGCAATAAAGCCGTAGAGGGAGAGGACGCGGGTGATGTCGGCCGCTAAGCGCTTCTGGGCTTCCAGGGAGAAGCCGACCATCGCAAGGAGACTCTGCAGAAGGGAAGGCAAAAGAGGGGAACGTTATTTCACTATGGCTTCATTGATGTGGCGCCCTGCAGTGGTGAAAAGCAGGAAACAGTAATAATAATTAATGTGTACTCTGCCTCTTCCCCTGACTCAGGGCAGCTTACAGATAACGTAAGAGCAGCTGAAAACATATGGGGAAGAGAAAAACAAACACAAATAAGTGTTAATCGAATGAAAACTATGTATGTACATGTATGGCGTTGTGGGTTAAACCACAGAGCCTAGGTCTTGCCGATCAGAAGGACGGCGGTTCGAATCCCTGCGACGGGGTGAACTCCCGTTGCTCAGTCCCTGCTCCTGCCAACCTAGCAGTTCGAAAGCATGTCCGAGTGCAAGCAGATAAATAGGTACCACTCTGGTGGGAAGGTAAACGGCATTTCCGTGCACTGCTCTGGTTCGCCAGAAGCGGCTTAGTCCTGCTGGCCATGTGACCCGGAAGCTGTACACCGGCTCCCTCAGCCAATAAAGCGAGATGAGCGCCGCAACCCCTGTCGGCTACGACTGGACCTAATGGCCAGGAGTCCCTTTACCTTTAATGTACATGTATTATATACGTCCCTATCTATCTCCCCTCAGATGTCAAGAAAATAAACAACTACAGTGGTACTTCTGGTTGTGAATGGGATCCATTCCGGAGGCCCGTACGCAACATGAAAAGAGCACAACCCGCAGCGGCGCATCTGCGCACGCACGGGTTGTGATTCGCCGCTTCTGCGCATGATGTCATTTTGCGCGTCTGCGCATGCGCGAGCAGTGAAACCCAGAAGTAACCCTTTCTGGTACTTTTGGGTCACCGCAGGATGTAACCTGAAAGAAAGTAACACGAAGCAGACATAACACAAGGAAGACTGTAGCAGACTTTTAGAAGACATCGGAAGGCAGCCCTGTTTAGGGATGTTTTATTCTGTTTTTAGTGTTCTGCTGGGAGCCGCCCAGAGTGGCTGGAGAAACCTGGCCAGGTGGGTGGGGTAGAAATAATAAATTATTATTATTATTATTATTATTATTATTTATTATGACCATCCTCTATCAATGCACGTTCTGCTAAAAACACACAGGTAATTCCAACAAAAGCGGCACCTTCAAAGCAGCCTTCAAAACAGATCCCTTCAGGACCCAGATCCGAGGAAGGCCTTGCTCCCTCCAGGCGGGGCACCCAGAGAGTAAGAGAGACTGGGCGAAGAGGCCGCTCTATCCCTTGCCACGTCTATGGTCCTGCGTCCCCCAGAGCGACGGGGTGGGGGGGGGGGGGGCCTTTCCCGGGGGCGGGACCCGGCCCCCCCGCCCCGGAGTGGTGAACCTGGCGGGCCGCCCCCCCCCCGCCCCGGAGCCTGCGCTCTCCTCCCCCCCCCGCTCGAAAGCCCCCGCCCGCCGGGGCAGAGAGAGAAGCCGGCCTTACCGTCGCGCCGGAAGTCCTTGTGTCCTGACCCGGAAGAGCTTCCTGCCCACAAAACCCGGCTCCCTGGGCCTGAGGCGCCATTTCGTCGCCGCCTCGGACTGGAGCGGAGCGCCCGGGAGTCCTTCGCTTCTCTCCGCGCCTTTCCCGAAGAGAGGCCTCTCCGTCCCCGGCGGGACTCGGGAAGTAAGTTGCTCGTCCGCCAGGCTCCCTTTCCCGGGCGAGCCTCGTCCTGACTCGGGGGCGAAAGGCGCCTCAGAAAATCCCCCCCCCCATCACTAACTCACGAACTCAGTCGCCCCAAAGTCTTTTGCTGGAGCGCTTCGCCTCCGACTTCGCATGGCAACGTATTCAGGCTGCTGTAAAACCATCGCTTCCGTTGGTTGGGCTCGGCGCCAAATAATAATAATAATAATAATAGAAAGCAACGTGAGAAACTACAGAACTCTTACATAACGCAGTCCTCCTTTATGACATAGGTGGTTTAAATGCTTGTTCTTTCTCTGATGCCTAACACACATGGGAGCATGTGGGATGATATTTTTTATAACCAGCAACCAGAAATAATTTTTGATTTGATTATATTACTAATGTAATTACCTGGACATAGTTGGGGCTGCTTTTTTGGGGGAGGCTAGGGGAAAACTGTATTTGATTGCTTGTATTTGATTCTGTGTTGTTCTTATATGCAACTAATGAATGAATGAAATACTTTATTGTCACTTGTTCAACTTGTATACAGTGAGATTACACAAGCACCCCCCACTCAGCTCTCTTAGTCTTAATTCCCCTCGTTTACTGACACCCACCCACCAAACCCGAAACTCAGTTGTCCTGTTGTTCTCTTTTCATTCAGCAGCCTAACAGCCCACAGATAGAAGCTGTTCTTTACCCTGTTGGTGCGACCAATCCTGCTTCTGTATCTTCTGTTGTAGGGCAGGAGATTTCTGGGTTTGGATTTCTGTGTGGTGGGTGGCTGGGGGAATAGTTGAGAAGGGGTTTGCAAGAATCTGGAAGCTTGTGTGTTTTCTAGGAGGCTTGGTGCTTTTGAATTTTTTGGATGTGAAGCACTGATATATTTTTGGGGGGTTTGCGAAGGTAGGAGCTGTGCTGCCATGGGGCCCAAGAAGACTGCTGCTGCAGAGGCCGGCGAGAGGAAGACGGACGACCAGGAGCTGGTCGAACTGCAGGCAGAGGCTGATCAGGAGCAGGCCTTGCTGGAAGAGGAACAGCTGTCCTCCAAAGAACTGAGGGACATTTGCCAGAAGTGGGAAGATGTGCAGGCTTTTGCACAGCGGTACCACCCTGACAAGGACCGGACACGTGACCTTGCGAACACTTTTGATACGAGGCTCATGTCGTCTTTCAGGGAGGTGCTGAAAAGGCGGATGAAGCAGCAGACCATGGACGGGTTCTTCAGCAAGAAGCAAAGAGTGGAAGAGGAACCTTCTTCGAGTTGTCCCCCAGAGTCTTAGAAAATGTATGTACAGTACTGTACACTTTGGTGATTTTTAAATGCTTTTCTGTCATGTTTAGAAACTTAAATTATAGTTCCTTCGAATTTTTGAAATGCTCTTTACAGTATGTGTGACTTTAAAGAGCACTTAATAAACTCTTGTTGTACCAAATTTGGCTTTGTTTGGACTTTTTTTGACCATAGGAACGCATTAATTGATTTTCAATGCATTCCTATGGGAATCCGTGCTTCGCAAGACGAAAAATTCGCAAGACGAAAAAACTCGCAGAATGAATTAATTTCGTCTTGCGAGGTACCACTGTGCTTCAGTTTAAGAACAGTTTCAGGTTAAGAACCGACCTCCAGAACGAATTAAGTACGTAACCAGAGGTACCACTGTACTGTCCCACCATCTTGTCCTCTGTCGTCCCCTTCTCCTTGTGCCCTCCATCTTTCCCAACATCAGGGTCTTTTCCAGGGAGTCAACCATATGTCAGGAGTGCTCTGATGGTGTTTCCAGCTTGGCAGGGGGTTGGACTCAATAGCCCTTGTGGTCTCTTCCAACTCTATGATTCTCTTCTTGTGAGGTGGCCAAAGTCTTGGAGCCTCAGCTTCAGGATCTGTCCTTCCAGTGAGCACTCAGGGCTGATTTCCTTCAGAATGGATAGGTTTCATCGGCGATCAGCCGCCTTGATGGTCCAGCTCTCACTTCCATACATCACTACTGGGAAAACCATAGCTTGCACTATACGAACCTTTGTTGGCAAGGTGATGTCTCTGCTTTTTAAGATGCTGTCTAGGTTTGCCATCGCCTTTCTCCCAAGGAGCAGACGTCTTTTAATTTCGTGGCTGCTGTCACCATCTGCAGTGATCATGGAGCCCAAGAAAGTAAAATCTCTCACTGCCTCCATTTCTTCCCCTTCTATTTGCCAGGAGGTGATGGGACCAGTGGCCATGATCTTCGTTTTTTTGATGTTGAGCTTCAGACCATATTTTGCACTCCCCTCTTTTACCTTCATTAAAAGGTTCTTTAATTCCTCCTCACTTCCTGCCAAGTGTTTTATCTGGAGATACTGCCATTGAGCATTTGTAGGTAATCTGTATTTGTCTCTTAGGATGGACTATGTTTAAAATTCATCCTCTTCGTTTATCAACTGGTCTAATGTTAATATACCGAAATTCATCCATCTCTCCCATATTACCATTTCTTTCCTGGTTTTAAAGACAGGTTTCCCCACAAAGGCATTTTATTGTGGGAGCAAAGGTCAAATTTATATTTTTTGGACATGTGGTATCATTCTAACTGATGTTATTGTTTCAATAGCATCTTGAGTATTAATGCATGTATTTAGACCCAAGTGCTACCCATCTTTCTAGAGGTGCTACATAGGAATATTCCAAAGCAGCCCAATTTGGACAGTTGTTTTCAGTTATGGGTCTCCAGGATTGTCTACCTGACGGCAAATATACTTGGTGATACATTTCTAAGTCTGGGATCCAAAATCCTCCTCCTTTTATCGGTATCTGCATTTTTTGCATAGATATTCTTGGAACTGAAGAGCCCCAAAGGCATTTTCTAAACAAAGATTTAATTTTGAGAAAGTATTTGCTCGGTATGTGAATTGGAATTCCTCTTAAGATATAAACTAGGTATTACGTTCATTTTAAGAGCATTGACTTTTCTCCACAGGGTCAGGTTCAATGACTCCCATCCAGTGCTTTTTTTCTTTAAAAATGTTTAGGGGTACTCTCATTCTACTACTCATATTGAAATATTGCTCCTCAATGAGGCCAGAAATAGATTCACAAAATGTTTAGGGGTGTGCATACCCCAGAAAAAAGCACTGCTGTCACCTGTCTATGTCTATTGATACCTCATGGTATATTTTGTTGTTTAATGACACTAATTTAGATAAGTCTCATGGTGTTAATGTGCCTAGATATTTAATGTTGTCTTTGCAAACATGAAACTGGTATTGTTTAAACCAGTGTGGGTGTGTTTCTCTACTTGCCCCTGGAACACCCCAAAGAGGGTGAGAAGGCGCAAGGGGGCAGCCCAGGGGCAAGGAGAGCAGTGCCTCCCCCCCCCCCCCAGCTATCCATCTGCTTGTGAGCAGTGGTGGCAGTTTCTTCACTCTGCCTAATCAGGGAGCTGGCCCTGCCACACGGTTCAACTTCAAAATTAGGATAGCTGGTCAAAGTCATTGACAACCCTCGCTTAAATATACATTCATGTACAGCCCCCCCCCAAACCACTCCATAGAATAAGGGTCAGCAAACTTTTTCAGCAGGGGGCCGGTCCACTGTCCCTCAGACCTTGTGGGGGGCGGACTATATTTTTGGGGGGGGGGAGAAAAAAGAATGAATTCCTATGCCCCACAAATAACCCAGAGATGGATTTTAAATAAAAGGACACATTCTACTCATGTAAAAACACGCTGATTCCCGGACCGTCTGTGGGCTGGATTTAGAAGGCGATTGGGCCGGATCCGGCCCCCGGGCCTTAGTTTGCCTACCCATGCCATAGAATGATAGAACTGCAGTGTTGAAAGAGACCCTAAGGGCCATCTAGTCTAACCCCCTGCAATGCAGGAACCGCAGATGAGCTTGCGTTCAAGATACAGGCCTAGAAGGCTCAGCTCCAGGGATTCTGGCCGGGGGATCCATGGAGGTTGAAGGAAAAGGAGAGGGCATTAAGTGGAGGGCGTGTGGCTCACAGAAGCTGGAAGGGACCCCCAAGAGTCATCTAGTCAACCCCCTGCCGTGTGGGAATCCACCAAGTGCCTGAGGAAGCTGCCTGCCATGGCTTGGACCAGAGGGACTGGCCCCCGCCTCCGCCCCCTCCTCAGGAAGCCAGGACCCTCTGCAACACACCACATCCCCTCCCCACCCCTGACGTTCCGCCTCCTCACCTGCCCTCCTCGCTTGGCCCCTCTTTCCTCAGCGCCTGCACCAGCTCCTGGTCGAACTTGGCAGCCTGGGCGACCAGCCGGGGTCTCCTCGCTGGCGGTGACGGAGAGGCCCAGGCCGAAGGCCAGGAAGCGAGAGAGGTGGCCCTGGGGGAAAAGGGGGAGAAGACACTGTAAATAAAGAAGACACTATGAATAAAGCAGGCTTTGCGAGACTCCGAAAAGGAAGAGGAACCCGAGAGGCCTCTTGCATCCCTACTTACCTGGCCAGCGCCCACGTCAACCACCTGGCGGCACCCCGTGAGCTCACTCAGCCGCTTCACCATCTGCGGGGAAACGGGAGTCAGGGAGGCCCCTGTGGAGCTGCCCACTCAGGGAGCGAAGGTGGAGGGAGCCCCTGGTGGCTTCAGCGAGGGGCAGCGGCTGCTTCCCAGGAGAGGGAGAGGAGGAGGATGGGCAGCAGCAGCAGCAGGAGAGGAAACCAGGTGTGGCTGGAGGAAGAGGTGGAGGGGAGTGTGCGAAGAGGTGGAAGGGAGTGTGCTGGGCAGGGCCACGGGGGCATCAGAGGCACAGCAGTAGTTCCTGCAGTGACCAGCAGCAGCTCTGGCAACAGCCCCCCCCCCCCCCCCGAAGCAGATGCCTTGCTTGGACCCTATGACAGGCTGTGGAGGTCTTATTCTGGGGGCTGCCTGGTTGGCACTGACTCACAGCAGGGCCTTTTCAGTGGTGGCTTCCTGTTTGTGGAATACCCTCCCTTGGGAGTTGTGCCCGCCTCCCTCGTAATTGGCTTTCTGGAGTGCGTTCAAGATGGATTGATAATATGGACAGATTAGCTACATCCGAACGAACTGCATGTCAACACAAATTAAGAATGGATAAATAGGAAGAAATCTGGAATGAATATTTAAGCGATAAAGCGGATAATGGTGGGAGGTGGGGAGAGGACAGAGAGGTGGGAAAATATTGTTAAAAAGGTTTATTCATAGGTATATCCGTGTATTCAAATCTGAACTGTCAAATTGTGTTATTGTTGTTATGGTTTTTGCTGTATGTGTCTTTTGCAGTTGTTGTTTGTATCGACAAAATGAAGAAATAATATATTTTTTTAAAAGACCTTTGTCTGTACTCAGGCTTGGCATCTGATGTGTGTTCCTGGTGACCCCCAAATCCCTTTTTGGTAGAAAACAAATGCCCTGTTTTGAGAATGCTTTCCGGTCGTGGTGCGTTTGCTACCCTGGGCTGGATGTGAAAGGAACAAGTGAGAACAGGGCTGGGCCTGGCAGTGGGGGTAGCAGTTCTTGCCTCCTTGGTGACACGCAGCTGGGCTCGCTGACTCGAGCCGCCCTCCCTCCCCAGCTCAGCCATACCTGCCCCAGCCGACGGATCTCGTGCTGCTTCTTGGGCTTGACGTGTTTCCGGAAAAGCGGCGGGAGCCTGGAGCTCTGGCAATGGTTGTCTTGCAGTGGTGGAAAGCAGGAAATTAATTAATGTGTACTCTGCCTCTTCCCCTGCCTCAGGGCAGCTTACAGATAACGTAAGAGCAGCTGAAAACATATGGGGCAGAGAAAAACAAACACAAATAAGTACTAATCGAATGAAAAAGACGTATGTATATGCATGTATAAATGTCCCTATTTCCCAACAGATGTCAAGAAAATAAACAACTACAGTGGAGTCATCGGTTGCAAACGTGATCTGTGCAGGATGCATGTTCGCAACCTGCAGCGGTGCATCTGTGCACGTACGGATTGCGATTTGGTGCTTCTGTGCAATGCTCAATTTAGAGCTTCTGCGCAACTTCCGAAACCCGGAAGTAACCCGTTCCGGTACTTCTGGGTTTCGGCGGGTGTGTAACCCGAAAAAAACGCAACCTGAAGCGGCTGTAACCCGAGGCATGACTGTATCCAACTTTTAGAAGACATCTGAAGGCAGCCCTGTTTAGGGAAGTTTTCAGTGTTTGAAGTTTTATTCTGTTTTTTATGTTCTGTTGGGAGCCACCCAAAGTGGCTGGGGGAAACCCAGCCAGGTGGGCGGGGTAGAAATAATCCTGAAGGAGCATCTCCACCCCCATAGTTCTGCCCGGACACTGAGATCCAGCGCCGAGGGCCTTCTGGCGGTTCCCTCATTGTGAGAAGTGAGGTTACAGGGGACCAGGCAGAGGGCCTTCTCGGTGGTGGCACCCGCCTTGTGGAACGCCCTCCAACCAGATGTCAAAGAGAACAACAACTACCAGACTTTTAGAAGACATCTGAAGGCAGCCCTGTTCATGGAAGCTTTTAATGTTTAACACTGTATTGTTTTTAATACTTGATTGGGAGCCGCCCAGAGTGGCTGGGGAAACTCAGCCAGGTGGGCGGGGTATAAATATTTATTTATTTATTTTTATCACCATCCTCTATCAATGCACGTTCTGTTAAAAACACACAGGCAATTCCCACAAAAACGGCACCTTCAAAGCAGCCTTCAGAACAGATCCCTTCGGGACCCAGATCCGAGGAAGGCCTTGCTCCCTCCAGGCGGGGCTCCCAGAGAGTAAGAGAGACTGGGCGAAGAGGCCGCTCTATCCCTTGCCACGTCTATGGTCCTGCGTCCCCCCAGAGCGACGGGAGGGGGCGGGGGGGGCCTTTCCAGGGGGCGGGACCCGCCCCGGAGTGGTGAACCTGGCGGGCCGCCCCCCTCTCCTCCCCCCCGCCCCCCCCCGCGGAGCCTGCGCTCTCCCCCCCCCCCGCCCGCCGGGGCAGAGAGAGAAGCCGGCCTTACCGTCGCGCCGGAAGTCCTTGTGTCCTGACCCGGAAGAGCTTCCTGCGCCCAAGACCCGGCTCCCTGGCCCTGAGGGCGCCATTTCCTCGCCGCCTCGGACTGGAGCGGAGCGCCCGGGGGTCCTTCGCCTCTCTCCGCGCCTTTCCTGAAGAGAGGCCTCTCCGTCCCCGGCGGGACTCGGGAAGTAAGTTGCTCCTCCGCCAGGCTCCCTTTCCCGGGCGAGCCTCGTCCTGACTCGGGGGCGAAAGGCGCCTCAGAAAATCCCCCGCCCCCCCCTCACTAACTCACTAACTCAGTCGCCCCAAAGTCTTTTGCTGGAGCGCTTCGCCTCCGACTTCGCATGGCAACGTATTCAGGCTGCTGTAAAAACATCGCTTCCGTTGGTTGGGCTCGGCGCCAGGGAACCTCCCCAGTTCCAAATAATAATAATAATAATAATAATAATAGAAAGCAACGTGAGAAACTACAGAACTCTTACATAGCGCAGTCCTCCTTTATGACACAGGCATCAAAGAAAGAACAAGCATTTAAACCACCTAACACACGTGGGAGCATGTGGAATGATAGTTTTTTAAACCAGCAACTAGAAATAATTTCTGATTTGATTATATTACTAATGTAATTACCTGGACATAGTTGGGGCTGCCTATGATTCTCTTCTTGTGAGGTGGCCAAAGTACTGGAGCCTCAGCTTCAGGATCTGTCCTTCCAGTGAGCACTCAGGGCTGATTTCCTTCAGAATGGAGAGGTTTCTTCGGCGATCAGCCTTCTTTATGGTCCATCTCTCACTTCCATACATCACTACTGGGAAAACCATGGCTTTAACTATACGAATCTTTGTCGGCAAGGTGATGTCTCTGCTTTTTAAGATGCTGTCTAGGTTTGTCATTGCTTTTCTCCCAAGAAGCAGGCGTCTTTTAATTTCGTGGCTGCTGTCACCATCTGCAGTGATCATGGAGCCCAAGAAAGTAAAATCTCTCACTGCCTCCATTTCTTCCCCTTCTATTTGCCAGGAGGTGATGGGACCAGTGGCCATCTTCGTTTTTTTCGTTTTTTTGATGTTGAGCTTCAGACCATATTTTGCGCTCCCCTCTTTTACCTTCATTAAAAGGTTATTTAATTCCTCCTCACTTCCTGCCTAGTGTTTTATCTGGAGATACTGCCATTGAGCATTTGTAGGTAATCTGTATTTGTCTCTTAGGATGGACTATGTTTAAAATAGATCCTCTTCGTTTATCAACTGGTCTAATGTTAATATACCGAAATTCATCCATCTCTCCCATACTGTATTACCATTTCTTTCCTGGTTTTAAAGACAGGTTTCCCCACAAAGTCATTTTATTGTGGGAGCAAAGGTCAAATTTATATTTTTTGGACATGTGGTATCATTCTAACTGATGTTATTGTTTCAATAGCATCTTGAGTATTAATGTATGTATTTAGACCCAAGTGCTACCCATCTTTCTAGAGGTACTACATAGGAATATTCCAAAGCAGCCCAATTTGGACAGTTGTTTTCAGTTATGGGTCTCCAGGATTGTCTACCTGACGGCAAATATACTTGGTGATACATTTCTAAGTCTGGGGTCCAAAATCCTCCTCCTTTTATCGGTATCTGCATTTTTTGCATAGATATTCTTGGAACTGAAGAGCCCCAAAGGCATTTTCTAAACAAAGATTTAATTTTGAGAAAGTATTTGCTCGGTATGTGAATTGGAATTCCTCTTAAGATATAAACTAGGTATTATGTTCATTTTAAGAGCATTGACTTTTCTCCACAGGGTCAGGTTCAATGACTCCCATCCAGTGCTTTTTTTCTTTAAAAATGTTTAGGGGTACTCTCATTCTACTACTCATATTGAAATATTGCTCCTCAATGAGGCCAAAAATAGATTCACAAAATGTTTAGGGGTGTGCATACCCCAGAAAAAAGCACTGCTCTCACCTGTCTATGTCTATTGATACCTCATGGTATATTTTGTTGTTGTTTAATGACACTAATTTAGATAAGTCTCATGGTGTTAATGTGCCTAGATATTTAATGTTGTCTTTGCAAACATGAAACTGGTATTGTTTAAACCAGTGTGGGTGTGTTTCTCTACTTGCCCCTGGAACACCCCAAAGAGGGTGAGAAGGTGCAAGAGGGCAGCCCAGGGGCAAGGAGAGCAGTGCCTCCCCCCCCCCCCCAGCTATCCATGGACATCTGCTGGTGAGCAGTGGTGGCAGTTTCTTCACTCTGCCTAATCAGGGAGCTGGCCCTGCCACACGGTTCAACTTCAAAATAAGGAAAGCTGGTCAAAGTCATTGACAACCCTCGCTTAAATATACATTCATGTACAGCCCCCCCCCCACAAACCACTCCATAGAATAAGGGTCAGCAAACTTTTTCAGCAGGGGGCCAGTCCACTGTCCCTCAGACCTTGTGGGGGGCGGACTATATTTTTTTTTGGGGGGGGGGAAATATGAATGAATTCCTATGCCCCACAAATAACCCAGAGATGCATTTTAAATAAAAGGACACATTCTACTCATGTAAAAACACGCTGATTCCCGGACCGTCTGCGGGCTGGATTTAGAAGGCGATTGGGCCGGATCCGGCCCCCGGGCCTTAGTTTGCCTACCCATGCCATAGAATGATAGAACTGCGGTGTTGAAAGAGACCCTAAGGGCCATCTAGTCTAACCCCCTGCAATGCAGGAACCGCAGATGAGCTTGCGTTCAAGATAGAGGCCTAGAAGGCTCAGCTCCAGGGATTCTGGCCGGGGGAGCCATGGAGGTTGAAGGAAAAGGAGAGGGCATTAAGTGGAGGGCGTGTGGCTCACAGAAGCTGGAAGGGACCCCTGAGAGTCATCTAGTCAACCCCCTGCCATGTGGGAATCCACCAAGTGCCTGAGGAAGCTGCCTGCCATGGCTTGGACCAGAGGGACTGGCCCCCACCCCCGCCCCCTCCGCAATATTTCTGTAAATAGTCTTTAAATTTCTTCCAATCTTCTTCCACCGACTCTTCTCCCTGGTCACGGATTCTGCCAGTCATTTCCGCCAATTCCATATAGTCCATCACCTTCATCTGCCATTCCTCCAGTGTGGGTAGCTCTTGTGTCTTCCAATACTTTGCGATGAGTATTCTTGCTGCTGTTGTAGCATAAATAAAGAAAGTTCTGTCCTTTTTTAACACCAATTGGCCGACTATGCCCAGGAGAAAGGCCTCTGGTTTCTTCAAGAAGGTATATTTAAATACCTTTTTTAATTCATTATATATCATCTCCCAGAAAGCCTTAATCTTTGGGCACGTCCACCAAAGGTGAAAAAATGTACCTTCAGTTTTGCTGTCATGTTAATCCCCAGGTATTTAACTTTCTTAACCACTGTTAAACCTGTCACATTCTGAAACCTCTCTCTCTCCATTGATGTTAAATTTTTCTCTAAAACCTTAGTTTTTAATTTGTTCAATTTAAATCCTGCAACCTGACCAAATTCTTGAATCAGTTCTAAAACCCTTTTAGTACTAGATTCTGGCTCCTGTAACGTCAGTACTAAATCATCTGCAAATGCTCTCAATTTGTACTGTTTGGCTCCGACCTGTATACCTTTAACCAACTGGTCCCTTCTAATCATTATCATCATCATCATCATCATCATCTATCAATGAATGTTCTGTTAAAAACACAGATAATCACAATAAAAATGGCACATGAAAAGCAACATTAAAAACAAATCCCTGCAGGAAAAATCCAAGGAAGTCATTGTTCACAGCCGGCATAGCTGACTTGTGGATTTCTCTACCGCAGGAGGCAGCAATGGCTGCCAGTACCAGGGGCTCTGCTTTGCCTCCACTGTCAGGAGGCAGATGTGCTTCTGAATGCCAGTTGCTGGTTGGCCGCCTGGAGGCTGGGCTCGCCCTTTGGCCTGATCCAGCAGCCAGACTCTTCTGACGTCCTCATGGAACCTCCAGGTGCAGAGGCAGTCTATCTCGATTCCTTGCTTCTTGGGAATTGACTAGGTGGGGCACTGGCTGGATCCAGGGGCTTTTACGCATAGCTGTCAACCTTCCCCTTTTTTGCGGGAAATTCCCTTATTCCAGTGCCGTTTCCCGCTGCTATCCCGCATTGTTAGATATCCCGTAGACTGTCCCCGGGACAGGAGAGGCTGCTGATCCCTTATTTTCAAATCTGAAAGTTGACAGCTATGCTTTTACGCTCCATGAATGAGTAAATACAGGGTCTGGCAGACGCCGCTCTCCTTTATTGAAAGGGGGTTTTATGGCAGCTGGAACTCAGCGTTCTTGGTGGAGCCTCCACGAAGGTCTGCCGGGTGGCTGATGGCGCCCGGCAATCGATTTTGCTTATGAAAATTCTATATATTTATTATTTTGGGGTTTTTCTTTCTAATGGCCATGTCTCTTTCTGTTGCAACTGAGCTGCCTTGTAGGGAAACGTTTCAGGAAACCACACGGGCAAATTATGAATCGATGGGCTGCAAAACAAAACAAGGCGGCTTCTGAGAGAGCGCAGAGGAGCCGAGGCTGGGCGGATCAGTTGGCAACCCTCCTCGCGCCAGGGCCGAATGGAACGAGCCAAACTCCCTCTGCGCCTGCGCAGTCGTAACCGGCTCCGAAGGAAAGGCAGAGCATGCGCACTTTGCCCCGTCGGTCTGCTGTGCTTCGATGGGGCCCCTTCGGCTCCCTCCCTCCCTTCTCGGAGAAGCGGACATAGAGATACGTCATATCCCTGGGGAGGGGGGAGAAGGAGGAGCGAGAAGGAACCGCCTCAGTATCGCAAAGAGAAGGGATTTTGTGTGAGGAAAGGAAATCACACAAACTTCGGGTCCGAAACGGAAGCTGTGGCCTGGGGGGGGGTTTTGGACGCTCTATCTCATGGAGCGTCTATGGTCCGCGTTCCTCCAGCAAGCCCCGCCCTACTCCCAGCCGGGCTCCTTTCTGTGCTTGTTCCTAGGAGGTGCCTTCTCAGATGGAATAATTATTATTATTATTATTATTATTATTTATACCCCGCCCATCTGGCTGGGCTTCCCCAGCCACTCTGGGCAGCAGCCAACAAAGTATTAAAATACAGTAAGGCATCAAACAGGAGGCGCCTTCTGCAGGCTTCAGCTGTGAAACGAGGAGAATTCCCTAGTGTTGGGCCAAGTTCTGTGCAAATGCTTCCTCGGCACAGCTGCCAACGTTTTCCCCCTTTTAAACGGAAATCCCCTTATTGCGAGTAGGATTCCTCGCAAGAAAAGGGGAAAGTGGGCAGCTCTGCTTCCTGGGCTTGGGGGGATCTGGCCGAGGGCGGAGGCAAAGAAAGTTCCATTCCTTCCTTCCTTCTCCGAGCTGATCCTCCCTTCTGACGCTGCAGAAATGCTGGTGGGAGAGGGAACTGGAAATGGGGCACTAATAAAAGTGAGGAGGGGTCTGGCTCGTCTCTTTGCAAGGAGTGCGGACCCTGCTAGGGCAGTTTTGCTTGCAAATCAAGGCACGGCATCTTCGCCGCTTGGCTTTAGGTTTCGCCTGGGTCTTGCCTCTTTTCTTGAAACCCTCCGACCTAGCGGGGGTCCCGGAATCCCCATAAGGACTGGAGAGCAGCCGGGGAGCATTTTGGGTTCTTTTCCATTCCTTCCTTCTCTGAGCCGTGACCTCCTGCTATCCTGCCTTCCTCTTCTCTGGAAGAAGGGGCGCCCCCCGCCATCCCCCCTCCTCCTCCATCATCTCGCCACCCCCCCAGTCCTTTACAAGGCGCTTGGACTAGACTAAGGTTGCCATGTTCCCAAAGGGGAAAATCTTTGCAGCTGTTAAAACCCCCAACAAAACAATGAATGGGGGGGGAGCCCCAAAGAACTCAGGGGCGCAGGATGCGGAAAAGGACTGCGGGTGGGGAGCCTCGTCCCAGGCAGAACTTTTGGGGCGAGTTGCCCCGGGTCTCTTTTTCCGGAGGGATGGGGGGTCGTTTTGCACATTGCGGGGCGATCCCCTTTCTGACTCGGTGACGCAGGCGCGCGAGAAACATCCCCCCCCCAAAGATAACTCTCCCCCACCCCCGGTCCTCGCAGGGGGAGCTCCGCCCATGGACAGCCTTGCCTCGGACTTGATGCGTTCCTTCCTTGTCCTGCAATCCTGCCTTCCTCCTCCATCTCGCCGCCCCTCCAGTCTCAAAAGCATGAAGCCGCCGACTTCCCTTTCCTGCCCGTCCCTTTTCTCTGCACATGAGTCATGTGCCTTGGAAAAGCAAATTTTCGCTCCGGCACACCACGCCGGGTTTTCCATTCATGCACTTGCGCTTTTTTCTCCTCTCTCTCTCTCTCTCCCTTCTTCCCCGTGCAGAGGCGAGAGCGGGGATCTCCGATCCGCAAAGGTAAGATCGTAGCGCCTCGGCCGCGAAGAAAGTTTGCAAGGAACGTCACACACTGATTTTGGGTGGATAGATAGATAGATAAATTCCTGTAGCGCCTTAGAGACCAGCGAAGCTGTCAACGTTTCTCTTTTCTCAAGGGAAGTTCCCTTACTCCTAATAGGATTCCTCGCAAGAAAAGGGAAAAGTGGACAGCTATGATGCACACTTCTTCAGATACACTCTCTCTATAAGGGTCTGGTGACTTCCTCTTTCAGTGTATCTGAAGAAGTGTGCATGCACACGAAAGCTCACGCCAAGAACAAACTCAGTTGGTGTCTAAGGTGCTACTGGAAGGAATTTTTTTTTTGCAGTTTGGAGGAAAGGCTCATGGAACTCCCTGCAATGCAGGAAATCGTTTTGCCTTGAGTCTCGCTCCCCCGACTGAGCCACCTTGGGGAGTTGGTGAAGTTATATGGGCAGAGAGGTTTTCCTCCCTCTCTCCTGACACTAGAAGTGGGTGAGGGGTGGGGGGTGGGGACACAGCCAGTGAAGTTGAACGTGGAAAAAAAAAGGAGGACAGATATATTTAAAAAACCCGATCCTTCTTGACGCAGCACAGAGTTAAACTAGGGAGCTCCCTCTTGCACGTGGCTGTGATGGCTCTCAAACTTAATCAACTGTTTGTTTGGTGTTTTGTTTGGAATGTTTTTTAGTGTATTAATATTCGGTGTTTGCCGCCCTGAGACCGGTCTTGGCCGGGGAGGGTGGGGTATAAATAAAACATTATTATTATTATTATTACTAAAAGGGGTTTAGGCAAATTCATGGAGGAGGAGAGGGCTGTGGATGGCAACTAGGCAAGAGAGCTATATTCTCTCTGCCTCTTCAGTCTGGGGCTGCAGCCAGCAGTTCCTCTGAATGAGAGTTGCAGGAAACTTGGAAGGCAGAGTGCTGGAGGGCAGAGTGGCAGCTGAGTGGTATTGTGTTTCCACTCGGGGGTTTCCCTCTCATTGCAACAGCTCCAGTCTATTCTTGGCTGTTTGCAGGACCATTTATATCACGCCACCCAAGGTCAATGAAACAGTGACGTCTCTCAAGAAGTGTGCATGCACATAAAAACTTATGCCAAGAACAAACTTAGTTGGTCTCTAAAGTGCTACTGGACAATTTTTTTTAAAAAAAATATTTTTCCACCCAACATCAGTGTGGGACGTTTCTTCTCCTATTCCCAGCTGGTCTCGCCCCCCCCCCCCCCAGTTTCATCATCCGGTAGCTCATCTCATTGAAATGGGAAAATACCAGCCTTCTGTGCAGCTTTTGACAAGAGCGGAGCTTCTGGTATAAGGCTAGCTTCCTTTTGTGGTGCTGTGTGGCAGCTTTTACATTTGCCACCACCTCCAAGCTCCCCCCCCCCCCATCGCAGGCACCACCAGTGTTATGTACTGAAGTTCTCACCCTGGGCCAGCAGGGGGATACTGTAGATAGTTATGCAAATGAAGGATCGAAAGTGACATTCAGTGATTGGATGGATACTGTAGATAGTTATGCAAATGAAGGATCGAAAGTGACGTTCAGTGATTGGATGGATACTGTAGATAGCTATGCAAATGAAGGATTGAAAGTGACATTCAGTGATTGGATGGATACTGTAGATAGTTATGCAAGTGAAGGATCGAAAGTGACGTTCAGTGATTGGATGGATACTGTAGATAGCTATGCAAATGAAGGATTGAAAGTGACATTCAGTGATTGGATGGATACTGTAGATAGTTATGCAAATGAAGGATCGAAAGTGACGTTCAGTGATTGGATGGATACTGTAGATAGCTATGCAAATGAAGGATTGAAAGTGACATTCAGTGATTGGATGGATACTGTAGATAGTTATGCAAGTGAAGGATCGAAAGTGACGTTCAGTGATTGGATGGATACTGTAGATAGTTATGCAAATGAAGGATCGAAAGTGACATTCAGTGATTGGATGGATACTGTAGATAGTTATGCAAATGAAGGATCGAAAGTGACATTCAGTGATTGGATGGATACTGTAGATAGTTATGCAAATGAAGGATCGAAAGTGACATTCAGTGATTGGACGGATACTGTAGATAGTTATGCAAATGAAGGATCGAAAGTGACATTCAGTGATTGGATGGATACTGTAGATAGTTATGCAAATGAAGGATCGAAAGTGACATTCAGTGATTGGATGGATACTGTAGATAGTTATGCAAATAAAGGATCGAAAGTGACATTCAGTGATTGGATGGATACTGTAGATAGTTACGCAAATGAAGGATCGAAAGTGACGTTCAGTGATTGGATAGTTTTAGAAAGTTGTTACAGTAACGTGGTACTGGAGCTCTATATAAGCAGGCTGGCTCAACCCTTCAGTTCAGTTCTGTTCTGGCCTGTGAATAAACAAGAGCTGTTTGAAGAATCGCTGTGTCGTCTGATATGTTCACCCACAAATTAACAACCAGCACTCCCAACAGCTGCTCATGGAGGCCAGCTTGGGTGGGTGGGTTTCTCTCTCTCTCTCTCTTATAATATTTTTATTGGTTTTTACAAATATTTCCATCATAACGTCAATTTTACAAATAAAATAAAGAAACATTTGGCTATATTAGCCGGGAACTTCCCTCATCCTCGACTAATGGTTTTCCAACTTGATCTCTAATATGCATTTTATAAATAATAAATAATTTTTATTTATACCCCGCCCTTCCCGGTTCAGAAAACCGGGCTCAGGGCGGCTAACAGCAAATTTAAAACACTTAATTGATGCAACAAAAAACAGCATAAAATACAGTATAAAACGTGAATAACAATAAATTCAGAATTCAAAAATCAATTTGGGGGAATCCATCCAATAAACATTAGATGATTGCCAGGGCTAGCTGGCTAAATTAGATCCCAGAGCAGGTAATCTTCATAAAAAGGGGAGAGGGCGTTTTTTCGGGTGGCGGACTGCTAAAACCTGGAAGTACCGGAATGGGTCACTTCCAGATTTCGGCGGGCGCACATGCGCAGAAGCGCTAAATTGCGCTTTGCACATGCGCAGAAGCGCTGAATCGCAATCCATGCATGCGCAGACACAGGTCCTCCAAGACCGTGATGAACAATAATGGAGGTAACGGACAATTCTGCCAGGTACCTTTTGTAATTTCAAGGCGTGGGTGGGTTTCTCTACTTGCCCCTGGACCACCCCAAGGAAGCCAGGGGGCAGGCCAGGGGCAAGTAGAGGAGTCCAGGAGCAGCGTCCGGAGTGTTGGTGAGCAGGGGGCGCACTGGGCTGGCAGCCCTGACCTGGGGCAGCTGGCCACCCAGACAGATTTCTTCACTCTGCCTAATCAGGGAGCTGGCCCTGCCCCATTTTTCAACTTCAAAACGAGGAAAGCTGGTCAAAGTCATTGACACCCTTGCTTATCCGGACTTCCCCCCCCTCCATTGAATCATAGAACTGCAAAGTTGGAAGGAGTCCTGTGGGTCAACCCCCTGCAATGCAGGAATCTCAACTGAACTATGCTCGGAGTCAAGAGTGGATTTCATGCTCTTTAGTGGTGAGGAGGAATGGAAGTTCCCTCAGGATGTCTGCTTTATATTCCTTATTTACACAATGGGCCCCACGTGATTGGCTAATTCTGGGATTCTCCTGTAGGCCAATCAGGTTGCGGATTCCCTTCCACCTGTAGCTGGATTGGGTGGTTCCTGTGGACCAATCAGACTGCAGCATTCTGAATCCTATTGCTCTAGGACCAATCAGACTGCAGCATTCTGAATCCTATTGCTCTAGGACCAATCAGACTGCTGCATTCTGAATCCTATTGTTCTAGGACCAATCAGACTGCTGCATTCTGGACCCTATTGTTCTAGGACCAATCAGACTGCAGCATTCTGAATCCTATTGTTCTAGGACCAATCAGACTGCTGCCTTTTGGATCCTGTTCAACTCAGTACATAACATCAACTATCACACCCAAGGAATATGGAGAGGTGAATCATGAACTAAACAACACTGTAGATGGCTTGTGAAAATTCGTTCACAATAATGTAGGACATTTCAACTCCTTCTAATACATAAATAATATATGCAATGCAAAAATTTCAATAACAATGACAGACGCAGCTCACTATTTCGAAGCCAACAGTCCAGGTATTCCCGAAATAATTCTGTGAGAATGACTATGTATACTTGTGCTGGTGTGATCCCAGCGGAACTCCCATGACGAGAGACCCAGATTTCAATCTCTGTTTCGTGATTCTCCTTCTGGTCGGCCCGAAAAGGAACCCTAAATGATGCCTGACTTGCTTATAAGAAGTTATTCATTAGTTCCTTGAGATGCATTGTGGGGAATGTATGTGGGAGAACAACAGCATGAACCAGAACGAATGTAGCCTTTGGTGGGGCCAGGACAAGTTCCCTGTGCTGGGGTTAAGCCATGGGACAGGTGCAGTCCCTTTGAGCATGTGCAGAGTGCATGTTACGGAGCGCCATTAGCCATCCTCCATACAGTTAGCATTAGAAGAAATACCTGTATTCTCCAGACTGAATTCCAGGCAGACTTGGTGAACGGGGAGGGTGGTGTCTAGGCCAGGGCTTTCCTGGGGGAACCCAGAATGGAGAGAGATTTACACCCCCTACATTTAGGATGTCTTCTCTTTTCAGACAGGTGCTTGCTCCTAGAGGGACTGAAGACGTGAATCTCTGAGCCAGACTCCCAAGTTCCGATCTGCAGAGACCAAAATCGTGTGCAATCGCCTTCTGATGGGCCAAGCATGGATGGCAGTCCATTCAAGTTTTTACTTTTCTTTGGAATAGTCTTTCTCCCTGGTAAGTTGTTCAATTGCAATAGAAGGTCTGTCGCTCAGGTCTGATGGCATTGCCAGGGAGGGTTGATAGGGGCGACCCCTATCAAAAGCCTGGAGAAGTTCTGCCAGTCTGTACACAAAACAATGCTAAATATACCACATCAAGGGAAGTCATGTTGTTGTTGTTGTTGTTGTTGTTTAGTCGTTTAGTCGTGCCCAACTCTTCGTGACCCCCTGGACCAGAGCAGGCCAGGCCCTCCTGTCTTCCACTGCCTCCCTCATGCTGGTAGCTTCGAGAACACTGTCCCACCATCTCGTCCTCTGTCGTCCCCTTCTCCTTGTGCCCTCCATCTTTCCCAACATCAGGGTCTTCTCCAGGGAGTCTTCTCTTCTCATGAGATGGCCAAAGTCTTGGAGCCTCAGCTTCAGGATCTGTCCTTCCAGTGAGCACTCAGGGCTGATTTCCTTCAGAATGGAGAGGTCTGATATTTTTGCAGTCCATGGGACTCTCAAGAGTCTCCTCCAGCACCAGAATTCAAAAGCATCCATTCTTTGGCGATCAGCCTTCTTTATGGTCCATCTCTCACTTCCATACCTTACTACTAGGAAAACCAGAGCTTGAACTATACGGACCTTTGTTGGCAAGGGGATGTCTCTGCTTTTTAAGGGAAGTCGTAGTCCCACTCTATTCTGCCTTGGTCAGAGCACACCTGGAATACCTTGTCCAATTCAAGGGCACCACAGTTTAAGAAGGATGTTGGCAATCTGGAGCACATGCAGAGGAGAGAGACCAAGAGGGTGAAGGGTCTGGAAACCGAGCCTTATGAGGAGCGGTTGAAGGAGCTGGGTGTGTTTAGCCTGGAAAAGAGGAGAATCCTCCGGAAAAACAATCTCTCCAAGGACCTCTTGATGGCATTTTACCATTGTACTGTGGAGAGTGTATTAACTTATGGTCTGGGTGTGTGGTTTGGGAGCTGCACGGCCAGGGGAAAAACAACGCTATCCAGGGTTGTAAAGACTGCGGAGAGCATAATTGGGTGCCCTCTTCCCACCTTGGATCAAATCTACGCTTCCAGGTACCATAAGAGAGCTGCAGAGATAGCGCAGGATCATGCGCACCCCGGAAAGGATCTCTTTCAGCTTCTGCCTTCTGGAAGAAGGTCCAGGGTTATAAAGACTAGGACTAGCCGCCTGAGAAACAGTTTCTATCCAAATGCAATTTTGGTTTTAAACGCAGTGTAAGGTAGTCTCTGTGGGAGTATATTGTATTTAATTATGGGGAATCAGAGTTTTTAGGGGGCTAACCAGGTTGGGATAGCTGGGATAGCAGGCTTGTGGGTTTTTGTCTGATGTAGATTTTTTTAATTTCGTTGTTCTGCATGGGACAATGACAATAAAGATTATCGTATTGTATTGTATCGTATCATATGAAAGCCATCATCAAATATCTCAAGGGCTGTCACATGGAGGAGGGAACCAAATGTTTTCTCCTGCTCTGGAGGGTAGGACTCGAACCCATGGCTTCAAGTTTCAAGAAAGGAGATACTGACTAAACATCAGGAAGACCTTTCTGAGGGTAAGAGCTGTTCGGCAGTAGAACGGTCTCCCTCAGGAGGTGGTGGTCTCTCCTTCCTTGGAGGTTTTTAAGCAGAGGTTGGATGACCATCTGTCATGGGTACTTGAGTTTAGATTCTTGCCTTGCGGGGGTTGGACTAGATGACCCTTAGGATCCCTTCCAACCCTTCATTTCTATGGTTTTATGATTTTTTTATTCGATATTATTTTGGGTGATTGTATTTTTTGCAAGTATACGTTTTGTAGGGACGCGGGTGGTGCTGTGGTCTAAACCACAGAGCCTAGGGCTTGCCGATCAGAAGGTCGGCGGTTCGAATCCCCGCGATGGGGTGAGCTCCCGTTGCTCGGTCCCTGCTCCTGCCAACCTAGCAATTCAAAAGCACGTCAAGTGCAAGTAGATAAATATGTACCGCTCCGGCGGGAAGGTAAATGGCGTTTCCGTGCGCTGCTCTGGTTCGCCAGAAGCGGCTTAGTCATGCTGGCCACATGACCCAGAAGCTGCACGCCGGCTCCCTCGGCCGGTAAAGCGAGATGAGCGCCGCAACCCCAGAGTCGGCCATGACTGGACCTAATGGTCAGGGGTCCCTTTACCTTTACCTTATACGTTTTGTAACTTTTGGACTACAACTCCCATCACCGCTAGCTAGCAGGGCCAGTGGTCAGGGATGATGGAAACTGTAGTCTTTGTAGTCCAAAAACTGGCGACCCAAGTTTGAGGAATATGGCCTTATTTCCTTCCTTCCTTTTCTTTGCTTTATCAGGAACTGGACCCACAGCACAGAATTCTCCCCCTACTTATGTGAATGAGCTCCAGGGAAGATCGGTTTTGCTTCATATAAACATTCCCTCAGGAATAACAGTGGACATAATCAAATTGGATTTCCAGTCCTGGACGGGCGAGATCAGCCAACTTGCTGAAATAAATGGAACGGTGAAATATACCAGTGACCGGTTGGGGCAGCGGCTCACAATGGTCAATAAGACCACCCTGAAGATCAGCCACCTACAAATGGAAGACAGTGGCCTCTACAAGGCTCATGTGAGGTTTAAGGAAGTAGCCTTGTATCCAACAAACTTGTTCTACCTCACCGTCTCTGGTAAGCAATTATTCTAAGATCCTTCTCTGCCTCTGGTGGAACCGAACGTGGAACCTAAGAATCCAAGAAGAGTGTGCTGGATCAGGCCCATGGCCCATCTTGTCCAGCATCATCTTCTCACACTGGCCAGCCAGATGCCCATGTGAAAACAGCAAGCAGGATTTGAACACAAGAGCCCTTTCCTCTCCAGTGGTTTCCAGCAAGAGGGTATTCAGAAGCATAGCTGCCTCTAGCTGTAGTGAATGCCACCAACTCAGATGGCTTTAAAATAGGGCCAGGCAAGTTAATGGAGGATGTCGATGGCTACTAGCAATGATGGCTAGGGTCTACTTCCTCCGTTGGGGGCAGTGAGCATCTGAGTCCCCGCTGCCAGGAATCCCAGGTGGAGGGAGTTTGCTGTTGTGGGTCAGGTCCAGCTTGTGGGCACCTGGTTGGCCACCGTGAGAAAAGGCTGTTGGACTAGATGGGCCCCTTTGGTCCGATCCTGCTGATGGGTGCTTCTGATGTTCTTACATTGCAGCTATTTTTTTTTTTTGGGGGGGGAGCCAAGTTTAAAGCCCTAAACAGCCTTGGCCCAGTAGACCTGAAGGAGAGTCTCCATCCCCATCGTTCTGCCCAGACACTGAGATCCAGCTCTGAGGGTCTTCTGGCAGTTCCCTCCCTGCGAGAAGCCAAGTTACAGGGAACCAGGCAGAGGGCCTTCTCGGTGGTGGCTCCTGCCCCGTGGAATGCCCTCCCACCAGATGTCAAGGAAATAAACAACTACCTGACTTTTAGAAGACATCTGAAGGTGGCTCTGTTTAGGAAAGTTTTTAATGTTTGATGTTGTGGCTTTTTAAATTAATATTCTGTTGGGAGCTGCCCAGAGTGTCTGGGGAAACCCAGCCAGATGGGCGGGGTATGTATATATGTATAAATAATAAAAAATATTAACAATAAATTAATAATAATAATAAGAAGAAGAAGTTCTGGAAAGCCCTGGTGCAAAAACAGCGTAGGTTTTTCATTCATTTAAGGAAGGCAAGCAAGATGACCAAGGGTCTGAAAACCAGGCCTTATGAGGAAGGTTGAGGGAGTTGGGGATGTTTCGCCTGGAGAAGAGCGGAGGGACAGGTGACACGAGAGACACCTTCAAATATCTGAAGTGCTGTCACAGGGAAGATGGAGCGCGCTTGTTTTCAGGGCTTCTCCGGAGCCCTGATCCAATGGATTCAAACGGCAAGAAAGGATATTCTGACTAAATAATAATAATAATAATAATTTATTTGTACCCTACCCATCTGGCTGGGTTTCCCCAGCCACTCTGGGCGGCTTCCAACAAAGTATTAAAATACAGGCCCTCAGAGCTTGACCTCAGTGTCCGGGCAGAACGATGGGGGTGGAGATGCTCCTTCAGGTATACTGGGCTGAGACTGTTTAGGGCTTTCAAGGTCAGCACCAACACTTTGAATTGTGCTCAGAAACATACTGGGAGCCAATGAAAAGTTTTCAGGACCAGTGTTATATGGTCCTGGCAACCACTCCCAGTCACTAGTTTAGCTGCCGCATTCTGGATTAGTTGTAGTTTCCGGGTCACCTTCAAAGGTAGCTCCACATAGAGTGCATTGCAGTAGTCATAGAATCATAGAATCATAGAGTTGGAAGAGACCACAAGGGCCATCGAGTCCAACCCCCTGCCAAGCAGGAAACACCATCAGAGCACTCCTGACATATGGTTGTCAAGCCTCTGCTTAAAGACCTCCAAAGAAGGAGACTCCACCACACTCCTTGGCAGCAAATTCCACTGTCGAACAGCTCTTACTGTCAGGAAGTTCTTCCTAAGTTCTTCCTAATGTTTAGGTGGAATCTTCTTTCTTGTAGTTTGGATCCATTGCTCCGTGTCCGCTTCTCTTCCCAAGCTTTATCTTCCCAAGCGGGAGATAACTAGAGCAAAGACTAAACCTTTGGAACAGCTTTCTGACAGTAATAACTGTTCAGTGGTGGAATGGTCTCCTTCAGAAGGTGGTGGACTCTCCTTCCTTGGGGGTTTTGAAGCAGAGGTAGATGGCCACCTGTCAGGGGTGATCTAGTTGAGATTCCTGCATGGCGGGGGCTGGGAGTACAGGACCCTTGGGAATCCTTTCTACAACTCTATGATTCATTTTTTTAAAAATAAATTTTTATTAGTTTCTCAACATATCATTTTCATCAATAATTAAACATACTTTTATATCTTATACCATTTTTTTGACTTCCATCAATCACATCTGAAAATTTTCCAATCTATTCACTTAATATACATTTCTTACTTTTATTATTACTTTTAAATCTCATAACACATATCTCTATTCTTTCTCTACTTTGCAATGTTTCATATATTTCTCCTTACAAAACTTCCTGTAGTCCTACTAGCGTAATTTGTTGATTACAGTTCTTCAAATAGTTCGTGTACGCCTTCCAATCTTCTGTGAATCTCTGGTCCTTCAGGTTTCCAATCCTTCCTGTCATTTTGTCCAATTCTGCATAGTCCATTATTTTCGTCTGCCATTCTTCTTTTGTCGGAATTTCTTCTTGCTTCCATTTCTGGGCTAACAATACTCTTGCCACTGTTGTTGCATATATGAACAATTTAACATCTTGCCTGTTAATATCCTCACCTATATAATTCATTTTTAACAGCTCCAGTGCCAAAGCCGCAGATCACTCTGCTAAACGTCTTCAAGACTTCAGAGGGTGTCAACGTGACCCTGCGGTGTCTGGTACCTGGAGAGGAAAAGATTGACATCTCCTGGGGAAGAGGGGACCCCGCCAGCCCCTTGGAAGAAAGCTCAGATAGGCACTGCCTCTCTGGCAATGACACTGTTCTCCAGTTGTTCCGGCAATCCTGTTACACAAACTCCACCATCATCACCTGCCAAGCCAGCAATGCTGTCGATCAGAAGAATGCCTCATATGACTTGAACAGAATCCCCGAGTGTGAAGGTGTGCGCCTGATTGACCCCACCTATAATGGTATGGGTATTGCTTGTGCGTAAGTTGCCGCCTCTCCTGGCTATGTTGCCTTGTTAAACCTTTCTGTCTGGACAGCCCTTCAATTCGTGGCTGCCTCAGTCGCTAGCAGAATCCGTCAGTGGGCGTTTCTTAAACCTTTTCCAACATAAAAGTTGTTTGACACCCAGTCTCCTCCTACTTTCTCTGCACGGAAGTCTTCTGCGCAGGGAGGGCGTGGGTAGCGGAGGACCAGTGCTCTCCCCGCTGGTGTCCGGTGAAGAGTCCTGGGAGCCCTCTCGCCGATTCCCCATCTGCCCCTCCTTATTCCTGGTGTTGCACTGAATTGCTTCCCCATCTGCTGAGCTGCCTCTCTCCCTGCTGGGCCCTTCTCCAGCATCATTGGAGAGCCTTCCCTCCACCTCTAGCTCCGATGTCAGTTCCCTGACACCACCCTTCTTTCCCCCATTATGCACTGCTTGCAATAACTTTTGTTTCCCTGAGCCTTTGAGGCAGTAGCAGTGGATGCAAAATGTACTATCAATCAGGCTGAGAATTTTTCCACCTTGGTTTTTAAATATTTGAGTGTTGCGATTTGGCGATTTGATGGCAATTTGGATGGATTCTTGAGCTGGGATTCCTGCATTGCTGGGGGTTGGACTAGATGAGCCCTGCGGCTCCCTTCCAGTTCTGCAATTCTATCATGTCACCTCCTCTGCAAGTGTATTAACTAAGTTGAAATGAAATGATGCTTATCCCTTAAAGCACTGTACAGTGGTACCTCTGGATGCGAGTAGACGTAATATGCGACTGCGCGTGCGTGGGTCACGTTTCACCGCTTCCGTGCATGTGCGTGACGTCATTTTGAGTGCGCATGCGCGAGCGGCAAAACCCGAAAGTAACGTGCTCCGTTACTTCCAGGTCGCCGCGGAGCGTAACTTGAAAACACTCAACCTGAAGCATATTTAACCTGAGGTATGACTGTATTCAGTTTGAGTAATGAGCCGTTAAGTTGGTTCCCTGAAAACTGGACTTTGGCTTCCAGTATTCCAAAACTGCAAAATTGGGATGGAGTGTTCGGCAGTCCAGGCAGCTGTGTGGTATATACTGCATTTGCTCAGCTAAAAAAGCAAATTAAGGTTTTGTGACAGCCCAACTCTCATTCTGCCTGGAGAAAAGCTGAAATCAGTTCACAGTCTTTTCTGATGCCCTCCGTTGTTGTTGTTGCTGTCGCCCTCAAGGGAGAATTTTTCCTTATTATTGCAGGTGCAGATTGGAAGATTTTGGGGATTATTCTTGGGAGTATTTTTGGGATCGTTGCTCTCGGACTCCTCATCTGTTGGAAGCGGAAAGCATTAACATCCAGATTTCAAACGGTAGGAATGTGTGTGTGTTATTCTTCTGACCCTCTCATCCGAATTTGGGTTGCCACTTATTGTTTTCCCTTCCTCTTTGTTTATCCTGAGAGGCAGAATCTGGCCAGTTCCTCCAAATGATGTGTTTCATTTTACGTGCCACAGTTTTTACATCCGCAAGGCCAAAGGCACAATTGGGTGCCACCCGATATTAACGCTCCTCTAGCGCTTTCTCTCAAGTATTCCCGAATAAGGTTGGAACTCCACAAAGATCTGAATCCTCTTTACAAAACTGCTTTTAAAAAGAAGGGTGTGTGTGAAGGAGGAGTGTGCTTTGTTCTGCCTGCCAAAATGGGAGGCTTTTGGCTGATAAACAACCCACAAGTTTCGAGGTTTCCACATTTAAACCCATTAGTGAATATTCCTGGGTTATTTTCAGGAAGTCTGAGGCTTAAGGATTTCCAGCAGAGGAGCATGTCCCTCTATCAGTGGGGGGAGGAAAAGTGCTGCCCCACCTGCCACCCACTGTGTGTGTGTGTGTGTGTGTGTGTTGCATTGTGTGCTGAGATTCCTCCTGTCTGGTTGATGGAGCTCCTTTGTAGCACGATGCCCAAGACGCCAGTTGTGCCTGGGTTTAGGTGGGCTCAACTCTGTTTTAGGAGCTGGTGCCAGGCCCAGCAAACTAGATCCTCTTAAGTCTCATCTAAGGATCCTCACCATCAACTTAATCAACAGCCCTGTTTCTTGCTTTGCCTGCAGGTTTTCTGCCACAAGAATTCCACATCCAACACAACTGAATTGCAGGAAGTGGAAACTTCACCAAGTGCCTCTCAAAATGGCTATTCAAAATGTGCACCTTCGGAGCCAGACAAACCAGTGACTCCACCCCTTAGTCCACGTGAAAACTCCTGATGGGTCTTGGCAGACCTCTTCCTGATTTTTGCAAAGTACCGTGCCAAGGGCTGTTTTTAATTCGATTTTTACTACTTCCCTTATTTATTATATTGCACTTTGTTGCATTACAATCTGCACTGGATATAATTTAAATTGCAATGCAGTATAATGCAATACAAGGAAGAAATGGAACAGTAAAAATTTTAAAAGTTCAATGTGAATATTTAATGTGATGGA